TTCGGCCTAAGGCTATCCTTTAACAAAGATTACGTCCATTAAATAAAAAATTTGGAGGATTTATTCCGGGTCAATTTTTGGCATATTCCAAAGGGGTACCATCACAGATTTTTGCCGATTTTCCCGAAATGTCGTTTTCTTTAGATTCTCGAGGCTACAGATCAGGGATTCAGGCCGAGGCTATTCTCCACCGATAATGAAGTCAAATGATCCTATTCTCCGCGGATGATAAGTCCATTAAGCACCGATTTGGGTCAATTTATTTTCGGATGGCATTTTCGTAATTTTGAGGGCATCAAAATGCCATTTTCTTTGGATTTTGAAGGCTATAGGTCACGGATTTGGCCTGAGACTATTCTTCAACAAAGATTACGTCCATTAAACAAAAAATTGTGAGGATTTATTCCGGGTCAATTTTTAACAGATTCCAAAGGGGTACGATCACACATTTTGGGCGATTTTCCCGAAATGCCATTTTCTTTTGATTTTCGAGGCTACTGATTACGAATTCAAGTCGAGGCTATTCTCCATCGATAATGAACTCTATTGATCCTATTCACCATAGTTGATAAGTCCATTAAGCACTGATTTTAGTTAATTTGTTTTTGGATTGCATTTTCGTAATTTTGAGGGCAGCAAAAGGCCATTTTCTTTGGAATTTGAACGCTACAGATCACGGATTCGGCCTAAGGCTATCCTTCAACAAAGATTACGTCCATTTAATAAAAATTTTGGAGGATTTATTCCGGGTCAATTTTTTGCAGATTCCAAAGGGGTACCATCACAAATTTTTGCCGATTTTCCCGAAATGTCATTTTCTTTTGATTCTCGAGGCTACAGATCACGGAATCAGGCCAAGGGTATTCTCCACCGATAATGAAGTCTATTGATCCTATTCTCCGCGGATGATAAGTCCATTAAGCACTGATTTGGGTCAATTTATTTTCGGATGGCATTTTCGTAATTTTTAGGGCAACGAAAGACCATTTTCTTTTGATTTTGAAGGCTATAGGTCACGGATTCGGCCTGAGACTATTCTTCAACAACGATTACGTCCATTAAACAAAAAATTTGGAGGATTTATTCCGGGTCAATTTTTTGCAGATTCCAAAGGGGTACCATCACAGATTTTTGCCGATTTTCCCGAAATGTCATTTTCTTTTGATTCTCCTGGCTACAGATCACGGATTCAGGCCGAGGCTATTCTCCACTGATAATGAAGTCTAATGATCCTATTCTCCGCGGATGATAAGTCCATTAAGCACCGATTTGGGTCAATTTATTTTCGGATGGCATTTTCGTAATTTTGAGGGCATCAAAAGGCCATTTTCTTTGGATTTTGAAGGCTATAGGTCACGGATTCGGCCTGAGACTATTCTTCAACAAAGATTACGTCCATTAAACAAAAATTTGGGAGGATTTATTCCGGGTCAATTTTTAACAGATTCCAAAGGGGTACCATCACAGATTTTGGGCGATTTTCCCGAAATGCCATTTTCTTTTGATTTTCGAGGCTATAGATTACGGATTCAAGTCGAGGCTATTCTCCATCGATAATGAACTCTATTGATCCTATTCACCACAGTTGATAAGTCCATTAAGCACTGATTTTAGTTAATTTATTTTTGGATTGCATTTTCGTAATTTTGAGGGCAGCAAAAGGCCATTTTCTTTGGAATTTGAACGCTACAGGTCACGGATTCGGCCTGAGGCTATCCTTTAACAAAGATTACGTCCACTAAATAAAAATTTTGGAGGATTTATTCCGGGTCAATTTTTGGCAGATTCCAAAGGGGTACCATCACAGATTTTTGCCGATTTTCCCGAAATGTCGTTTTCTTTAGATTCTCGAGGCTACAGATCACGGATTCAGGCCGAGGCTATTCTCCACCGATAATGAAGTCTAATGATCCTATTCTCCGCGGATGATAAGTCCATTAAGCACCGATTTGGGTCAATTTATTTTCGGATGGCATTTTCGTAATTTTGTGGGCATCAAAAGGACCTTTTCTTTGGATTTTGAAGGCTATAGGTCACGAATTCGGCCTGAGAGTATTATTCAACAAAGATTACGTCCATTAAACAAAAATTTGGGAGGATTTATTCCGGGTCAATTTTTAACAGATTCCAAAGGGGTACCATCACAGATTTTGGGCGATTTTCCCGAAATGCCATTTTCTTTTGATTTTCGAGGCTATAGATTACGGATTCAAGTCGAGGCTATTCTCCATCGATAATGAACTCTATTGATCCTATTCACCACAGTTGATAAGTCCATTAAGCACTGATTTTAGTTAATTTATTTTTGGATTGCATTTTCGTAATTTTGAGGGCAGCAAAAGGCCATTTTCTTTGGAATTTGAACACTACAGATCACGGATTCGGCCTAAGGCTATCCTTCAACAAAGATTACGTCCATTAAATAAAAATTTTGGAGGATTTATTCCGGGTCAATTTTTTGCAGATTCCAAAGGGGTACCATCACAAATTTTTGCCGATTTTCCCGAAATATCATTTTCTTTTGATTCTCGAGGCTACAGATCACGGAATCAGGCCAAGGGTATTCTCCACCGATAATGAAGTCTATTGATCCTATTCTCCGCGGATGATAAGTCCATTAAGCACTGATTTGGGTCAATTTATTTTCGGATGGCATTTTCGTAATTTTTAGGGCAACGAAAGACCATTTTCTTTTGATTTTGAAGGCTATAGGTCACGGATCCGGCTTGAGACTATTCTTCAACAACGATTACGTCCATTAAACAAAAAATTTGGAGGATTTATTCCGGGTCAATTTTTTGCAGATTCCAAAGGGGTACCATCACAGATTTTTGCCGATTTTCCCGAAATGTCATTTTCTTTTGATTCTTCTGGCTACCGATCACGGATTCAGGCCGAGGCTATTCTCCACTGATAATGAAGTCTAATGATCCTATTCTCCGCGGATGATAAGTCCATTAAGCACCGATTTGGGTCAATTTATTTTCGGATGGCATTTTCGTAATTTTGAGTGCATCAAAAGGCCATTTTCTTTGGATTTTGAAGGCTATAGGTCACGGATTCGCCCTGAGACTGTTCTTCAACAAAGATTACGTCCATTAAACAAAAATTTGGGAGGATTTATTCCTGGTTAAGTTTTAACAGATTCCAAAGGGGTACCATCACAGATTTTGGGCGATTTTCACGAAATGCCATTTTCTTTTGATTTTCGAGGCTATAGATTACGGATTCAGGCCGAGGCTATTCTCCACCGATAATGAAGTATAATGATCCTATTCTTCGCGGATGATAAGTCCATTAAGCACCGATTTGGGTCAATTTATTTTTGGATTGCATTTTAGTAATTTTGAGGGCAGCAAAAGGCCATTTTTTGGATTTTGATAGCTATAGGTCACGGATTCGGCCTGAGACTATTCTTCAACAAAGATTACGTCCATTAAACAAAAATTTGGGAGGATTTATTCCGGGTCAATTTTTAACAGATTCCAAAGGGGTACCATCACAGATTTTGGGCGATTTTCCCGAAATGCTATTTTCTTTTGATTTTCGACGCTACAGATTACGGATTCAAGTCGAGGCTATTCTCCATCGATAATGAACTCTATTGATCCTATTCACCACAGTTGATAAGTCCATTAATCACTGATTTTAGTTAATTTGTTTTTGGATTGCATTTTCGTAATTTTGAGGGCAGCAAAAGGCCATTTTCTTTGGAATTTGCAGGCTACAGGTCACGGATTCGGCCTGAGGCTATTCTTCAACAAAGATTACGTCCATTAAATAAAAAATTTGGAGGATTTATTCCCGGTCAATTTTTCGCACATTCCAAAGGGGGTACCATCACAGATTTTTGCCGATTTTCCCGAAATGTCATTTTCTTTTGATTCTCGAGGCTACAGATCACGGATTCAGGCCGAGGCTATTCTCCACCGATAATGAAGTCTATTGATCTTATTCTCCACGGATGATAAGTCCATTAAACACCGATTTGGGTCAATTTATTTTCTGATGGCATTTTCGTAATTTTTAGGGCAGCGAAAAGCCATTTTCTTTGGAATTTGAAGGCTATAGGTCACGGATTCGGCTTGAGGTTATTCTTCAACAAAGATTACATCCATTAAACACCAATTTGGGAGGATTTATTCTGGGTCAATTTTTTGCAGATTTCGAAGAGGTACCATCACAGATTTTGGGCGATTTTTCCCGAAATGCCATTTTCTTTTGATTCTCTAGGCTACAGATCACGGATTCAGGCTGAGGCTATTATCCACCGATAATGAATTCTATTGATCCTATTCTCCGCAGATAATAATACCATTAAGCACCGATTTGGGCCAATTTATTTTCGGGTGGCATTTTCGTAATTTTTAGCGTAGTGAAAAGCCATTTTTTGGATTTTGAAGGCTACAGATCACAGATTTGGCATGAGGCTATTCTTCAACCACGATTACGTCTATTAAATTCCAATTTGGAAGAATTTATTCAGGGTCAATTTTTGGCAGATCCAGAGGGGTACTATCACAGATTTTGGTCGATTTTCCCGAAATGCCATTTTGGAAGTATTTATTCAGGGTCAGATTTTGAAAGCTTTTTTAGGATACTATTACTCACCAATTTCGAAGTTTATTAATCACTAATTTTAACCTATTTTTTGTTATTATTATTAATCAATTTTGAAAACTATTCATCATATAGTTAGGCCGAGGTGTATGTTTTACTAGGCCCATTAAATCGAGTGTAAATATCCATCTATGCAAATATAACCCGCTATTGGGCCGTTCTTGGTGATGACGGGCAACTACATAATTAAATGGGCTTACCATATTCTGGTTTGGGCACGACGGAACTTATTCTGCCTACGAAAAATAAGAAGACGAGGCTTGGGCTTTTATCCAGTAAAGAATTGATATTGGTAGGTTTTTAATTCTCCAAGCCTCTGTGAAGGTTCAATACTAGGCCTATACAAGAATATTTATACACCATACGGGCCAAATATTTATACACTATAAATTGGGTTTCAATATAACAAATAGCACTTTGTTATTGGGCTTACAGAATTTAAATGACATGAAGATTCAATGTTGGGGTACACTGGTACAGCCTTTTCTTAGAGCGATATAGGACTAATCATTAATCGCATTGCCCATAGTCACAAGCACAACATAGATGATAAACTGGTCAACCGAACGTACTAGCCATTAGGCCAATGTATGCTAATCAAGATATTAACATTGATATTTGGGTCCGTAAATCTTAATAATAATAGCCTAATTGGACCCAATGGTTTGGCTTTCAAGCTAACGTATTGCGCCTGGTTAACATAAGATCATTTAAGGCTAGTCGCATAAAGCTCACCGGTGGACCTATTATCACAGCTACTTTTTTTCATCAATTTACATGGGAGCCTGCCCTTGGAGGTCATACTCGCACACTCACCTAGTTACCTGTACATGCCTGACTGACCCCTGGTGTCTTGTTCACCTAACTAGCAGCAGAAAGAAATCCGAACTAGCAAGCAGTTAGTGAGCTTCAAGGACAAAATTAGTACGCATTAACAACCGTTATTGCTTACCATGAGTGCAAAGAACACCAGAAAGGACTGGTGCAATCATTATCAGGGGTGCAAAAAAGTTACTGTCAATGCATTTGCCAGCTTGAAGAATCGATAGACAAACTACAGTACAAGCAACAAAACATGAAACAGATCATGACCCACACCAGACCATTGGAAGCTTATTAAAGGCTGGAGATACTGCAACAAATATCGCACTGGTAAGCATGATGTTCAGCAATGGGTTGTCTGCGACAATTTCATTACCAATCCAAATCCCAACCAAGTATGACACTGGTAAGTGATAACATATCTTTGATATGAGATGAGAGAAGTTAGAAGTACAAATATAGGTAGCAGTAGCACCCTCGTATCAATAATTAAAAAAGTTATCCTTACTTATGTTTACAGTGAAAACATACATAACCAGTGCAAGCCGATCACATCAGAATCATTATGTAAAGTGGTCCAATTATGATTCATTTCATCTGTTTCCTAGCAAATAAATAAACAGTTTTAATGTACATAATTAATTGTTCAAGCGCACGGTGTCCTACATAGTGTAAAAGAGCTTAGAACATAGGATCTTTCTGATCTATCGACCTATGCTACATTGAACTTTAAAAAAGGGGTTACATATCCATCATAATTATGACGCAAGTTATAACCCCTTGAACTAACTGTTGGAACGAGAGACCCAATATAACACTTAACAAGTGATATACATATGCCAAATCACAAGAACATCAGTCCGCAGATTGCATACTGAGAGGGAGTCCAAAGTAAAATCTGGTTGATGACCTCACTATCAATCCGAAGCATAAGCAATTTTTGTTGTATTACTCATTATAAAAGAGAAGGATTGCATGTTAGGCCTAGTGGTAATGCCTGCCTTGAGGTAAAAAATTGGGAACAACAATTACCAGTATGAAAAAGAATTACATAACACTAATACATCGGAGGGAAGTCCTCATTCCTATGTTTAACCTTAGAGAGGGTATTTGCCACATTCGACTAAAGAGTATCTACATGAAGGGAGCTCATTCCTTAGTCTAACACCAGAAAGAGCAATATCCACATTCAGCTAAAGAGCATCTCCCAGCACATCAAAGAATTCTATGAACTCCTATTGACAGGATCACAAAGTAAAAACTGGTTGTTGGGCTTATTAATCAAAAGCCAAGAGTCAATCTCAAGGGATGACCTAGTAGTAATGAGAGACGAAAAAATATAACCCAACTTAAACTAGCCAACATCAGTTATATATAATAATAAACAAGCAACAATCTGGTCACTGAAGTGGAAGGTTCTTGGGTTACTGCACAAACATCATACGGTTTAACACTGAGAAATACACCTGTTGAGGTAGCTAGATTTCGAAATGAGAGCAACCAATCAACACTTAACCAAAAACCTGAGCTATAAGACGCTTAACTAATGATGTTCAATCTGTTTTCTAGCTCTTGAATTTAAAGTGGACAAATGACTCATTTTACAGTGCATCAACCACTAGAACCGTTCCTTTCCAACTTTGCTTCAGGAAATAAGAATTTATTCACAAAGTTGCACCCAAAAATACCCATCTAAAAAAATATCATTTAAGTCATCTAAACCTTTTCTATTCTTATATATCTAAAATCAGATATGAAAACTTTCAGACTTGAATAATTCATGACGTTAAGCTTACCTGAGCAACTGCTGAGACACCAGGCGAAGCATACAGAATTAATGATATGAGCCCTTCAAAAGTAACTGGAGTAATCTCTAACCCGGTGAAGAACTGCAAAATAGAAAGGAGACACTTAGACAAGACAAAACAACAAATTTGTGTGGGAAAAACAAAAAACAAAAATGCAACCATCAATGTACTGGAAGAATTCTTGTAAAACAAAAAAAAAGTACTGGAAGCATATTACACTTTGCACCTACTACAGCATATATTGTGCTAGTAAGCATGAAGTTCAACAAAATGGGCAAACATGGGCTACTAAGCATGAAGCCTCATCGTGCATGCCTAGTCAAAACCAAAAAAGCAGGGCGACCATGACTTTCTATTCAAATTACCATGTCGGGAGTGTTCCCATCATCTATTACTTGGGAAACAAATAGGAAACCTCATTCAGCACCATTTTCAGCTTTGATAGATCTATTGACAACAACATAATATACTTGATTAAGTACAGTTACATGTTTGTGATGATGACTCGATTCCATGCATGGCAAATGGTTTACATAGGTATTCAACATGAACACATAACCAGCTGTCATTCAGATACCAGCCAACAGAAAACAACATAATCATGTACTACCTGTTAGCACGAGAAGTAGAACATCTCTTTGGATGCTCAATCTTCGAAGAAAATGGTATCAGTACAGGAACAGGGCATCTAGGATCATTGTAGATTCCGCGTAAAAAATTCTTTCGAGTGGGTACTTGCCACAGCCAACGACAGGGGCTACTTGCTTCTTCAAGGGTACACCAATCGACTGACACCCATCTGCACATTCGAAAAACGTCGATTGAAGGGGCATTCTAAATGAGGCTCATGATTCAGAAAAAGCAAATAAGAGCCTACTGTTAATAGATTTTCTTTACATATATATCTTTGAATTGAGTTGATTCTGTCTGCTGCATCTTGCGGGGATGAACTTGAAGCTCCAGGAAGCTGAAGTGAGGTTGCCCTTGCAGAATTGCTTCTGTTAGTCTAATGTAATGCCCTGCAAACCAAAACAACATCAACTACAAGTAACGTGGATGTCTATTCTCCTAAAGTTTTACATTGTAATTTCTACATGGTAAAGAGTATAAGAAAATTTGATGCAATAACAAACACATGAAACTCTACGGGAAGAGCAGGCTGTGGTTCTGAATTTTGAATCTGGAAGAAATTCTTGTCAAAGACCACATATTATCAAACATCAAATAAAGCAGTACTGGTGACGATAATAATTAGCATGAAGACAAGATGTGGGAGAAAAGGGAGGTTTCGGGATAAGGAATATATAAAACAACAAATTGAGTACCAGTTGCAGCTTTGATAAAACTATTGACTAAAACATAGTATACTGGAGACACTACAATTAAACGGGTAAGATGATTTGACTGCGTGATAATCTAGCATTAAAAGTGGTTTACACAAGCATTCAACATGAACCCCTAACAGTTGTCATTCAGATACCATCCAACGGACATCAACATAATTATGGATTACCTGTTAGCATGAGGATCAGAACATCTTTTTGGATGCTCGGTACATTGAAGAAATCAGGATCAGCATCAGTTTCTTAGCGCTAGAAGCAACCAAAAAAACCCTGATTAGCAGTCAGTGGGCTTCAGCCTTCAAGGACAAAAAGTAGTACGCATTATAAGGGTTATTGGTTACCATTAACTGTCTTAAGTCTCAACATTATAAACGACAGAGAGCAAAGAACACTAGAAGGGACTGCTGGCAGTTATAATCAGCAGGGCATAAAAGCGATTGTCAGCACATTTTGTAGCAGGAGAGTCAATAGAAACCCTGCAGTAGAAGCAACAAAAAATGATTCAGACTATGATCCACCACAGAGCAATGGAAACATATTACACTCTAGTGTAACATACTAGTAAGCATGAAGTTCAGCAATGGCTAATCTGAGACCAGAGCTAGCAACGATTTAGCTGACTCATACTCGAGCTTAATTGACTAGGAAAAGTCAAGCTCGCTCGTTTTACAAGAGAATTCTATCATCGAACATCAAACAAAGGCATGAATATTAAGGCAATCATTAGCAGGACGACAAGATGTGGGGAGAAAGGGAAGTTTTGAGATAAGGAATATTTAAACGCAACAAATTGAGCACCATTTGCAGCTTTGATAGAACTATTGACTACAACATAGTATACGTGAAAAACTACATTTACACAGCTAAGATGAAGACTTCGCTTCGTGATAATCTAGCATGGAAAATGGTTTACATAGGCATTCAACATTTACACAAAACTAACTGTCATTCAGATACCTCCCAATAAACAACAACATAATTATGTATTACCTGTAATTCAGATACCACCCAACAAACAACAACAGAACTCCGATCTCTGAAAGACAAAGGACAGTCTCGTGAAAATGTGATTCACCTTTCACAATTCAGTAATCTCTTGACACACAATCCAAAACTTTAGATGGCTCTAAGATTCAATCAATTATCCACCACAAACAGCTCATCCACCTGAAGGAATCTGATAAAATGCAAGCAACTTAATCTTTCCTTCCACCCAAGAAAATCATAGCTTCTAGAAATTAAAGCTAGAAGTATACATACTCCATTAACCTGAATATAAGAGGTGGAATGCAAGGTACGAGCTCTACGATAGGTGGAATGCAAGGTACTAGCTCTAGGAATTAAAGCTAGAAGTATACATACTCCATTAACCTGAATATAAGAGGTGGAATGCAAGGTACGAGCTCTACGATAGGTGGAATGCAAGGTACTAGCTCTAGGAGAGGTGGATTGAAGGCCGCTTCCTTCCACTAGGACAACATCATCATCTTATTTGGCCGCCTCAAATCCCATTGCATCAGACAGCCTAACATCAATCATGAACTCAATCAATTGCACAGAACAAAATCAAGAAACATACACAACATAATGTATCACGCTTTGGCTATTCTCTCTCCTGTACTCGAGAAGCTCCCTACACGCAGCGTAGTACGGGTACGATTCCAAGAGAAGACCTACGTACTAACACAATATCGAGTTAAGAGCAGAAGCAACGCATTAACCTTAACCCTACAGCACTATACAAAATGAAAGCGGGATCACCGCCATGCACAGACCAAACCCTAAGGAATGTTTCGACTGAGAACTCCGTAAGATCAGGAAGCAAGCGAATGTGTAGCGAACGGATTCTCCAACCTCGGGCCCCAGCGCCATTCCCACGGGTTTAACGATTCTTTGGGGAAAAAACGGAAGAACGAGTTCTAGAAACCCTACGCTACTATCCTAAAGCAAAATCGATCGAGCAACGCACCTGACTGACAAGGAGCGATCAGACTGGAGCAATTGGCAGCGATCTAAGTCGAGCCTATCAATTCGCACCAGAGCCGCGCTCTCACTCCCCAAATCAGACCAACTGCGGGTCGTAAATTTGCTCCGACCAAAATACGTGCGACATGCTCCGGCTTCGCGACCGGAGTGGGAAGAAAGCGGAGAGCGGAAGTAGGGAGATAAGGGAGATCTGGGAGAACGAGAGCGAATGAGTCAAGAGAGGTTCACACGGAAGTAAAGGGCGGTTGCTTATTGTGTCGCTGAGGTGGATTTGTGGTGTTTTATCCACCCTTGGATTTCAATTCTACGGTCAAGATCCATATTTATTGAGAATAATAATTTGAACTATATTTGTAAGCAAGTGTCTGTTCATTGGGCCTATACCCACCCCCACCAATCTACTAAGGCGCAGGTGAGCGTTAAAGAAGCCCATTTTGTTAACTTCAACAAAGTATCTTTCATTCTTTCATTCAACACATGCAATTAGCAATTGTAAAAGGAGAGGGCTAAGGTGCTAATCTCTTTAATTTAAGGTTATCTTGGTGGCCACCACCATCAACAAGTGGATACAATAACTTATATTATCTCATTGTAAACTACAAATTTTTTTTAAAGGAAAAAAAACCTACATTCATTGTAAACTACAAATTAGGTGACAATGTAATTGGAAAATACTTATAATGGAGGTAAGGTAATTTCCACCAAATTTTTTCGGTTTGTTTTTCATTTTCATTGAATTTTACAAGCATTTCAAAAGTAAAGGACGGATGAGTGTTGAAGGCCTTAACAAGCACTATATTCCCGTTAAATTTTTTTTTTTTTTTTTACAAAAGATAACTTGCATTATCAAGAAGCAAAAGATCACAAACGATTACACCTCCGTCTGGAGCCAAACGCAAAAATCAAATCCACTGATAAGAGCAGGAAACAAAGAATACTTAACTGTTTCTATATTTGTAATTTTATCTTAGCAGGGTGATTATCTACTCATTTTTATTGTTGTAGCTTACAATACTAGGGGTATTTAAATGATTACCATGGCTAATTACTTAACATGTTAATTTGGTTTGATTGGTTAACAGTGTCTGAAACTAAACCAAACAAACTAAAATGTTTAAACAAACCAAATCATTATCCAAATTTGCCAAATACTACCGTTTAAAACGGTTTCCATGATAACCACACCGTCTGAACACCCGTATACAAATACACCACCTATGTAGGCAAGACTCTTTTTCATGCTTTGAACTATTTGTTAATGAAAAACAAGCCCTATAAGCAATGGATTGGTACCATGAATACTCAAAGAGTGTCTTTTATATATATGAAACTAGGTGATTAATGATCATCAATAGTCCGATAACAAACGAGGGAGAGTTGTACATAAATCATGTTACGATGGCCTCTTCTATTCTAAGGCTTTTCCTTGCTCTCTCAACCTTGACACCATATCCTTCATGGCTTCCTTTCTCTTCTTGCTAGCCAAAATTTTCGCTTGAACGCCGCTGATGTTTGGGTCCTTCTTCTCTGCCGGCGGCGACGGGGGAGGCCTTCTCGCCGCTGCATTGGCGCCCTCCGGCGAAACAAACTTCAGGCCCACTAGCCCACCCATCAAACTCAAGCCCACAGACCTGCACAAAGACCACATAGATTCGAACTTTGAGATCGATCTAATGGTAATACTAATACGGAGGGAGTAGGTAGTAGAAGCGAACGAAACGAACCTGCGGGTGATCGAGCTATGACGGGACGGCTGAGGTACTACCAGTTGCGAGGGCAGCGGTGAAGTACTATCTGCAGCAGCATTGTGATTGGCGCCGCTGTTGCTAATACTACTGGTAGTGGCCGACGAATTTGGTGCCGCTGCCGCCATTAGAGAACGAACCATCATCACCGTCAATGGCGCATATCCCTCTCTGCAGTGCAAACTACTCAACACTTAACCCACTTATGTTGCTCAAAATGCACACATGTCGTGTGGTTTTATGAGCTTTTTTTTTTTTTTTTTTGGGTTTGACTGAGAAGTGAGAGATGCTGCATGTTCATTGGATGGCCTTCTGGATAAGATTTTCCCTTTGCTTCTTTCCATCTTTTAGTGGGCGCTCATTCCATGTTGATTGCTAGTGCTAATGTGCCATATTCCAATTGAATATTCTGCATTTTTCTGTTCTTTTTTCTCATAGCATCTTGCCTTTAGGCTTTGGACTGAAGCCCAAAAAAGCTTTCATGGGCCTCAGCTCCTTTGCCGAGCCAACTCGGAAGCCGGCCCAAGCCCGCTGGGTGCAGCGAGGGAGGTAACAACTAACTACCAGTTCACCAATCGGAGAAGAGTTGGATTCGCAGCAGAAAATGGCGGCTCTGTCTTCTGTTAAAACCGGCGGCGATTCAAGGTTTTCTCCTCTCTTTCCATGGACACTCAAACTCGTCCTCGCCCAAACTTCCTTCCTCTCTTTTATTTAAATTGAAGGCCCAAAAACCGGAAATTGGCCGGCGTTTCGGGTGGGAGGTAAGCGGAGGCCAGCGGAAACGGGAGACCCCCGCAAAGAAAAAGAAACGGATGCCAGAAACGGGCGACCACCGCCGAAGCTCCGAAGCCCAGGAATCATGGGCCATGCGGGACAAAAGGGGAGAAGGGGCGTTTGGTAAAGATGGGCTTCAATTTTGATAGGCCCAAAACGATTCTTCTTTATTTAATTGGAGGCCCAGATGTAAGAGGATGCGACGCCGTTTATATTGGAAGGTCGGCGGACGCACTGGGAAAACATGGGCTTCAGTCAGACAAAGGCCCAATAACCCTCCTCTCTTTTTAAATGAAGGCCCAGAAAAATGAAATCGTGGCGCGTTTCGATTGAGAGGTATGCGGCCGGCCAGCGAAAACGGGAAATCTCCGCAAAGTGAAAAAACGGGTGCCAGAAACGGTCGAAACGCGGAACGTTTCGTGTCCTCAAAACCAAAATCAAAACGCGATAAATTGACGAGAAATTGAAATTGACGAGATCTCGCGATATTTATGCGTTTTATTGACTTTTTGCGATATATTGACCCTATGCTTTATTGGCGGTTTGAGTAGCCAGAAAAAAATGGGGAAAACAACGAAAATCCGGAGGACGATCGCATAGAGACACGGGGAACCAACAGAAAACATAGTGCATTCATGAATTGCGCCCAAATTCGTGCATCCAATTGCGATTTGGATTCCAGAATGGGTTCGGTGGCCGGAATTCCAGATTCAGTGGTGGCGCCGCGGCCGTCCGGTGCGTGGAAGATGAAGTGGCAGTCCTCGATCCGGTCGTGGTTGTTCTTGGCCAGCTGAAACGCCTCCGCCGTCATTCTCAGCTGCGCAACCCCGGTCGACATTGTTGATTTCCTCCCAATCAAATCAAACTGACTGCGTGTAACTGCGAAACCGAAGCCTGAAAGGATACTGTCTCACTCTCACACACGGACTAGGAATCTAGGATAGCCTAATTACAAACTGGACCTCCAACTTTCCTTTTCTACGGATTTGGACCTCCCTCGCACGTCAACTAAAAGTGAGCCTTTGTAATGTACTTGCACTAATGTTGTTCCATGATCTCATGCACATACATACAAGTAGAACTATGACGATTGAAACAGATGGTTATACATGCATTGAGCGACGTGTGAGTAAATATTTGGGCATATAATTAAGGATCAAGTGTAAGAAAACCGTTTGAGTTGAGACTCGGTTTCAAGGTTGGAGTTACAACTATTATATGAGGGAAGTGACTATGAGTCCATGGTTACATATAAATACATTTCCTTCCACGGCAAAGAATGGCAATTCAAATTATAGATTCATGTTATTGGTCGTAATGATCAAGGACTAATTTGATATAAAAAAAACTATGATGTACTTGAGGTATAATACATTCCATCTTGTAAAAAATACATTTACAAGTTAGAGCACCCTTTTGTGTCCTCTTTGAGTTTGTGTAACAAATAATTAGTCTTTCCATCAACATAATAGTGTAAGTTTATAACTATGAGCAAACATTACACTTTCCTAATTCATAATAAGGAATGTGGTTAAAGAAATATATTTCGTTATCAATGAACAATAAACGTTCAAATGAGACACGAATATATATATATATATATAAAAGAAATGAAGTACGTACATTAATCTTAGTATAGCCTTCTATAGCTTACAATTTTGAAACCCAATAAAATTATTAAGCTAGTGATGTTGATAAATCTCCAATATCATCAAGGAATAAAAATAATTTGAAACTTGCATCTTTTTGCATTAACAGCCAAGACATGGAAAAGAAAGCATCTAATACCTACCTTCATATTCCTTCCTTCATCAAAATTTGCTCCTAAAAAATAATACAAATAAAAATATTTTAGCTTTTCTCCACTCGTCACTCTCTCTTCTGGCGGTGTCATCCCCATCTGGCCATCCATCGTGCTTTCTATATATTGACCGAACCCTAATCAAAATCCAACGGATTTTATTTCCTTGCCCCGTTTACTGGTTTTGATCTCGATTCATAAGCATTCCAGCTCGCAATCATGGATGAAGAGTACGACGTGATCGTGCTGGGCACTGGTCTCAAAGAATGCATTCTCAGTGGCCTTCTCTCCGTCGACGGCCTCAAGGTCGCCTTCTTCTTCTTCATCATCTTCCTCTTGTCGCTTACTGTTTGCTTGATGGGTTCGTTTACCAGCAGGTGTTAACATCCGATCATGGTTTTCTGATTTGATTGTTGAAAGTACGGATGTGTTTCTATTGATTCCAACTGGGTATCTAAGATTTGATCTAAAAGTTTTGAGGGCGGGATCAGAATGAATGATTTTGATTTTGAATCTAAAGGGGTGCTGAATTTCGTTTGGTTGTTAAAACTGTACTCTTTAGCTGACTGTTTGAAGTTCATGTCCCAGTAAATTCACCCTGATTTATTATGGTATGGGATTTGGATGGCCGAAGCCTAAATTTTAGCAGCCAAATCATTGATACAGGTCGGAAATCAATGGCAGTGAATGGAGCTCAGATTAGTTACCTTTTAGAGTCGCTTCTCACTTAGCTCTAGATCATAAGCATTTGTGGCTGCAGAGAACACCTCTACTATTTATTCACACTGCCTTGGGGAGCTGTTGTAGAATTGGCCTAATTGGTTATACTATCTTAGGTTTCTGATATCCCTTCTTTAGAGGGGAAACTGAATCACTTTGACGAGTTTCAGCATTCCTCTGGAAATTGAAGCCATTGGATAGCTTGTGGGACGGTCTCTGCGAAATAAGAGAATGCTTTATCCTGGCTCATTTGTTGTTGCTACTGGATTGGGTTTTGGCATGCAATGTTGGTTGTGAACCAGAAAAAAAGTTGTTATCTTTGAGTTTGCTGGATCTATTGTATTTGCATGCATGATGACTACCTATTTCATTTACTGAACAAGTTCTGTGCAAATCCCTATAAACCTTATATGTGCTGCTTCATGCCAGGTTCTGCATATGGATAGGAACGACTATTATGGAGGCGAATCTGCATCCCTTAACCTTATTCAGGTCTTAGTTGATCAAGAATGATTTCTTCTCTGCAATTCCTCGTACGCAACAGAATATTCACTATGCTATTTGTTAACAGCTCTGGAAGAGGTTCAGGGGAGCTGATACACCTCCAGCAAGCCTTGGCTCAAGTAGGGATTATAATGTGGACATGATCCCCAAGGTTAGTTCCTTTTGATAACTGCACTTCTGATTAACTGGATGCTTGATTGCCAGTTTCAACTTATCAATCTTGGTCCATTTTCGGTATTGTAGTTTATGATGGCCAATGGTGTTCTTGTACGAGTACTCATTCACACTGATGTCACAAAGTATCTCTCCTTCAAAGCTGTTGATGGTGGTTTTGTCTATAACAAACAAAAGGTAAAATCATATTGCTAATCATTCATGGTGTTTGTCAGTGGAGGGGTTTTTTCTGGTTACATAAATTACTCAAGAGGTATGTTTTTGAAATGGCTGTAATAGGTTCACAAGGTGCCAGCAACTGACATGGAGGCATTGAAGTCTCCCTTGATGGGTATCTTTGAAAAGCGTCGAGCTCGCAAGTTTTTCATTTATGTCCAAGATTATAATGAATCTGATCCCAAAACACACGAGGGACTGGACTTGACCAGAGTGACCACCAAAGAATTGATTGCGTATGTTGTTCCTTTCACTTTGATAATCGAGAAAGGACATTTGCATGATCCAGTAAATGTTTGTTTTGATGCTTGTTAGTTGTGCACTAATGGTTAAAAGCCTTTTTATTCTTAGGGTGAAAGCATACTGAATTTGCTTATCTATCTTCAGTTTGTTTCCTGGCTTCGTTTCATTGTGCTGTTACGTCAAGTAGTAGAAGCTGAAACTTTAATTGAATGCAAGGAGAGTAGCTTTCGTTGTAGGTTTAGTAATACACATACTCTAACTTCACTTATGGTTGGAGGAGGAAAATTGTTTTTGAAGTAGAGGCACTTACTTGGCTTTCATTTAGTTCCAGTGTGATACTTATCCTGACTCTATGTTGCCAAATACATGAGTGTCCTTTCTTATTGGCTGTTTGGGTTGTTGGCAGGAAATATGGTCTTGATGATAATACCATAGACTTCATTGGTCATGCCTTGGCGCTGCATAGGGACGATCGATATCTTAATGAACCTGCTATAGATACAGTGAAGAGAATGAAGGTAGAGATATCTGGGTTTCTGGCCGTCTTTCCAACTTAGGTTCCACTTTCTATATTTTATTATTTCGTTCTGCATTAAGCGAAAATGTCCTCACTTGTTCCAGCTGTATGCCGAGTCTCTTGCTCGTTTTCAAGGTGGATCACCTTATATTTACCCCCTATATGGATTAGGAGAGCTGCCACAGGTTCACATTAATCCAATTACTCTCTTTTCTGTTTTCTCTTTCTCCCCCCTTCTTCATTGTTTTGCTTTTACTTACAGTATGAAGCCATGATCTCTCAAATGTACTCGATCTTACCTTTCTGATTATATCATGTCAGGCATTTGCTCGTCTGAGTGCAGTCTATGGTGGCACATATATGTTGAACAAACCTGAATGCAAGGTACTCAATCATGTGTTTGGCTCTGTGACTTAAAACTTAGAGAGCAAAATGCTGCCAATACCTCTTTTCCCCATGGGAAAATTTGACTGTATATGGCTTTGGTGTTTCAGGTAGAGTTCGACGATGGAGGCAAGGTTATTGGCGTAACCTCAGAAGGAGAAACTGCTAAGTGCAAGAAAGTGGTTTGTGATCCGTCCTACTTGCCAGGAAAGGTACATTATTTTTACGGGACTATTAGTTTTATCTTTGGACTTCTATTTCCTCTTTAGCCTCTGCTGATTTCTCTGTGAATATGAACAGGTTAGGAAGGTCGGTAAAGTTGCTAGGGCGATTGCCATCATGAGCCACCCAATTCCCAACACCATTGACTCTCACTCAGTTCAGGTTATTCTTCCACAGAAGCAGCTGGGTCGCAAATCAGACATGTAAGCTATATAGTTCTGGTCTTTTTCCTATTAATTATTTTCTGAACCAGTTACTGTTTTAGAGCTTTGTGTGTGATTAGGTAAGAAGAATACATTAGCTACAGAAGCCAATAGCTTTAGAATTACTTGTGAAGGATTCTTCTTTTTTGAACTCTAGGCTGATTGTGCAATACTTCTGCCTGATGGAGCAGGTACCTTTTCTGCTGCTCTTATTCCCACAATGTTGCTCCAAAGGGGAAATTCATCGCTTTCGTATCGACCGAGGCGGAGACAGATAACCCTCAGGTGGAGTTGAAGCCAGGGATTGACCTTCTTGGTCCAGTTGATGAAATATTCTTCGAGAACTATGATAGATATGAACCAGTAAACGAGCCATCTCTGGACAATTGCTTTATATCTGCTGTGAGTAACATCTTCCCGTTCAGTTGGACACCTAAAGCTTCGTCACCTCCCTGCCTATGTGTTCCAATAACTGTCTGTTGAATGTTATCTTGAACAGAGTTATGATGCGACAACACACTTTGAGTCGACTGTCACTGATGTCCTTAACATGTACACAATGATAACTGGAAAGGTAATAAACTTCGTACCTTTGTCAAACCTGTCGGACCTCATCATAATCCAGTTTCTCATGTTTTTTGTTCTCTTTTCTGCAGAATCTCGACCTGAGCGTGGATTTGAGTGCTGCCAGTGCTGCAGAAGAGTGACGAAGCTGCTCTGCCTCACTTTCCTGCATCACTCAGCCTTAATGTTCCCCAGTTCTGGAGTCTGTTTAAACTTTGTGTAAGATCGCTATCATAGCGAGACTGGTCTTCTGTTTTCAGTTAACATCAGGAACTGAACTATATGTTACAAATGCCATGTCTAGAAAACTATGTTTGTTCTTCCTCAGTTGTCTGCAAAGTCTTGAAAAGGTCACAGTTGTGGGCTGGTTTGTGCTTTCCCGGGAAATTTTCAGTTTTCCTGATATCTGGTTTCAGTTTGAAAAGGTCATGTTGCAGTTGCAGCTACTACTACTGAAAATGTCCATTTCAGGTTGTGCTTCAATGTTCTGATAGTCGGTTCCTTGTCATTTATTTTATGTTAGATTGAAGGCTCAGTTTTCTTCAGCTGTTAAGTACCTATATGGCTATATCCATTAGTTGCCTGCTTCTTTAGGTTAATCATGCAACCAATGGGATAACAGAAAAAAAAAACTCAAAACTTCTTTTTATTAAGACTTGACTTTTGTTTCTTATGATATCACTTGAATGTAATACTGTATGTTGAGCCATGAGCTGAAACTGTGTGGTATGATCATACATTGTGCTTTCAAAAGCTATCATTGATTAACCGGTTAGTACATATTAGAGCTGGACTTGCGCGTTGCAATCAATGTTGGCATCAATTGGGACAGGTGCACTGACGTCACAATCCAGGGAGACCTTTGGCGAGAGAAGCATCAACGAGATTACCCACGATAGCCGATTTGAAGCACTTGCAGTACTCACTGCGAATGGCGGTAGTGTTGGCCTTGGCATTCAACTCCTTCACGCTAAAGCAACATGCTGGAGATGGAGATGGAGTTGCCTTGGTGAGGTATGCAGAGCAAGGCAGCAACTCGATGAGGCGATCGTTGCATGTCACGACGCGTCGAACACTCGTCGCTGATGAATTCATAGTGATTACCGCTATCATCCACAACACTAATGCTATTGTAGTTGTTTTCGTGCCCATGATGTTTCAGTAGTTGAATTCATAGGAATGAGATAAGCCAACTTCTGCTTTTCACAAAGAAATCAACAAAAAAAATAGCTCTGTTTCAAGTAGCTAGACAACAATCTTCTCGCCATAAGGTGTACTTAATAGTAAAAAAGGAAAGTAATTTCAGTCAAATACTAAAAAAGGAAAGTATATTGGTACACTCGAAGTCATTGGGACAACGCAACGCAATAAGCTCGCAATAACAATACACTCTGAGCTTATGTACTTCGACAAAATAAGACCATGTTTGGCAGAGTAAAACTTCAAGTATATATCTAACTTTTCTCAACTGTTATCACCATCAATTTACAAAAAAGTCAGCTTTTCCCCCATTATGGTTCAACTGCTCTTATGGGGTCCATGGGAAGAAGCTGCAGCAGTTCCCGTTCCAGTTCCATTATAATCACCAACAATCTCCCGTCCTTCTCCATTGTTGTTCTCTTTCTTTGCCATTTTCGCCATTTGGAAGGCAGCGGCCAGAGGAGCAGCAGGGGGAGGAGGAGAAGAAGAATCTTCTCTGTCAGCAGCAGCATGATGGGTAGTAGACGACCCACCATTGGCAGCAGCCTTTCTTAGAACGGTGTTCTTCTTGGCTTGCTTCGCCCAACCGACCAGTCCCACTTGAACGTGCTCGTCGAATACCGCCTTGTTGAATTGACTTCCCATCTGTTCATGTTAATCAGCACAGTTGCTTTTGGTTGAGTTTCAAATGGGACGTTGTGCTGAATTGATCACAAATTACAGGTAAAATATGAAGAAACTATCACTTTGACCATTGAAGTTAGCTACCTGCTACACTATTCAACCTCCTAAATTATTAACTTTCTAAGGCCAAAGTCATCAACTCATTTTTTCCTTTGAGTTCAAACTCCTTTCACAACTATCATAATCTTTCATTTCGATCATGGCGCCCTAGAACTCAAGGATATGAACTGAAAATTTAGAGAAGTAGAGAGGTCAAGTTGATAGTTTGTTAATTACAAAATAGGGTTACCTGTGTCACCAGGGCATAGAGAGGAAGAGTGCTATAGCTGCAGACAAACTGCACAAATGCCCTGAAACATGGGAGACGAAATTCAAACAAAGTACATATGGAGCCTTTTCACTCCATAAAATTGTGATTTATTTATTCATGAATGAATGAACAATTGAAGGAAAGCAGTCTTACCCTATAATGAGTCTGGGGATGATGTAACCGACTTTCCCCATTATGCAGGAATCGAACTTGTATTGAAGCTGCGATTTTGAAGTCATTTTTAATATAACGATGAGGAAAATATTGAGAGAGATCAATTCATGAAAAGAAGAAATAGAGATCAGTAAAAAATGGATGATTCTATGTTCAGTTGCTCACTCACCCATATGAAGAAGACAAATGCAAGTTCAAAGGAGTTCTGGAAAAGGATGATATGGATAAGGAACAGAACAAGCTTAGGTTTGCGGAACCAGAAGAGATCATCTGAAGGCTGAACCACTAAATCTCCAGTCACAGCTACATGTTTCTCAGCTACTTCATGGGCCAGTTGGGTTATGATGTGCTCTAACTTGGTACCGACGGCCAGTAGAAGCTGCACAAACAAATACCAAACATCAATACAACAGAGGGATTCCTTTCATAAAACCAATGAAGCCAGCAGCTCTTCGGTTGCTGCTTGGACTACAGCAACATAAAAGACATGTAAAGAACAAATCGGATGCGAAAGGGAAGTTTTCGTCAGCAGTATGATGGCTTACACCAAAGGGAACAAAAGCGATCCAGAAGTATGCATGCCATCCTGCATAATGGAATGTGAAAATTGTGTCAGCACTGAGCATGAGCCTCATATTATCACAACAAGAGCTGAAATACGGTTTGAAGTCTCACTCACCAGCCACATTCAGTAACAGGAAGATAACGACAAAGACCCAAAGATACCAACTGCAGAACCAAAAACAATGTAAATGATAAAGCTAAGGGTCTCACAGCTCCATTTAGATGCTACCCAATGAATGTAGTTAAGATAAAGTATTTAGCAACTGCACCTGATACCGACGACTTTCTTGAAGTCAGCTTCGAGCGCTCGCATCATGTACTTGTGGAAATTGAACTTTGGATTTCCCCTGCAGTGAGTCTGCCAAGAGGTATTGTTTCAGAACAATAACAGAAGTTTAAAAAAGGGGGAAACATTGACAGTTACACATAAAAATATAGTGAAATTGAAGGTGTTGCAGGACAAATAGGTAGAACCCACCATGATGAAACCTGCCCGCAATGTGATGTAATCGGATTTGCTAACAGATCCATAGAACTGCTTGAAAAATGAATGCTGCAACATACAATAATGTCAAGAATGGAGGTGTCATCAAAAGAATCCTACAAAAGCTCCAGTCTTTTGTATTGATTTTCCATCCTCAATTGGATATTCTCATTTGGATTTTAAGGCACATACCACCAAGCCAAAAAGGTAAGAGTTCCTCCCCATTCCTTGAAACCGGTTCTTGATGAAATCATGATCCTGGACATGGATAAGTCTACCACCTTTTGCTGAAAAAGGAGACCCACAATAAGCAATACTACTGTAATAATTTGATTCTTTGTTTAGAACATCTTTTGTTTCCCCCATTCTCTTTCTACTTCAAGTGACAAGAAGGTTCATTTGACTCTTGTTGAAACTACAGTTGTTTTCATGTTAACATATCTTAATCGGGTTGATCCAGAACTAACAGTTCATATACCACAATACCACAAATTCAGAGTTCAGGTACAGAACCAACCAAAATAAAAAGGTTAAGGGAGTTCAAATAGACCTTCTAGCCTATTTTAGTTCATATTCTCCTCCTAACTCAAAAGTTACAGCAGGTGATAGAATGAATTAATTACTTACCATTTTCAGGGTCCAAATCCTGCTTTGAGACAGCATCTTCCCAATGCTTCCACTGTCTTATCTGGGCATTACCAAAAAAAACATACCAGAATGTTTTTTAGGAAAATGTCGTCATCATCACTAATGTAGAACATACTAGGGAAGAAGCACTAAAAGAAGCGACACAACATTACTTTGATGAGAATGTTACTTTACCTTTGCGCTTCCAAAAAGAATGGTGAGAGCTGAGAAAGCAACATGGACACAAGCCAGCACGAAGATGAATATGTGAAGATGGTGCAATGCTGTTGTCGATAGGATGGGCACCTTCCCCTGTAAAATTTTCAGTAATTACTAAACTAAATTATTCTCCTTTGACTGATTCAACAACTTAATCACAATTTGTATCATGAAGTCAGCATGCATAGATGTCCCTGAACTACCATATACAATACTTAGAGGCAAGTCCTTAGGTTGGAGTTCCAACTGCGTCGATTGATGTTCAATCCTTGCTCTCATCATCATATAGTAATCTATAAATAGAAAACAACAATATCTAGTGACAATTGACCAACTCAACTAGTTTTATTGAGAGAGGACGTCATTCTACAATCCACAAGCTCTCTCAAGATTGCCAATTTGCATCATTTAAGAACCATAAATATGCAGAGGAGAGGAGAGGAGAGGAGAGGAGAGTCCAAAGCTCCAACGGCCAAAAATTCAATACAAATGGGCCCTCCACTTATGATACTTAATTATATAGAGAAAAGGTTAGTGATAATCCTGCAACTGGGTCAACTACTTGCCAGAATTCATAACAGTTAATTAAGGTTAGTAATTATTGTTCTGCGCGTACCTCTTTGCAGCTGTTCCCAGCGGCCTCCGCCAGAAGCCGACGGCTCCCCCCGCCGCCGCCGGCGAAGAAAGAGAACGAAGAAGTCACGAAATGCTTCGCCGCCGCCGCAGTCGATTCCGACTCATCTTCTTTATTGCACGGCAGCCATTCCTCGGCCAAGTGCTTGGGTATGCAGATGGAGTTGATTCTGTTCTGGAACACCGTCAGCAGCAGGGAAATGAACCCCAAAAGCATCAGTTCTGCCCCCCAACCACAAAAATCAGAACCGTCAGAATCACAAATCACATTTCAGAAGAAGAATAGACATGAGAGAGAGAGAGAGATTGTGGGAAAGTTGCCTTCTTTGATCTTCTGCAGGGCTTCGAACAGCGGCTTCTGGTTTTTCCGCTTCATCAACTGCAGCCAAATTGGGGGAACCCGATCAGAATTAAGAACGGCGGGCGTTCATTATTTGGGGTAGTTAATATTATTATTATAATGTTTAAAAAAAAAATGAAGAGCTTGCCTTGCCGAGGTAGTGGAGGAGCCGCTCGACGGCGAGGGATATGACGACGATGAATGTGCAGACGACGGCGACGACCCATGTCGGAGTGAACTCCAAGGTGGTCCCTCCTTCCGTCATTTTCGGTTTCCCTGTGTTTTTTCTGTTGGTTTCTCTCTCTAGCAGAGTGTTTTAGTAGAGATATATAGAGAGAGAGGGTAAATTGGGGGGGAAATGAAGAGGGAGGGAAGAATCGAAGTTGCAGAGTGGTTGGCTATTGCTGCGGTGGAGGGTAATTCCGTCATTCGGTCGGTCCTCAATTCGCTGCGGATTACGCGATTGTAGTTGTATTTTTTTTTTTCGTAAATGGGATTAATTTGGCAATTAGTAATTACAGCTAGGGGTCATTTAGTTGATTTTGGTACACATCGCTTCAATGTGTACGATCCGGAACTTGAACATTGGCTACTGAACATCATGGGCATTCTTCATGATCGTCTGATTATTAATACGATTTAGACGTTTGTCGTCGACTTTCTACCAAAAACAATATATTGTACGTGTTTTAATTTTGAAATGCAAATACATAATATGTTGTAGGCCAATCTTATTACTACTATTAGTCTTTAGACACTTCTTTATACTGTTTATTTTTCTTATCAATCGACGACCTCATTTTACAAATATGTGAACTTTAACTAAAGATACGTGTAAACAACGAACAAAACAGCTTATCGTCACAAACTCGATCATAACTTGTGACTATGATGCGTTAAAGTATAACCATGTAGCATTGATATATCATTTATTGGGTAATGGGTACCAGTTCATCATTGTAAAAGCATCACTCTTCCTTCTTCTTTCCCAACCCCAAGGAATGAAAAAAGCTCCATTGTAGGTTAAGTAGTGAAAGAGAGGTATTATCATGACTAATTAGCTGTAATCATCGGATTCAATAAAAAATACCCGGCTAATTATTCTGCAGAAAAGGAAAGTTGCATAGAAGTTAGGCCACAGGAGGGGCTGCTAATTATAATTATGAGCTGATTAATTAATAAGTTGAGCAGTAAATGGTTTCTGGAAACCGCGTAGTGATGTGATGCTGCATCATTCACGGGAGAACCAACAGAAAGAAGAAGAAGATTTTGGTCCTTTCTCACTTGGTTGGTTGCACCTTTCTCCTTTCTTCCATTCCCCCCCTCTTAATTGATTCCATTTCATTGTGTAAAATGAATGTAAAGCTCATCTTTCTAATAAAAAACATTTGTTCAATTCCATGTTGGTTTTGCTGTGCCTGCGAGTAAACAATGATTCAGGAAGATGATGAAAATAGACGGTGCCTGAATTTGCACTAAGGGTATCACTCAATAGGTTGATTGATCGTTGAATTTGAGCGATGAATTAGAACTTCAAATCTATTTCTAAAAACATTTACATAAATAAGTTGTCATAATTCAAATAAAAAATGACTTTCGAGAAATTGATAATTTAAACATGATCAAAATCATGCAAGCCACTTTTGCTTAATCATTATTAATTTCAGCTGCCTATTTCATTCATTGGATTGGAAAGAATGTAATCAACCAACCCTCTTATTTGCCCTTGCCATAGTGGTTGTACCCACGTTCCTTTGACAACTTTAATATCATTTCTTTCTGGTCCATCTTGTTTTTGTAGGTTCTTCATTTTCTTTCCAATTAATAATTTAAAAGTTCCCCTTCATCCTTGCCATTCCACTCCATAGTCACATTCTATTCACTAACCGGTTTTATCCGTAGCTCGATTCCAATAATAAATCAAACGCATATCAATACTCAATTGGCTGTCAAAATATGATTAGAATATACTATTCACGGTCTAGATGAATAATTAATAAGTGTTCAATGGTTGTTCATGATGAACTCATGTCTAATTGAGTTTTTTTTTTTTTTTTGGTAAACCATGTCTAATTGAGTTGAATCAACGTGGTACATTTTCATCCATTTTCACTAATTGTTCCCTATCGTGATACCAAACTGTCAACTATCTTCCAAGTACAAAACCAAGCTGAACCGTGTATTAGATATTGAGTCTATATAATGCTATATGTTTGTGTCTAGTTGGGTGTAAGAGATAGACACGTAAGAGAATTGAGGCGCGAGTAGTTATGATTATTTGAACTATAGCAATCGTGAGTATGAGAGAGAGAGAGAGAGAGAATGATATTAATTTTAGCGAGGAAATGACGATCTCTTTCTCCTTGGAGTAAATGTTATATTTATAGCATTTACTGCGACAAGTGAACATTAAATGTGAAGTGACATTGTGTCAGACCGTGAGATGGCTTCTGGCTTCTAGGCGCTTGCCAATTGCCATTCCACACTGGTTACGGCACGCTGGGACTTAGCCATATCCCCAACACTATCAATAAGCCTTGAACAATTAGCGTCACCAAACATCGATTGATAGTGAAGTGATTCTCCCACTTCTACCAACACATTCCATTCTTAAACAAACAGTTTGAAAGCAAACGCCAAAAGGAGGAAAGCTGAAAAGGAGAGACGGGGTTGAAAAATAAGGTGGCCACCGAATTGGTAAGGAACGGCTGAAAACGCTTTGGTTGTCAAGAGAGTTTTCGGCCCAGAGGTAACTAGTACTACACTAACACTACTACTACTACTACCAGACGAGAGATTCCTGAATTATGTACAATGGCGGGCCAAATTGCGCACCGATTGAACGATGCCTGCCCTATTCGGTCATGTCAAAGGCCTGGCTAGAGAGGGGCCAAATGGTATAACTAATCAAACATGCTAAAAAAACGAGAACCCGAAAATCAGTGGTCGACGAAAGCCGAAGGGTTCATTTAGCTCAAATGCATCAAAAGTGTCGAGCCAACGCTAATTTCATTCAACTACATGCTATTACAAATGCACTGTTCCACATACACCCAACCAAACAATCTGATCCGCAAACAAATTTCAACCCTCTTCATTCCGGCCAAAGATTGTATACAGGGATCGAAACGAATCCAAACGGTTTATCGGTCGTGACCCACATCGGATGATGTCTAACTGATGGAATGAGGATAAGAACTAGGGATGGTAACTAAGAAGTCGAATGATTTCACATTCAGTGACATGTTAACCCTAGGAGAGAGAGCATCCCGAAAATTGGTATTAGTACGATTTTGCAATTTGATCCACATACCGTTCTTCCCAAAGATGGGGCAATTCAATCAACAAAGCAAAGGGGTGGACAAGAAAAAGGAACAAATGTTACAAACAACACAAATATATCCAGGGCAGCGGGTGAGCTAGTTCCTATCAACCTTTAGATGCTTGGAAGGGGGAACATTTTTATGTACATCGAAGGGAAACAACAACAACAACAACAACCAAAAAGGGAAAATCGGGGGGAAAAGGTGAATTACCTGAAAAACAAACAATACAAAGGGAGAAGAATCATTGGAAGGCACCTGGATCGAAGGCAGATGAAGAAGAGTCGTAATCGGGGTTGAATGCCAGGGCCTCCCTGTAAATCAGCTCCTTCATCTGTTCTTCGGACAGTGCACGCTGCTCGAAGTCAAAACTGAATGGAGTCATGCACACTGGCTCGTCACTGATGTCGTGGAGAGAGTTTAAGTACGGATGAGCAAGTGCGTCTTCAACTGTTGTCATCAAAATAATCGACATTGCTATTGTTATTATGAAAGGACAGTTTGGACTTAAGAAGCTGACAACAAGTACAATCGATGAATCACCTGTTATTCTCTGTCTGGGATCGAATGTCAGCATCTTTTTGACGAGATCAATGGCTGATGGGTGAACAGTTGGAAACTTCTCAGTGAATGATTGTCGCCGATAGAGAGGAAGCTGTCGAATGTATCTCTTTGCATTTTCATTTAGGAACCCTAGCTCGGCCTCCGTAGGTGTGCCAATGAGCTGCACACATTGGTCAAATGATTAAATATTGCTCGCCACAATAGCAGTAAATAGGAAGGAAGCCACCTTATCAATTACGATTAATAAGAACAAAGTACAGAAGGTTGCCGATTCAGAAAGAGGGGGAAAAACAAAAGCCAGACATCTAACTGGTCATTTGGATGGTGGAATGTTGAGAATCAAGGGAAGTGGAACATATATTTACAACAATACATGGAATGTGAAATGAGTGGAATGTAGACATTCCATAATTTGGATGCTCAATAGGAGAGGATTTCACATTCCATCACCATGAAGGGAGATTTGAAATTTCAAAAGGCGATGGAATTAAGGATTGAGATTTCAGAATTCCAACGAGAGTAGCCCGATCTTTTACTTGCCAAACGAAGGATTGTTCACATTCCATCAGCAAAAAAGATTACAGGCACAATCCCACACCAAACAACCCCTAAGCTTAAGTGATCTCCATTAAAGGGCAGAAGGTTGCAAATCAAAAAATGAACAGTTCAACAACAGAAGACAGTCTGAAGCTTAAATTACCTCCATTAACAAGCGAAGCTGGTGGACATGATCTCTGCCAGGAAACAGGGGCTTCCGGTCCATCAACTCCATAAAAATACAACCGACCGACCACACATCAATAGCAGCAGTATAGTCAGACGAGTTCAGCAACAACTCCGGAGCTCGGTACCATCTTGTAACGACGTACTCAGTCATAAAATCAGTTTCAGAGGTAACACGAGCAAGCCCAAAATCACAAATCTTCAAGTCACAGTTTGCATTCAGGAGAAGATTGCTCGGTTTTAAATCTCTGTGCAGGACGTTTGCTGAATGGATGTATTTCAATCCACGAAGAATCTGGTACAAGAAATACTGCACAAACATTCAAAGAAAAGGTTTAATTCCAACTGGAGCTTTGCACAAATGGAAACATGTATCTTAATAAACAACTTCCGCTTTCTAATATTGCTGATAATAGGAATGTTTGGCGTTCTAAACCATTTCCAAACTACTAAAGCTTTCAAATTTATAGCTCCTACGAGAAATACTTCTTATGAAGACTCTTAAAAGGGAAATACAAGGACCATATTCTCCCCAGTACTAGATAGATTCAAGAAAAGAAATCTCAGATCAGATATCAAATTTAACCATTCCCTTAGGAAATACTAGCTCACAGTCACCTAGACACACTCATACAAATAACTTTACTTTGTTACAGGACCAAGTTGAAAAGAGTGCAATGCAGTGGGCTATATTAATTACTAAGAACCAAACAAGAAGTTAAATATCAAGCAATCAAAAAATGAGGAACATTAGCTAGAAACTAAAACCCCAATCTACCATAGGAGGACATATTGGGTGACATTTCCCCTGAAGGATAAACTAGAAGAGCAAGAAATTCTCATATACTCTGTACGGGAACTGCCACAAGAAAGACTTATTAAAGATATGGACCATTTTACATAAAACCACTTGTCATTAGCCTCAGAAGAAACTGACGAGTTACAATTTTTTACAAGCTCTTACTCCAAACTAGATCTAAACCCTACATACACACAAACACCAGGTTGCAAATTTTTCAAAACGGATATAAATACTGGTGTTTGGAGATGCACCCATAAGAAAGGAACCGATTAAGATGAACTTGAAGGGTAGAAACAGCTAATGCTACTTCATATGCAACTAGCTCGTACTCCATAGATCCAAATTATATCCAAATTCTAACTCATAAAAACACAAACTAGGTTGCGAGTTGCAACCTTTTCAATACACCTTAAGAGCAAAAAATGTGGCTGGTGGTTCGTCGAGCACCAAACTCAGATAGTAGATCTTGATAACTTCTTGGCAATGCTAAGGTACCAAATCAATATAGTTAATCACTCCCTTTGAGCATATCATTTATGCGGAAAGAGGTGAAATGGATAGAAGTTCAAAGAATTTCCAATTTGTGTAAGTTAAAGAAGATTTGATGATTGCATGTGAACTCTGGGAACTTGCTTTTAGGTGTATTGCCAAAGTGTGACTCTAAAGAAGCTAGAGAACAGCTAAACGTGGGTTCTAATTACAATCTTAAGCTTAAAGCCGCCAAACGAAAAAGAACACTACATCGCTCTATCAAACATTTAGCTCCATCCCATCTAGCATCTTATTTAAAATATTCAAGCTCCATTTCCACAGGACCTATTAAGGTCTATAGAATGAGACATAGGAGGATAGTTTATTTCAGCCCTTGATGCTTGAGTTAAAATATATCTAGGTACGCATCTAGACAAGGCAACATCTGTATGGTGTCAAGTCACTACCAAATGCTGGCACTGCTTCAAAAAACAGTAACCACAACTAGAGGACAAACTTAATAAAGCTTTCCTTCCAAATGAAAAGCACACCATAAAGCGAACTCTTGAAACAAGGATATTTCCCCCCGGAAAAACCTTTAGCTCCAAGCCTTACCAACTTTTTGAAGGCAAAATGTAAACTGAAGGAAAAATCTAAAAAGGCAAGCAAAGATCTCTATGCCACACTACTGGAACCTATCCTTTTCATAAATTATATAAGAGCATCTCTAAATGCAGGTAAAACTTAACCCTCTGCATATCCAATCCTTTAAAGTATGAAATCGACATGATCAATGAACTGTTTTAAGTTCAGGTGAAACTAATACTTCACATTCCTAAGTTTTATTCTCTTTCCTTAGTATCATAATATTTTATTCTTTTGTGTTACTATTTATTGCTTCTAAAATATAAATTCGTGGCAGATTCTAAAGTGTTAACTTTTTATTCAATCCATGTCCTTTGCAACTGCATTGACAAGGCAAATCCATAAATCTTAAGCAAGTGTTTTCCCATAACACATCACCCCTGTCCAAAGATCCAGTTGCTTTCAAAGCATTCATTAGTTGGATGTATCTCCACAGAAACTAAGTTTGAGTCTAATCCATAATCAACTCTAGTTCACCAATCTGAAAGAAGAAGTCTCGGTCTATAAAAGCTAGTGGAACAGAAACCAAACTGGGAGGGAAGTTCCTTATAAGTTCTACATCACCAGATCTCCCCTCTGACCCATTAACTCTATTTTTCGGCAAATAGATCAATTATGTTCTGCTCGGCATAAAAGACATGAGTTTGTAAAGATAATGCGAGTAAGCAGATACTAGATTTATATCCAAAAGGCCCAGATATCAACCTGGCAGTGCTCCTCTGACAATCCTTGATTCGACCGGATAATCTGATGTAAATCCGTGTCCATCAATTCATATGCTATATACACATCATTGAATACCTCCCTCTGGGGTGGAGGAATTATATCCCTGATAGCAACCACCTGCACCAAAACATGTAAATGCTTTCTTAGAAAAAAGTGTTTAAAAAATGAGGTTCTCTCGTATTAAATCTAAATTCCCATTTCATCCCATTAGAGAAGACTGAGGTAACATAGCCAATTAATCCATAAAGAGAGAAAAATGTATGGAATTGACTGATAACTAATAAATTCTTCTTTAAGAGCCCAATGTGCCAAATCCAGAAATCCAATCCGTTGCCAATAACCTATAAACTATTAGGTCCTCTATAGTCAATATTTATCAAATTTATACATCTTCATGGTCAAATATGATGTTACCAGTCGTCTTAGTCAAAACATGAAGAGCCATAACCATCGAAAGGGGGGACAGCAGAGCCTAATAGAACAAAAAGACGAGCAGAAATAACAAAATGGTACTTCTAGTAGCAATGAATTTAAGAGAAGTAGGCCGAAAACAGAGCATGTTAGCCACCATTTGCACGTCTTCTGACGTCCTCTTCCCCAACAAGATACTCGGACACTAGGTAACCAATCACAAATACTAAACTGCCTGCTGCTGCCCATGGAAAGCAGCCCAGTTCCTACTCCGGCAATCACATTGGACAAGAGAACCATTGGGTATCCGGCTGACGCCTTCATCCATTATCACACACAGTTTGAGGATTCGAGCAATCCATAACTTCAGGAATCAGTGAAGAAAAAGAGCAAGAATAGAAGCAGCCACATAATCAGAAAGGAGACTGACGTTTTCGTGGTCCATGTGACGAAGCAGCTTGATCTCGCGAAGCGTCCTCTTGGCATCAATCTTGTTATCGAAAGCATTGGCAATCTTCTTTATCGCCACATGCTCCCCGGTCTCCGAGTTCAAAGCCGAGCTGAAGATTAAAGAAAGATCAATCCACCGCACCATAACCCAATTCCTTCCAATTTCGCGCAGAATCAGAAAGAAGAGCGAAAAGAACAGACTATTACCAGACGATTCCGTAGGCGCCCTTTCCGATAGGCATGATTGGAGGCTTGTACTTGGCGGTGACCTCGAAAATGTTGCCGAAGATGTTGTACTGGATAAACCGGCCTCCGTGGCTGAGCGTCGCCGGGATGTTATCGATCCCTCCAGGTGGCGGGACCTGCTGGTTCGGGTCGGCGGGAGGGGCTGCCGCCGCCGGCTGCGCATCCGACATCTCCGTGTCGGTCGGTGGTGCCGCGCCGCTCGCTCCGCCGTCCATCGGAATGAACTTTTTACCGCTGCCGCTTTTTCCCCTGGCGGAGATTGGAAGTGTGGATTACGAATGCTTTTTCTTCTGCTTTACGAGTTCTCTCCGTTTGTTCGGGTCAAAAACAAAACTCAGATGGATCCTTCTCTTCTCTCTAATTAAAGCGCCTTTTTCATTCTCGCCAAATAATCTGTTAGGCCACCGATCTTATATACTATTTCTCAATGAGTACCCAAACTTCTTTGTGGATCAATGAGGTCTACAAACTAATATAAGTGGGCCTATTAGTACCCGAAGTTCTACAAACTTACCTATTAGATTATAATATTAATGACATTACTAGTTTTTTTAGTACTTGGTGAAGCTATAGTTGAACCACTAAAAAGTTTCATAGACCATCATATGGCAACTTAGTAGATGAAATATATTTACACGCACCATTTTTTTCATTTCTATATTATCAAAGCATGATTTTGACTGTAATCATAAATACAATTTTACTCTCGTGTAATTTTTCTTCGCCAACTTTTACAACCTTCTATAACAATACACAATATCATAATGCTGGTCAATTGCATTTTGCAATGCTCAATAGTGAACTAGAAGAAAAAATCAAAGTATTGAATAAAATAACAATTTATTTGTCTATTTGGGAAAGGGATGCTTCATGATGAGATGTTGTGAATGGAGTTTCGTCTCATGACTAGTCACGCCATAGCATTAGTTTAAAGATTTGAAGTCCTTGCCGCGATAAACTAGGTTGTTTTACACTGGTCAAGGCTCTCCTTACAATTCACACTCTATTGTATGACATTCATTGCTCCCATTAGAAAATGGGCGTCGGAAGTGCTGGAAATGTAATTTTGACTTGGCGTGTTTTGACACTTACTTGCCAAAAAAGAATACGTATCAGGGTTCATGAGACCTATTGTCTTGTCGGATTTTATAAAACTGACCTTAATTTATTGTCTATTTAGTTTTAAACTCATTAACTGTCTTCACATGTGCGACATTATGCCCAAAGAAGTTGTAAACAACTCTTTCTTTTTTACCGTAAGCTTGGTATGAAATCAACGGTCTAAGACACTAAGCTAAGCATGGTGCGGTGTGGTTCACGCGCTTCTTTTGGTCTTTCCCCCAACAAGTAATAAAATCAGAATCAAAACAATTTAAAACTAAACTAGCTTTGACCCTGCCCTTTGGGCAGGTAAGTTTATATAATTTTTTAAAATGTAACATATGAATTAAGTGATGAAATGTAAATTGTTCTTGTTTTATATTATTGTCATTTATTATGAATTTATTAAAAATAATTATTTTGACCCTTATCTTTCTGTAATCAATATTTTTTTAATCAAGTCATTCTGCCAAATATTCTTTTAAAAAATTATGGGTCATCTAGGATTTTGTTAAAATGCATTACATAGATACATACGACTTATTAATAATTACAACTTGTGCCAAGACTGGACGATTGATGAGTTAAGACCTTTTATTTTTCTTTCTATTTTAATTATTGTCGTGCTTATGTGGATAAAAAATATACAAAGATATTTCTTTAATTATTCTCATATGAAAATGCAATTGGAAGATATTTAGTTTACATAAAATCTCTACATACCAGAATGAGCAAGAATATTATAACACCTATGAAGCATCATTGCAATGGAAAAACAGATCAAAGCATAAGACCAATTTCATAAAAGCAGATAATAGGCAAATATGGTCAAACCTAGAGTTATAGAAGTATATAATTAGTAAAAACAGTTGTCCTCCCGACAAAAAAACAAAGAAAACAAAGTTTTGCTTTTTTAGTTCTGAAAATAGAGAAATGCAAAAGGAAGAGAACTGAGGTCAGGAGGGAAGGAAAATACATATATAAAGACAAACTGAAAGCAGCAACATCAAACATTAACTGTGTAGTGAAGAAGCAGCATACACAATAACCCTTATGCTCGAGAATAGAAGTGAGTTTCAGGGTTGCATTTTCCGGGTCTGAATTGCGGTGTCGGATTGGTTGCCAAGGAGAATCCGTGACGGAATCGGGCTTCCGTTGGAGGATTTGGCGGCGAAATTGACTGAACTCAGCGGGCAGAGGCTTTGTGGTGGCGGGACGGGATATGTACGTACCAGCGGCAATGTATTGAAGTATTTTTTAGCGAAGCCGGTGGTAACGGCAAGTGAGCGATCGCAGCCTGCAGGAGAGAAATCAACCTCGGAAGGAGGCTACGATGATGGTGTGATTGGGGGTAGTTACTAATGGAGGCATATTAATAAAGGAAGATCCAGATGGGCGGTGGTTGAGAAATAGGAGTCTGTGAATCATTGTGAAAGGAGTGAGAATTCGGAAATAGAAGAGGCCGTGGACCGTGGTGTCGCTTGGGCGGGGAGGAAGGAAAGAATTGAAGTGGAAGCGGGCTGACGTGGACAAAAAAGAGAGGTTAAAAGTGCGAAAGTTGCGGGGAAGCTTTCCGCCAGAAACTGCTTATAATATTTTATGGATATTTTTAAACTACAAAGATTTATGGATACATGTGAAAGCTTAAGATGGAAAAGAACAAGAGATCAAAACGTTATGCTTTTGTTTCATCTGTTTATTATAAACAATGAAGAGCAAATGACTGAAACGACTGAAACGAAGCTCGCACCAATTCAAAACAGAAACGAATACCACTAGTAAGCATTAGTTACCGCTGGCCGCTACTAGAACAGTAATTCCTTCGACTCACATGCATTAGTAAACATATATATGCTATTACAAGGATGAAACTGCAGAACTGTACTCATCAGCAGATATAGGAGCGCCCTTCACGGAACTTAAGAATGTATATAACAGTCATGGAAAGGTGAGGTAGCGATATATGGGAGGACAGCATCGGGGCAAGAATGGCAATTGGCACCTGCAAATGATCAACATGCCGCCTGCAAGAACTCGAAAGGCACCCAGACATGGATATGGTGGGGTGTGGCTTCCCTTGTGAGGCAGAGCGATTGTTTACCTTGAGGGCTAGTTCTTCACATTGCCGAAGAATCTAGAGAGTGGAACGGGACCCTCTGCACCTTCGTCGTCGCTAGTTGGACGCTTGCTTCTTGATGATGACCTGTGTCTTTTCTCCTTCTTGCTTCTTCTGCTGCTGCTTCTCGATTTCGACCTCTTTGACTCTCTCTCGTCATCGCTGCTTGAGGCGTCGGAGGAGGAAGAGCTCATTGAGCTGGAGTCTGAAGATCTACGCCTGGAATGCTACACAAACATGCATGTGAGGAAGTTAAACAAGGACGAACGACAACATTTAGAGTGCTCCTGTGTAGTGGAAACTTTGGAGATTGTCAAGGTTGGAACTTCTTTCCTGTTATTAGTAGTTTATGAATACTACTCGAGTATAGTTAAGAGGAAACAGATCATTTCCAGGGAAGAAATTGATCACCTTTCTCTTTTTGCCACGCTGTTTCTTTGAATCTTTTTCCTTCTTGTCTGCAAGGAAATCTCCCAGTCAGCTCCACAAAGATAGGGAATGCAGCAATTTACAGAAACAGGATGAGAAGTTGATTAATCAAAGTTTTGGTGCACACCCTTATTGAGATTAGACTTGCTACTCGAATGGTTCCTCCCCTGTGCAAGCTTCCGTGCTCTTTCGGCATCCAGCTGGGCTCTGTACTCACGCATCATTCTATCTGTATCTTTTTCCAGCTCACCTTTTCTCAACTCCTCTTCCTAGATATGGAACCAAATACAGCGAGAAAGAAAATAAGAAAAGACCCGAATCTTAGTCAGAAACAACAGCACTGAGCACAACTACTTCTTTGACAAATTCCAGGAACAATATTTGTTTTACAGGCATAATGTACAATTTAAAGCAACTTTCATATGATTCATTCCTGATTGTGGTTCTCATAGTAAAAGCATTTCACAACCAAGCAGTTCTGGTTCAAGAAATCATCCAAAAATTCAAGATGACGTGACAAGCAAAACTTTGCTACAGATTTGACCAAGAAAACTATCATAAGATGCATCCAAGGAACATTAACAAAACGCTAGCAGATCCGGAGAGAAATCTACTTCTGATGAAGTTCTTTAGTATGAACAATGATATGAAAGGAGCAATCCTCGTATACTGGATTTGCTCCAGCTGCAGTCAGGAAGAGAGGTAATCCACTTGTTCACAGAACTAGAGTCCAGAGGAAGGTATTTTAGAGCTTCTAACAACCAACAGTATGCATATTATGTTGAGATAAGAAATACTCACCACAATAATCAGATCAAATAGGTTATATAGAAATAAAATTGTGAGATATGTATTTACAAGTTTTATTATGGGGCATGAGTGCACAATCCTTGACAAAATGTGGATGTGCCTTGTTTGAAATTCTATACAGTAGTACAATAGCAACTGATAAATTAACAGAACGCAGCAGCCACAAAAACTAGAAAGACAAAATCAAACAAAACAGAATGGGGGAAACAGAACCTTTTTTTTTTTTTTTTTGAATAAGAAACAGAACCATTCATGGAAGAAAATTGCAGCCTCCTAGTAAATGACGCAAATAAAATTTTGCAGAAGATGGTAGGTCAAAGAACATTGAAATCTGAAGTGAAACATTGTTCTTCCAGAAGATGGTAGGTCAATGACCTCCAGAACCAATATGGAACCTGTTATGTTTCTCAGAAGAAAATTTCATTTCTAGGTTCCATTTACCTTTTGCTTGGGCATGTTCACTTTCAGGGCACACAAGTAGTTTGTTCCAACTTAACCAAAGGACACTGATGTGTATGCCTAATATTTCGATGAACAAAAATGAGTTCAACAATGTAAAGGACTAATACTAGAAAAGCAAACCAATGAAGTATCATCTGCAATTTAATGAATAGAATCACCAATCAACCAAAGTTGTGAACCCCCCGCTACAAGTGAATCCCATCCATCTCTCGCAGAAAGGCAGAACCGAAGCTAAACTCTAAGACCTTTTCTCCTCTTCTTCTTCTGGCTAGCTTGAGCCTTTAATTCGTAAGATCAATGATCAGTGAGATTTATTGTATGAGTTCATAGATAGGATGGCTAGTACCATTGAACCCAAAAGTTCCTAGATTTTCAATGAAATTTAACTTCAACAACTGAATTGAAAGTGCAGACGCACAGTGAGTGCAAAGAGGCATAGTCAAGCCCATGTACAGATGTGCACATGTATATAGGTGTAAATATATTCGTAATTCCAGTGGCCATACACTCACAGAAGCAACATGCACCTATTAGCTAAACAGGACGACTCACACTTACAAAATAGAAATAGATATAGTTCAGGTGAACTAAGGCAATCATGTACAAGGAAGCTATCAGAAAATTACCTTCTGCTTCTTCTTGTACTCCTCCCAGGTGATTGTATGAGAAGTGTTGAGGCTAGCCAAACGAGCAGCATGCCACTCTGGTGTATGAAAAGAACCATCCACCTGCGACTCTCCTCATCAGAAATGTTCCGGTACATCCAGAAACAACCAGAAAAAGATAGGGATGGAGGGAGGGATCTGTTCATGCAACCAAATCTAACCACTATTACTTTTTGTTTTGGCATAAAATCCGACCACTATAAGTTTCGGTATATGTGAAAAAGGAAACCAGGTAGTCACCAGCAACAGCTGAGGTTCCTCTTTATTGGATTGCTTTGTGAAGGCGATCTATTTTTAATATTACTCAATGCATGACGAAAACAATAAACGTATAGATGAACAAGATGTCGAACTCATTACTAAAAGTATCTTGGAATACCTAATTATCTCCTTTTCTTGCCCAAGCTACCTATCCAAAAGCCTAGACAAGGTAGAGGACAGACAAGGAAGACATTAGGACGAATAGTGGCTCTTCTTGATAGTCGCTCTTGTCTTACAAGTCTAAGTAGCTAGAAATCTTCCCATTTAGGAGTGAATGAGCTAAGCCATACCAGTAAGGTATCTCTTTGAATCTTGAATATGGCGATACCCCGTCAATCGGTACTAGTTATTGTCATTTGGATTCCTTGGCTAACCAATAAGCATACAATCACCAAAAGAAAAACGAAGAGAAAATAGCAAATGTAAAGCTTAGAGCAGGAATACTCGAGAACCAAATTACTGCATAACATGTAGTTGATTCGTACAGCATTCCAGCACATAAGTTGGTGCAAAGTAGCCACTCACAGACATAGAGACAGTTGATTTATGTGCCACATGAAGGACAGTGCTTTCTCCATTACAAAAGCACATTTTATTATTGCATACCAGGAAGCTAAAGCACAGCATAGGATTTTTTAGTATTCCTGCTCAACTTGTGGGGTTCAGAAACAAAACAAAAAAAAAAAAAGGGAAACAACAAAGTAAACTAGGAAATTTCCAAGTCAAAACTTTAAGGGAGTGGAAACAGTGAACAGTATGAAAGGGTACAAACCATGCCATCTTCAACCTCTTCAGGTCCTCCAGATCCTGAGCCCACCCTTGCTCTCTGCATGGCTTTGTAAGCTTGGTTTTTCCCCATCTTTCACGGAGATATGATAGCTAATCCTCAACAATGTGATGAAACGAGGAATTAGGATATTCCGTACTGAATTTGCAGAGCCTAAAAAATAATGGATGCAGAATTTTAAAGAGGATGAAAACAAGAAATGCTGGCCAACTCCCAAATATAATTGGACAGTAGACTCTAGGCAATGTTAGTCACTTACAGTGATTCAGCTGAGAATACTAATCTTAGGCCATCTTTGCCATGAGTCTAACTGATCAAGTAACTAACTGATCAAGTAACTAAGCATTTGCTAATATACTCGCTAGCATCGGTTCAGCCAAACGTTCCAAACCTGACCCATATTGTACAACAATCAAAAACCAACGCCCCACAAAACATGACCACTAGCTATGATTCAGAGTAAAGACGCCTGATGGTGAAATTAAAACCAAGCCACCGAGAAAAAGAAGCCCAGTATGCCACGAATCTCTACTCACATTGAAACACAACAATCCCATTGCGAAGCTCTACCTAACAGGACTCACTCAGCTCAACGGGCAACAGACATCACGGTCAAGCAAGCAATCCAAATTGAAACAACCCACAGCACACAAAAAATTAAGCTCCATTCCTTCCCCGACCATTAGGACATCCAAACGAAACCCTAATCCGTTCAAAACAAGCACGAGCAGTTAAGCAATCAATCAAAGACGATAAAATAAAACAATCGGACTACATACAGCAAATCCCAGGACGGAGCTCGGGAGAGTACCAGCAAGCCGAGACAGAAAGCTGAACCGCGGGTAAGGATTGGTGTAGAGAAAAGGGGGATTGAAAACGACTGCAGCAGCTCTATCTGGTAATCTGTGACGACGCAGGCAAGCAAGCAACCAGACAGGAATGAATTCTGAACTGCAGATTCGGTGACAGACGGCGAATGGGGGAGAGAAAGAGGGCGAAACCGCGCCGATCGGGTTAACGGCGAGCGACTAGAGACGATGGATGGGTTTCTCTTCCTTTCTTACGTTTGATTGGTTGGAATGGAACGAGCTGGCTTCTATTTCTCTTTCTCACTACACTACCTCGCAATATTTTCTTTTTCCCGTTAGTTTTACAGTTTCATTTATCTCATTTATTTTCAATTTATATAAACAGATTCCCTATGGTTTCGTACTTTTTCTTTAATGCTATAACTTTTTGGGTCATCCACTTTTACTCATCCATCTAAATCGGTATAAAATATTTTATGCAATACAAGTTTTCTTTTACAATATGGGATAAGGAAAATAAAAAAAGTCCATTTTGTTATTTTTTTCATTCATAAGTTATGGCACTTCTTATCGACTGTGGCGTTAGGGTCACCACTCAAATCTACAAAATATATAAAGACAAAACATGGGTTGAAATTCTTCCATTTCAAATTTTGTGGCCTAAGAGTGATTATGGAAAGGTCATTTTTGTCATTGCATCCTCGTGTGTTATATATTGAAAATGTTATCATTATCTTTCTCGAATTGTCAAGTTAGTTTCTTCCTCCTTTTCTTAAATTCTCCTTTCCGCTCGACACAAAATTTATCAACCCTTCTCCCTAAATTATGTTTTAAGGTTTGTATTAAGGAGACGACTCTGAGAGGTGTTCATCAAAAATATATAACATCCGTAACAAGTTTTTAAAAGATAATCACGAATGAGCAATGGACCCTCTTGGCTCCCTACTGTTCAAATTCTTTCATCGTCACATTACTTACGAGCCCACTTATATTACTAACTCTACCACTACTCTAATTGAATCTTCCACGTATACTCTTTGAGGGGGGAATTAGCATTTTAGTATTTTACTAAAACTCATAATCATACATAATAATACCAATCTACACTTTGTAGCCATTGATGAGGTACGACGTTGGCTTCGGTATCCATGGCAGGTTCGGATAGAGCATGTCTATAGGGAGGGAAACTTCGTAGCTGATTACTTGGCTTCCATATTCCATAATCACACAGTAGGTGTCCATACTATTGATATTCCCACGTGCTCCCTAACTTACTGGTTGTACTTTGACGGGATTGGGGTGGAAACCCCCCCGCTTTGTTAATACATAAAGGTTGGGGCGCCCTTTAAGTGCTCCTTTTTCCGACAAAAAAATACATAATAATACAAAAAATATATATAATAATACAAAAAACAAGGTATTATTATGTTGTTTGTTTAGCCAAATTCAAATTTGTTATCTTAGAAGAGGCAAACCAACTTTACCTTCCTTATAAGGAACATACATGATTAGCGGTTCCATGGAAGCATCGTGAAACTTATTATAATAGTGGTACGATCCATTTGTTTGAACGATTATAGATAAAAAATGTTTTTAATGGTTGGATATGACTAGATTAACCAATCTAAATTGAGCAACCCATTATTTTAATCAGGATAAAAGAGGTATAGCGTGAACTAAACCATCCAGTCATGACACCCTAAATACTAATTTGAATTTGATAATCTTATTTTGTGAGACACTCTTAATTATTTGATGAAATTTTTGGTGCTAGATGATATGGGTTTGAATTTATTTTATGGTTAGTGACAAATTCAGTTATAAAGTCTTCATTATGAATAATTCTATCAATAATTACCAAACAAATAATTCTATAACAATTAACTATAAATCACTCACTTTTTAAATTCAACATCAGTTCGAAAACATACATTTTTAGTTTTTTTACCAATTAAAATGAATAATAATAATTCATATTATTTTGTCAAGATTTTCACTAGAATATAACTTATTTTTCGGTTCTCTCCCTCTTTTCCCTTTCTTTTTCCGCCTCAAAAGTTATAATTTTCTCTGTCTATCCCTTGCAAAAAAAATTAAAAAACAATGCCACTGAAATAGCAGAGGCAGAGAAGTTTTTCCAGTTCCCCTTCCCTCCCTCTCTCTCTCTCTCTCTCTCTCTCTCTCACAATCAAAGAACATATTCTGAGGTTCCAGGTACGATTAGCCTCACAATCTAGGGTTCCCGTTTATCCTCGCTTTTTCCATGCGTGTTCTTCATTCCCTCGCTTGAATTTCCCTTTTTCGTGTTCTTCATTTCCTCAGCTACTGAACTTTTTCCTGTTACCAGCATGGTGTTTCGTTCGCAACATTTTGCTTCGTTGGTTCGTCTCTGAAATTTTCCGAATATTGAGATTCTTGCGTCTGCTTGATCAGGGTTTCGGCTGGAGCTGTTGATAAGAGAATAAGAGCTTCGTGCGTTTGGCGGGGGAGAGCGACTTTCCAGTGTTTCGATTAGGGTTTGGGAGGGACGGGGTGGATCTTCCTGGTGGTTTTTTATTTGCGGAGCTGATGAGAGGTTTTTGATTTTCTAGTGATGGAATCGGGTATTTCCCGAAGGTAATCTAGGCGGTGCGTTCTCTTTGTCTTCCTTTTTTGGCTGTTCATCGGTTTGGTTTCGATGGTTTCTGGTGATTTTTCTGTTTCGGGGGAACCGGTGACGTGAACTGCTCATATTCATGCTTGTGGACGAATTATCGATTGCACTCTTCTTCCCCGTGGTTGGGTTGCTGGAACTATCTGGGAGTTTTGAATTGAGAAGAAGTTAACTGGCTTGATTGATTGAAGGAAACTTTTTGGCAGGAAGGAGAATTGTAACTCTTCCTCCTCATTCCTTTTTGAACAAGGTGGTGCAAGTTTTGTGCATGGAAAAGAATATGGGATTTGCTGAAGCAACAGATGCTTCCATCATGCACGGGCTTAGCTCTGACGAATCATTCTGTGCTGAAATGGAGACAGACGATTTTGTTGAATCTGCAAATCCAAGCGATGAGATTCAGTGCTTCACGTCAGAGAGAGGCGAGGGGAGTAATGTGGTGTTCTCAAGAGAAGTGCCGCTTGTGAGTAAAGAGTCGAGGAAGTCACGCCATTGTAGTTGTAGCTCGAAGAAGCTCAAGTCTCGTATGTCAGGGGCTGAGTCCGACTTTGACAAGAAGGATAGTGTTGGAAATGAGAAGAAACTTAGCCGACAGGATAGAATCGAGTGGGGCCGATTGTTTCAAGGTGCGGTTAGTTCTCATGATTGGGAGCTAGCAGAGAGCCTGATATTGTTAGCGGATCCACAAACCCTTAACGATGCTCTGTGCATCACCCTTGATTCTATTTGGTTCTTGAGCACCCAACAAGAGCTTCATGGGATCACGTGTTTGATCAAGAAGATCATAGCTAATGGTGCTTATGATTTCACTAGAGCTGCTTTGAGAACCTCGTTTCTTGCTTCTTGTGTATCGGCTTGCCAGAGTAGAACTATGAGTCTTGCTGACACAGTAACCGTCATGGCACAAAGGTATGATGGCTTGGATAAAACTCTAAACAAAAATGATGACTGTTTTCTCTTGTTGATGGATGGATTGTGTTTGCCTTTTACTTGCACATGCAAAGCGTAATAGATTCACTAAGGTGGATGGACTTTGGGTGGTGTGCTCATTCCTAACGGTTTATTTGTGTGCCCTTTTATTTGGTTGTCTGACCCATGACATCTGAAAGATTCCACTAAGCTGGACGATGATCAAGGTTGGTTTTGCTTCTTTTCTCTGGATCGTGAAGTTTGGATAGCACTGGTTCTTATTAAGCAGAAGGATGTATACAATTTGGTTCCCTTTGAATTAAACTATTTGACGAACCTAGGACTAGAAGACAAAGCCAAGTTGGATCTTCGCTTGGAGCCTTTATGGCAAACTGCTTGGGATGATTACACTGCTTAACAATAACCTTCCAATATTACTGTTTGTTATCCTTCTAGAATCTTGTTTAGGTCATGTCATATATTTGGAGAATTGAGGATTTCTTTGAAGTGTAAACTATCGTAATTAGTATGTCTTTACTTGCTTACATTGCCTGTTAGTTGCTTATATCTCGTCTTATGCCCATGACTAGGAAACATGTAATCAATCGTGGGATTATTGATGCCTGCCTAGCTCCTGAAGTATGTAAATAAGCAGTTCACTATAGATTGTGTGATGTTGTGTATGCAGAACATACTATTCACATGAGCTGTATGCATTCTTTGAATTTCTCCCACTTCCCTCATACTAGTGATTGTTCTTGAATGTTCCTTTCACATACTTTTACTCATGCTTTCGAAGGTAAATGCTGAGCTGTTCATTGATTGATTGAGCCAGTTCATAAGAGGATCCGTACAAGTAGGAGACGCTTGGTTGGTTATATGAATTTAGTGTCCTGTTCTAGCGTCTTGCATCATGTAGTCATTATTTTGCTCAAATGAGATCTACCCTAAGTTTTCAACCCTTTGTGGCTGGGACCAACTGGAGATATGGGCTTCTAGGCCCCCTATTTCTTAGTTTCTCAAGTTCAGCTGGACTCCTGTACTGTTACAAATTAATGAAATGATAAAGGCTTTATATAAAAGAAAAGTTTTCACTGAAGATGTCCATGTAACAAAACACATCCTGTTATTTGTATTTTCGCTTGAAAAGTTGCAGGCAGCTAGCAAGTTTTACGGATATCCATAGCAAATGTTACTCTGCACTATTGTATGGATTGTGATGTACTGCTTGATTTTCCCCATTTTTATCAGGCTGCACGAGCGTCTCCAGGAATGCAATGGGGACGAGGTTCTGAAGGCAGAAGCTGGTGCAAAGGTTCAAAAGTTTACTGAATGGGCTCTGAAATGTATTGGTTTCCATTCTCGTTGTCAGGGAAATAGGGGTAAAGTTAATCACAGCTCAGCTGTCGAGATTCAGCTCCAGTTATCAGCATTCAAGATATTTCTTGATCTTGCTGGCAACCAGCTCACAGGCAAAGATTTTACGGAGGCCTTTGATGCTGCCTGTTTTCCTCTTACTTTGTTCTCGAGTTCGTTTGATCCGGGCTGGGCATCTGGGATCTCAGCTACTGCAATCCAAGGGCTGTTGGGGATGTTAGTTGAAGGCGGTGCTGACAATGTTAACCAGTGTTTCCTGGAAGCCTCCCGTTTCGGGAGTACAGAACTTGTCCGTATCTTGTTGCAGGTAAAGATTACATTTTGATAGATACGGGCTGGTATATTTTGATTTTCCGTCCAAATTGTCCATATAAGAAAGTGGCTACTTAGCCAAATTCAAGATTTAAAAAGGTCTTATAGGGCCTATTACTATCTTATTGAGTATGTTAGGAAGGGAATGATTGGAGTAGTTTTTTTAACACTGTGGGTTAGAATTGGTTCAAGTAATACCCTCAGGTCGGATCGAGTATTATTTAAAATGATTGTCTATTCCATCGAGTATGGTACAGCTCCAGTTCTATTGTTAATTTGGCGGAGTAGGATTTCTGTCAAGACAAATTTTGGACAACAATCTTATGGAGATGGAAAAAGTGGATGCTATTTTAGTTATTCACAGTGACCCGTTGGTGAAAAGTCAAAGTTTGGTGACTAGTTTGCTAGAAGTTCAGTGGCCATTTATGTAGTAATTAACCCAGTTTTTTTACTGCATGACTTATTGGAGCATTTTGAGTTTATTTCTACTGCACTTGCTTTGCATATTTCCCAACTGTCCCCTTTAAGTTTGTGGTTCTGATGTTTTCTGCATCACCATTTTTGCTGTCTTCTCATGAATACCATCTTTGCAGATTGCCCAGAGGAACAGCTTGGACGTAGACGTGGACCTAGCCCTTGGCTTTGCCGCCCACTACGGAAAAATTGGCACGATGGAGTGCCTTGTCGAAGAAGGCAATGCCATAGCCTTCCTGGGCCCATTGATGAGAGCAGCAGAGAGAGGCTGCATGCAGGTCGTCCAGTGGTTTGTAGATCGAGGCTGCCGCGACATGGAGCTCTGCCTCGCCCTCACTGCTGCCACGTCCAGCTGTCAGGTCGACGTCGCAGCGTACCTCCTCCCTCATGTTCCCCAGCACGTACTCGCTGCCCTCAGCATCGAGATCTTAAAAGCTGCTGGCGAGAGGAGCGGCGGGTCCCTCGATGGCGTCGCTTTCCTCCTCCGGTCCGACTTCCTAGGCGACCCTGCCGCCACCTACGCTGTCGCGGACAGCATCGCCAGGTCATCGGAGGATGAGGCAGTGGCCCCCGATCTCAAGTCCTTCCTCCTCGAGAACTGGTCCGAGGCGGCTTACTCCGATGGATTGAAGCAAGGAAGAGAACATTACATGAATCTGCTGAGGATCTTGGACCGGGGCGCCTCCCCAATATGCTTGAGAGACCTCCCCGGCCCTCTTAGAGTCGCAATCGGCTACCTCCCTCTGTACAGGGAGTGCGTGGAAGCCGGTGGATGTTTGTTCTCTCAGCGGCTGAGAGGGCAGCTCGTTGAAGCAGCTAGTAGGCTCGGGGGAGTGTCGTTGGTGGAGGTGGGTCAGGGGAGAGAGCTGTTAGCGGTTTTGGAGCGCCACCTCCCTCCGTTTTTGGTGAACGTCAATGCGGGGTAGAGATTTGCAGGAGCTTCTTCTTCTACAACAACAACAATAAGGTTTGCCCTTTTCCTCTCTCCCTCTCTGTCAGTGAGATCTATTGGCGATGGCGTACATATATGACATGATGTAATATACAGAGCGAGCAAGGCACCTATTTGTTGTTTTCTACCGTGATGGTTGTGTTGAGCTGCTGTAATATGTATGGAGAACAGAGAGCAACAACATCTGAGAAAAGGGTGAAGGCATACTCTGCATGGAGACTCAAATCTCGCTATATTGTAAATTAGCTAGTGGTGGTACCACTCTAAGAAAAGAAGAGAAAACCCTGCAAAATCTTGGCCTACTTATCATTTTCATTTTGTTTCTTTCCTCGAGTGTTATTCATCTTCAGCTGCAACAATAAAACTCCCATCTAACCAACGTAATCACCATTGAGGACCAAACTACGAGAGCTATTGCTTGAAGAGTGAGGTCAATCTTGGATTCGTGATCAGATTGATGCTAGGGCTGGCTATTTGGTCCCGGACTGTTTGGTTTTATCCGGAACTGGACCGTATAATCCGGACCGGGATCGGATAGCAAACAATCCAATCTCATATTCGGGCTTAGATTTGAGGTAAAAAATCGGGATAAAAACCGGATAAGAGATCCTCAACACCTAAAATCAAGATCAAATTGGGACCGGACCGGATCAAGACCGGACTGTATCCAATCCAATCTTTGGTCCTTAAATTCCCGAAAAGACCGGACTAGGACCGGATCAATTTGATCCAATTTAACCGGACCGGACCGTATAGTCAACCCCTAATGGATGCCATGGAAAATTCTGTAAGGCCTGTAATAAACATTTGTTCCTTTGCTGAGTCTGTAGATACAGAAGGGCTGAAATTGCTCTTCCAACAATCAATATACCACCAAATGGTGGTGGCTAAAGAATCCCCCTCCAACGCCAGCTCCATCCAATGCTGCAAATGCCCTGTCAGATCAGTTGCGGTTCTAAAGGCAGAGAGAGTGCCTCCAGTTGAAGAATTCTCGAGCGTCCTAAGGATGGGGTCTGGCCACTGGCCTGTAAGGAAGTCCACGTTATCGAGCAAAAGAGCATATGAATGAGTACAAACCGAAAATTAGCAGTTGTAGGCACTCACACATTAAAACGTTTCGCTGGCGGATTCACGATGGAACCCGAGACTCACTTTCATCGTCGGCTTAAGAGTTCAGGTCGGCGACGCCTTCTGCTGCTTCGGAAGCTGTTTGGTCCAGTCGGCGACGCCTCTCTCTCTCTCTCTTTCCTCTGCGAAGAAGAAGAAGAAAGAAACTCCTCGCCCAAGCTTCCTCTCGTTTTAATTGAAGGCCCAAAAAACTGGATTTGGGCGGCGTTTCGCGTGGGAGGTAAGCGGAAGCCGGCGAAAACGGGAGATCCCCGCAGGGCAAAAGAAACGGCTGCCAGAAACGGCCGACCACCTCCCAAGCTTCCAAGCCGAGGAATCATGGGCGAGGGGGGGAAAACGGGAAGAAGTGACGGTTGCTAAACATGGGCTTCAGTTTGATAAAGGCCCAAAATGGTTCTTCTCTAATTAATTGAAGGCTCAATTGTAGGAAAATGCGGCGCCGTTTTTCTAGAAAGGTAGGCGGGCGGCCGGGAAAACATGGGCTTCAGTCAGACAGAGGCCCAAGAAGCTTCCTCTCTTTTTTAAATGTAGGCCCAGAAAAACGAAATCGGGCCACGTTTCGGCTGGGAGGTAGGCGGACGGCTAGCGGAAACAGGAAACCCACGCAAAGCCAAAAAACCGGCGTCAGAAACGGTCGAAACGCGAAACGTTTCGGGTCCTCAAAACCAAAATCGAAACGCGAGAAATTGACGAGAAATTGGAATTGACGAGATATCGCGATATGACAAAATATCGCGATATTTACGCGATTTATTGACTTTTTTGCGATATATTGACCCTGTGCTGAATTGGCACCTTGAGTAGCCAGAACGAATGAGAAAACGAAAGGAAATCCATCGCACGATCGCACAGAGACACAGTAAACCAACAGAAAACATAGTGCATTCATGAATTGAGCCAAAATTCCTGCATCTAATTGCGATTTGGATTACGGAATGGGTTTGGTGGCCGGAATTCCAGCATCAGATTGCGAACTTGGGGAGTGGAGGCGACGCTGCAGGATGTCTCGGGTTTCTGGTTCTCGTGCATTGGGCTGTACCGATTCGGACGATTACTGCTCTGTTTCGATCAATCCTTGAAGTTCACAGGAGACAGGACCTTTGAAATGTTGCAGCTCGAAAATCTGAGGCTCCATTGCAGAAGCCAATAGGCTGATGATCTGGCGAATTTGCTCTGTTTGTAAGGGACTGATGAGGAGCGAGCTCATCTCATGAGAGAGAGAGAGAGAGAGAAGAACGAGAAGAACGGAAAGCAGGGGATAAAGAGGAAGGAGAAGGAAGTATGTGTTTATGTTGACAAAGAAGGAAAGGAGTGGGCGTTACTTCTTAGCTCTTACAGATCACTCTGACCCTTCGCTCTGTTTCTTCGTTTTTAAGGGATAGCTGAGCGACCTGTTTAGAAAGATAGGAAAAATAGCAACAGTTAGAGAGAGGAAATTGTGTTTACACCAGGGAGCCAGAAAAAGAAGCAGAGAATCTTCGTCTCGTGCTTAATGCTCTGAAATGTGCCCAACAAGTGATCCCCGGGAAAGGAACCACCACAAAATCGAAATGGTGCAAAAGATACGAAATTTTTTACGCCAAGTTTTACAATGACATAGCTACTTGCCAGTAATACAAAGGTTCAAACAATAATACAGGTAGTAAGAGTGGTAATGTCACTAGCAATACAAATACACATCCCTCTTCGATAATATTACCATCCCACTCAACTCATGGTTCATCCCTCTCATTGCAAACATGGCATTCACTATGCATATATTATTATGTTTCAGACCCTAATCCCACACAGCAACTCCCCACCCGGGCACAGTAGCAAGCAGCGCCGTTCCTTACTCCTGCAATGCAACCAAGTTCAAATAGTACAACAGTCAGAGGGTGAACCAAAAGAAGAGCGATTGAGGCAGGCAGAGGCTTATAGACAGACAGAAGCCCTCACTGCTACAGAAACGCTTACAATCTCTTTTACGGGAGGGTTTGACTGAAAACTAGAGAGTGACCAGAGTGAAACATGAGCTTATGGAAAGAAAAGAAATCCATGATAGACAAGAGTCAGCTACCTGCATGGTTCACATCATAACTTACTAAACTATATTCTTATCTTTGCCTCATTCGAAATGTGGGGTTCATAACTTTCTAAGAGATTAGCTTACTGCTCCGTCTTAAGAGACAACATAAGAAATGAAGATCGCTGATAAGATGAGATAGACGAACATACCTCGTCGTCTTCATCATCATCATCACCGCCATCTTCTTTCTTCTTCTTCAGCTTAGTCGTGCCTCCTTCTTTACTTATTGGCAGCTTCATTGCCCCAAAAGGAGTGTCCACATGGACATTCCCTTTCAACGTATATCCAGTACCTTTCCCCCGGATCATGTCCCACAGCGCAGATCCAAAGTCCTTGGGCCTGAAGGTGATAGGAATATCGACATAACTGATTCCCTTCTTAGCAATGGTAGCTGACTTTCCCAGCTCAGCGCATCCAATGCTGACATCGCACAACCAAATCTCGCAGTCCAGCGAATTCAGACCCAAGTCAAAGTCATTCAAGTTCTCTATCTTCACATGGAGCAAAGCAACAGTCTCCTCAAACGAAAAGCTCTCGAATTTTATCCTATCCAAATCGACATCAGGCTTGTATGGCACTGGGATCTCTCCCGTTTTCTCCAGTGGCAGAGTCAGCCTGCCCAACACAGGCACATCGACAATCAGGTCAGCCTTGATTCTGTACGGGATAATGCTTCCAGGCTCGATATCACTATACGTGCTCTTGATGTCATCATAGATCAAAGTGAGCGGTATTTTTACAGTCTCCTCGCCATGAGCAGGAATGGTACCAGCATCGGGGATCAACCCAGATAACAACTTCCTCCCATCGCTCTCAATCAAGTAGTTGATATCGATCAGCGGGATCGGGACAGGGTTAGGGTTCTTGATAAGCACATCGACGACTATATCCGCCTTGTCGAGGTTGAAGCAGGGGAAGTGAATCTCAGTCACATCAGCAGTTGGCTTCCCAAACCCAATTGCATCGTCGATCTTCTCCCCGATATCCTGTATGAAACCCTTCACCTTGCCCAAGAATCCACCACCTTCTTCCTTGTCATCTTTCTCCTCCTTGTTCCCTCTATCAACCTTCTCCGGCTGATCAGAAGACGACATACCTTCCTAATGCAAGCAGCAAACATAATCCTTCCATAAATCACCAAATCAGCCGCAAACACTTAACATAAACCATCTATCTAAAAAAAAACCTAACCGGATTCCTCATTCCTCATCGTAGCAATAAATCAGAAGAAGCAGCAGCATCACTCCGATAAGCTAATTATATGTTACACCTCAAACGATCAGACGCCTCAAACACATATCGTAATATTCTACAGTCTCATGAACGCATAAAAAAGGGCATGGCGATCCACACTTGACAAATCTAAAGGAGATGAAAGTATATTACAGTGCTGTAATTAGCTCAGAAGTTGGATCTGATCAAAATCCAGTTATGAAGAGGAGATCGACTGCAGAAGGAAACACGGCGGAAGAAACTTGAGGTGTAGATTGCAGTAGGCCTTACCTGGAATCGTTGATTCGAATCGGCGAGTTACTGAGAGACAGAATTCGATCCAAGACTGAAGAAGATGATTTGCAGTGGTGTGTAAATGCAAATGGCTGAAAATTTTCGAGGAGCGAGAGAAGGCCACGCGGCAGACAGTGTGATAATAAAGTAATGCAATAACAGAATAACTGGTACTAATCGGAATGTGCTGGAAAACAATTAAATAAATAATTGGTTTTTTGATTTGCCGACACTCGACAAAAAGATGAGCCCAACGGGCCACTACGCACCACCCGATCGGCCCATTTAAGCAACGGGCCAATTCGTGGCTAGAAGTCCAGCACGGCAAGGCAGACTCCCGCCTTAGTTGATTTAACTTTCGCTTTCGGTATAATTGATAGGCAATAGGCATTATAGGATCTTAATCTCATGATCACATTAAGTAAATGAGATCTTGTTATACAAAGAACAGCTGAAGTGCTGACTACACAGGATAAGGGCACTTAACTCTTTACTCTCCTGTAAAGAAGATACAACAGTTGCCACACAGAGAATAATCTCAAGTAGTAGCTTCTTTGTTACAAAACTGAACAAGCCCATCACAAAGACCCTCTGCCCCAAGTTCTTCCCCCATTCCCATCAGGAAAATATAACAAAATAAGTAGACACTGAAACTATAACCATTCACTTCCATCCTGCCTACTAACAAAGGAAATGCTGCTGCTGCTGCTGCTGGGAATTACACATAGAAGAGAGGAAAAGAAGAACACCAGGCCTATTTTTAGAGAGTTGAACGCCGGACTGAATTGAACAAATCGGCTTGAAGTATAATCCGATCTGATGTCAATCCCTGTGTTGATTCCACAAATTCTCTCTAACAATGAAGGAAAGAACAGGCCGTACGGAATCAGATCTAACGTGCTTTGCAACTGGTTCTGGTCCTTGTTTTCCCTCTATTTATGACCCCGGACCTATACCAAATCCGACCTGATCCTGGCCACCCCTAGTGTTCTTGAAGGCACCACTTCATGTGGGTACAGAAGCCCCAGAATGAGGAGACAGCTGCGAAACAACGAACCAAACCACCAAGATCAGCAGCATCAACTGGATGAAGAAGCAAGAAGCTGCCTTGCGCAACCCTTGACGAATCTCCTTCCCCTCCTTCTCCGCAGCCAAAACCTCCACGCCTCTCTTCACCGCCTCAGCGTTACTCTCAACTTGTTTGAATTTCTGCACCATTTGCTCTTGCTCCCCAATTAGGGCTTCCATTTCTCCACGTGTAGAATGCTGTAGTGTCTTTGTTAATGCCAAACATTGAACCTCGGCCTCCAGCTTCTGCTTGAATATAGCCTCGAGCTCCATCTCGTCCGTACTTGTTCGTTGACTGTTTGACCTGCTGCGCTGCAAGGTGTCTTCTAGTTCAGCGACCCTGGCCTCCTTTGCACACAGCATTGCCAATGCCTCCTTCAGCCTGCTTTCTAGATGTTTTACATTTTCGGATAACATTGCAACAGTTGCTGCTTCAAACCGAGCGAACGGGCTTGAGGAAACTTCTGGATCTGTCTGAGGAGGATCTGTGGGGTTGCTGCTGATCTTTCCAATCTCCCCCAGTTTTTGGATCTCTGCAAGACCATCATAAAAAGTCCTCATAAATATAACCAACGATGTGTGCTTTTGAACTCGTATTCTAAAAGGCATATATATTAATGTAGGATAACAAGTGAGGCCAAATTAAATGTCGCTTGGATGCTACTACGAGCGCATGGTAACTGGAAGGGAAGCAATATTCTGAGATTTCTCATCATGGACATTCAGGTTTACTTAGAATATTACCAATTACCAAACGTCAAGACTATCCATATTCCATACCCCAATATGGACGCTGCAACTTGCTCCAGACGCAACAATTAACTGATGCATCCTACCCATGTAAATAACCATAAGGTTATTCAGATGATACTTGTTCTGGTCTTTTTTTTATCTTCCCATGAACCTTTAGAGCTAAAATTTATGACAGACAATTAAGCTTAAAAAATCCAAAGTACTGAACTAACACCAGAAACAAAACTGTATCAACTAAGGACTTCAACATTATATATTCTTAAACACAAGTGAGAGTTAAAAATCCTTGTGATGAAAAACAACTTAAGCAATAATTCTGAAGTTATTGTACTTGAAATTAAAATGATCTCAAATCTAGTACTATTGATGAACTATTTCATAAGGCACCACAAAATAATAGCTGCAAGGAAATGCAGCATCTCAATCCTCTATAAAACTGCAATTTTCAGCTTATTAGAGCTTTAGACTCCACATGGGAGCTTTCTGCGTAGTTGTTCCGGAATAGGTGAAGCCCCAGATCAAAAAACAAACTCGTCCTCCAGTGACACACACACAAAAACTAAACGATGTCCTATCCTACATGACAAAACAAGGATTTCTCGGCAGAAAGATGGATTAAAGTGATCATCAACCAAACCAACTAAGGACAACTCAGATCTAAGGAAATTTTAGTATTTAGACATAGACACATAGCAAGACATATACATGTCTGTGCAGCGTGCATGTGTAAGGAGACACAGATACATCTATTATAGCTAGTAGTCAAAAAGTAGGTACAAAAAGCTCTTCAGTTTGGCAGAAGAAATACTCACCACTTTCAAGGGCTTCCTGCACAGACTGCAGCATAAACATGGATTCAACTAAAGGATCCTTGGCTTTCAAAGGGTGGTTATTCTCAATTTTCTCATCCTTATTTTGCGATGATGCATCGACTGCTGAACCATCTTGAGAATGGTATCCAACTTCTTCAACAGTCTCATGATCATAGCCAGTGTGAAATTCCACACTACCTTGATGCTCACCTGCATGTGCATCATAGCTATTCTCGCCATCATCATTCAATGATGTTTCACTCTGCTTACCATTGCTGGTGACCGAGTAAAGACCCTGAGTAAAAACAAAGTTGGAGCTTCGTGAATCAGATTCCATGCTGGACTGAGAGTTTTCTTTCTCAATCATGGCCCTCTCTCCTCTAGCTTTCTTACTACTCTCCACATGCCCCTTCCCTAGTTGACCACGTTGAGCTGAGATTACAGCAACCTTTGCATTCAAAGGTTTGGTTCTATTTTTCTCCCACCCGTAGCCTGATCCACCAGCAAGGTCATTCCTTGCTCTTGGAGCACTGGCTGCTGTTGACGACTTACTACTCCGATCCTCGCTAATACTATTCTCAGAGTCTGCACCAGCAGCAAAAGCAGAGCCAACAGCGAACCTAGAGTCCAAACTAGACCCAGGAACACCATTCCCATGAACAGAGCCAATAAAACCCTCATTAGATAGCTTATCCCCCATTGGTGAAGCGAGATTAACCGGTCTGACCGGATTACCAGAGCCAGACAAACCCCTCTTCATGGCTTTGCCACTATCCATACCACCACTACCATCCTTAATCATATCTCTCCTAATTCGCCTCCATTTCTTCAGACCATAGCCTTTCATCGTAGGAGACGTCCCTGCAGCAGGGGACACCGACAATCTAGGTGATGAATTCGATGAACTCCCCACTTGCTTGCTCCCAAAACCTTCCTCAGTAACTCCGCCATTCCGAAAAGCAATGTCATCAATGTTACTACTAGTTTCAGACCCAGTAACCACATTCGAAAACGACCCATTAGCCTCAAGCTTTCCATTCCCAACTCCTACATTCTCCATACTTCGACGAGAAGCACTGGCTGCATTGGCAGCCAATTCACCACCCCCCACGAAATCAAGAGCATCAGCAGATTTATCCACCGAATCCATGACTAAGTATGAAGAGAGAGAAGCTCCTTATACCGAGATCAATAGCAATAAACCGCCATTCACGTGAAGGAAACCGCCCCAATTATGGATCACTTGTCGGCCCAAGACCAAATTGTCGATTCCCAATTCACTATAAGGCAGAAATGGCAAGATCCTTCCTGAAATGGAATAATAACCTCGTGAATTCAAGCAATTCGAATGATCAACAACAAACACGATGCAGAAGGATCAAAAGCCACACGCACCTTTGGAATAGTATATACAGTCCACGATGATGGCGATGATTTAACGGTAAACAATCGACGCAGAGGATGCGAGGGAAGATTCTTGCTAGAACGGAAATCCGAAACCCTAAAGAAGGTTAGGGATTTGGGAGAATTATGCCGCGGAATTATTTGAGGAGAGTGATCTAGAAAGGAAGAATATTAACGATGGTAATGAGGAAATGGGTGGCACGTGGAGACAGAGGAGGGGGCCACATGGAGGTCAGTGCCTGGCTGGCCTGGCCTGGCCTGATCTGGCCAAAATATTCCCATTCTTTAACCCCGTTCAAAATAAGGAGAAGGACGAGTCGATTTACCGGTTGGGTTAGGTTCCAACGGGGTTGATTTGTCATGAGTTGAATGGGTGAAGGAGAAATATTCAATTGGATCACAATTTGATTGACTGTGACTCTGTGAGGTAATTTGGATAAAGGGTGGTCGAGGGTTGGTAAGTTTAATATCATTCATTAATTTGTTGGTGCATTAGCGTTGGGTGAGTTGGGTTGGGTGTGGGTTGGTTTTCGTCGATGGTTAATCGGTTTGGATCTAATATTCACAACTTTTGGTGTCTAAAGGTGTCAAATAGACAAGTTGACAAGGATACGAGGAATTGTATTATTAGTCAATATGTCGTGTCTAATGTAGATTATGTATTAATGGGATTCGAATGGAACTAGTTGTGAGCCAATTGCTATATGGGTTAATGGAAGGGGTATTGGTTGATTGAATGAATGGGTTATTTGCTGATAATTTTATGTTTATTGTCAACTCAATTTGTGAATTAGTCAGATAAATATAAAATAATTAAAGAGTGAGATATCCCGTAACTATGGATCCTTTAATAGTATTCAACATATTAATAGCAACTACAAACTTAAGTTATACTTCTCAAATTTCTCATTATTCCTTCTCTTCCATTTAATTGTAATATACTACCTCGTGTAAAAAACACAAATACTCCTATCCCTTAAACATAACAAGAGCACCATCTACTTATAGAGATATCATGTTGATCTAACAACATCCGCAATATTTTAACTACAAAATCAAACGCATGTGTTATTTTTTATTGCCACCTAAACATTTTTTTGCAATACAACTCATGTCAGTATCATAACACCTACATCAATGCAGTTCACTTGCAATTACATATGTGGATAAATAATACATGTAAATTACTAAATTATGACATAAAAGGAAAATTTTGAAAAGATAATCTCCCATTTTTTGGTTGACGTACCTACCTTTATAAATTCGAGTAACTAGTGACTCTAATCGAGTTAGGATCAACTAACATAATCGTAGATCAAGTCAAACAATGTAATTTGTAATGCATCAATTCCTTTGATACCAATAAGATACTGATTGCAACACATCAACTTAATAGTCACGGAAATCAATTACATCTCATCTCACTAAAGCATAAAAGGATTATACATCCCAATCTTAATGATATATGCAAGCACCATAGGAAGGAGAAGGATAGTAGAACTTGGAAGTCGAAGTGAAAAGCAAAATGGAAGATTATTCTGATTCATAAAAGAACGTACGATAGATTGATCTCAAGTTTATTTTTGGCAAAAATCATAATATTTTTTGATCAAATGTTTAATACAGGGGGTAAAAATGGTTAAATAAAATAGTACGAGACATGCTTGTCAATGATCATAATATATAGGGACATATTTGTTAAACAATATAATATAGGGACCAAAACATCCAAAAAAACATTGAAACGGCCCGACCGAGCCATCTGAAATGTTTACGACACTTGCAGAAAGCCAGAAACGCCTGTAAGTTCGGCGTAAATGCTGCGGACGTTTCGATTTTCTCGCGCCATTCCTCCCGCCGGGCCTCTCCGGCTATCCAACTCCTTCGCACCGTCGAGAACCGAGCGGCTGTCCGCTCGCCAAGCTTCAGGTCCTCGGATTCACATCGCTGGTCTTCGAATGGAGAAAAAGAATTTCGAAGACGAAGCTGGAGAAGGAGACAGAAGCATAAAGAAAAGCAGCGCCGCCGCCAAGTTCAAGCCGGAGGTCAATTCCATGCAGCGACTCCTCAGCTCCGACTCTTCTGGTAAATCACTCCGAAATTCTGGTTTTCTCGAGGGAATTCCGGTGAATTTTGTACGGGATGGATTTTAGTTGGGGGATTCTGGTGGCCATGTGTTTCCTAGGTGAGGAAGCAAATTGGAAATGGGGATTTCGATCGAGGATCTGCTTTTCCTAGTAATCAAGCAGCTTGAAGTTTCCCATTTGTAAACTGTTATTTCCCTTCGGCCTTGCATATTGGGCAGTTTAGTCTTCTTCTCCTGGATACCCAACGTTATTGGAGTTGGGTGGCACGCATCAATCACACCCAACATTCTAGGAGATCCCTCTAAGTAGCTCGCATATTTGGCTTCGTGTATTGTAAAGTTAGTCAGCATATTCTGTATATCCATATGTTCTTGAGATGTTATTTGGTGGACTGGCAGTAAGGTTTGATACACAAGTATGTTCAGTCAACATTTGGAGAAAGCATCATGATTTATGATACAGTTCTGTGATTGACTTCCTAGGTGGTTGGGAGAAGTGCTGGGAGCTAGGTCTGACTCCATGGGACTTGGGACGTGCGACTCCAGTGATCACGCATCTTCATCAGGCTGGGGTCCTCCCTAAGGGCAGAGCTCTGGTTCCTGGATGTGGCACTGTAGGTTTCTGCTTCTGATAGATGATTTGATATTTGTGAAATGCATTCTCAGAGTATACCAACATCTGAAAAAATGTTGCTGGGTGCTCTTTGGTTTTAAACAGTTGGTCATCTCTGCCCTTCTACTCCTGTTTCCTTCCGGGCATCTATAAGTAACATATGTTGAGTATTGGCAGAAGTTCAAGGGATTATTTTAAATGTTTTCCGTATTAGGACCTTCTTTTTAAATTTGTGATTTTTTTTTGGTGATTATCATTCAGTTGCACCTGTTGGATGAATCATAGATGTAGCAGGATCCCAGAACTTAATAAACCGAAAACGGCATCAATTAGTAACACTCAAGAAGAGTCAATTGATATCTTAAACCTTTATTGTATGTTACTGGAAGGGGAGGGATTCATAGGTACACACATTCTGAACTATGAAACATTCAAAATGGATTTCTTTGTCTTGCAGAACTCCTTTACTAATTCTTTTGCTTGCTTCCTATCATTAAGAGGAAGTGATGTTGATGTTCATGGTTGCAGTTTCTTGATGAACTATAGTATAAGAAACTAGTCAACTTCCCAATTGGCAGGGTTATGATGTGGTGGCCATGGCATGCGGTGAACGTTATGTGGTTGGACTTGAACTCTCCGACAAGGCAATCGAGAAAGCAAATGAGGTATGAGAATATAGCTTCCATTCTTTTAGCTACCTAAGGACCTTTGTGAAATGTTTCATTCATGTAAGGCCTTTTTTATTTCATCCAGGACTTTTAGGTTACTATCTCACAGCTGACAGCTATCTCTTCTGGATGATAGTGTCTGTATTGCTATTTCCTATCTTTTCTCATTTTCCTTTTACATGGTTCAAGACAGTTATTTTCAGCTCTGCCCAATGCGAACTACTTCAAATTCCTTAAAGCTGACTTCTTCAACTGGAATCCATCTGAGAAGTTTGATCTCATATTCGACTACACGTAAGCCAATCTAAAAGCAGCTTGTTTTCTCATCAGCAGGGTTTAATTGGATGCTGATATTATATTGACCAGCAGCTTATGGCTTTGCATGAGTGCTTTCCTAACAATTCATATTGAACACTTGTAGGTTCTTTTGTGCAATTGAACCAGAGATGAGACCAGAATGGGCCCAAAAAACCAGTGAGCTGCTCAAACCAGATGGGGAGCTACTAACTCTCATTTTCCCTGTAAGTAGTTTTAAGAAATACGACTTGCTGCTTCATATCTGTATGTGTTACTCTTGATTGTCTCCATCAAGCTCTCTTTGTGACTGAACATGGAAAACAATATTTTGATAGTTTTGAGCCATCTTTGAAAGTTGACAAAAAAAAAGGGGTTTCTTTTACTGTCTTGCTAAAGTTTGAATCAATATTGGCAGATAGATGATCACGTAGGGGGGCCTCCATATAAAGTTTCAGTTTCCGAGTAAGCCTCATTCTTTCATTCACTTTCAATTTTCTAGATTACACTCTGTATGAAAGTTCACTCCTGTACTGTGTACATGTAGTTATGAAGAGGTGTTGCATCCTATGGGCTTTAAGGCAGTCTCGATTGTTGATAATGAAATGGCTGTTGGACCCCGAAAGGTAACGTTGGTTTTCCAAGCATCGAATCATTGTTCGCCCTCCCGTATAAGCTACCAATACATATATATGCATCTCCCTTCTCTTTCTCTATCCAACTCTCCTCAGTAGAGAAGACAACCTAGCCCCATGGTTTTGCATCCTCATGCGTGTTGCAGCTTATGGATTGCACAAATCGTTTTACTTGCCATATACTCAACCTTTCAACAAGAAAGAAAACAACCATACTCTTACCATCGAATAGTCTGTCGAGTGTATTTCAATGCTTACGAAATGTTATCCGAAATAATCCTTCCGGAGTTTAAGCAGATGGAAGCTTTACTTTAGTGAACTTGAGCAATGGTAGGATTTGTTGCAAGTCATGTTTCTCATGAGTCATGGTAACTGGTATGGTTTTGATGTTAAACAGGGAAGAGAAAAGCTTGGAAGATGGAAGAGACCTGCAAGGCCGTCATCGTCGTTGTGATAGATTAAAAGATGGGTTCCCTTTGTTCATGGTAAAAGTTTCCAGTTGGTCTCTAATTGTTGATGGCACAAAAGGTTGTTTGTTTTACCGCATCAGGAGAATACACAGATTGACTCTGAGGAATTATTTGTATACCATTGTTTGTCATCTCTATGTATCTGTTACAACTCACAAGTCTCGTTACTAATCTGTCCAGACTCCAGACTATAAAGGGGAACTATTCTTGGGCTAAAAATGGACTACTACCTACATTGATATAAAATGTAGATTCGTCATTGTTGATAGTATTCGAGATGATGAAATTGTTTATCGGTTGATAAATCTTTATTATTTAGGGTGAAATAGTCAAACTTATAATTCAACTTTAATTTGATTGGAATATTGTTATCAATCAAATCTTATAGTTTAGTCATGTCCTAGATACTATCCAAAGTCAATCACTAATCAACGAGTTCGATCCTCGTAGTTCTTTACTGCCCCTTTTCCAACATTTTTATTATAATGAAAAATACATAAAAAGCAACAAACCTGAAACTCTTATTAACATCCATCATCTTTGTGTAAATGATTTAGACTTATAGCACAATCCTACCACAACATCTCCTACCATTTTAGAAAAAGTATAAATATTAATTTTAATATAAGAGTAAATCATTATGCATACCTAACAACAACACCCAAGTCCTTAACCAAACCATTTATTTTTTACTTTCTAGTTCCTACCTTTTCTCAAAATAATATTTTTTTCTTTTGCCAATCACTACTTGCCCACCTCTAGTAAAATATGAATTTTTGTATGGATCCCATGTCATATGCAGGAATAAAAGGAAGCGTTGGATCCATCATCAGAGGGCCTGAATAAAAACCAGAAAACTAAGTCAGGCCCACTTAACTCCGGGCCCACAAGATCCATTATCATCCGTCCATCCAATCGACATCTTTGATGATCAGAGAGGCAGAGTTGCAAAACCAGCAACCAACTATAAATACACGGCAATCATCATTCCCCCAAATTCGAGAAATCCTCTCCACTGTCTTTTATTACACAGTCCCCCTGGACTGCGGTCACCCCCACTTCTTCCGGCGCCGGCGACTTCCTCTCCGTTGAATCCTCCTTCCCCCGTACAAATCCTAGATCCCCTCGCCGCAAAACTCGAAGCGCCAAATCCGAAATTTTCGATCCCGGAAAAAGGGAAAGAAAGAGAAGGAAAAGATAGTTTATAGTATCGGTAAATTATGGCGGAAGAAGCTGTAGTTGAATCGGTGCCGGAAACCCTAGAAACTCCACATCCATCGGCAACTTCACCGACCGATTCGCCAACCGCGGTCGCTTCCGATCCCTCGCTCTCGCGGAATGCGTCGTTCAGTAAACTCAACGCGCGAGCTCCCGAGTTCGTTCCTAGTAAGCCACCGCCTCCTCCTGCTACTCCATCTCCTCCGCTTCCGTCGAGGCTGGCTGTGATGCCGCCGCCTCCTGGTGCGGCTATGATGCATATGTACTCTCCTGCACCGTCCCCACCACTGCCTACGGCTGGTCCGACTCCACCTTACCACGTCCCGATTCACAGTCCGGTGCCGGTTGCTCACGTGATTCCGGTCCAGAATCATCATCCGCTTCACAATCAGCACCATCACCCGCGCCACCATCAACAGCCGCCGCCGCCGCCGCCGCAGTACGTTGCGGTGCGGAATCACAACAATCATCATCAGCACCATCACCAGCAGTTCGGCCAGAACGCTCACTATGTGCCTGTACAGGGCCACGGAAATCAGGAGCACCATCAGAATCATCATTACGCTAAGAAGTTGCAGCAACAATCAGAGGAAGGCGAGCAGAACGAGGTTGGTCCGGCGGATTACGGACGATCCAAGAACCAGAAGACCGATAAAAATGGGCTCTCTGACGAAGCTATGCAGAAGCTTTTGAATCAGGCGAGTCTCTGAATTGAGTCATTTCTAGGTGTTATCGATTTGAATCCGATTCCCTGTTTCCATTATATTAGTAACCTGAATCGAATTCAGGTTTCAGTATCCAGAACGGTTCATTTCTATGGTTTCAGTACATTGGGGAGCACCATGATTCTGCTTCTGGGACAGAATTTGATCGGGCCTAGTGTAGTTACTGTGAAATGAGTGTATCAGTTAGTGATTGATAGTGACTCAGAGGTTTTGATTAGAGAAGTTGCATCGAAGGCGGAAATATTGCTTCTCTTTAGCACTTAGGTTATTCTGATGGCTAATGGAGGTAAGCATTTTGGATTTCCTGTTGTTTAACCCTTACTGAAATCTCTATCTGCAGGTAGAGTACTACTTCAGTGACTTAAACTTGGCCACCACAGATCATCTGATGAGGTTCATTAGCAAGGATCCTGATGGATATGGTAAATTTTGTTGACCTGTCTATACAGCTGATTTTGTTACGCGCGGTCTCTAATCCTACTGTATGTAAATAGTATTTATTGCTGTAAACTATTCTACCATCACTTAGCGTCACCTCTCTTTTCTGTTCTGGATGTTCTACAGCCATGTGGGGGTTTTCATTGGAGAATGTCTTTTGAATTTTCTGTAGGGAATTATGGGTAATTTCGTGCTTTAGAGGTTTGCAATTTGTTGTCGATTGAAAGCTTCTGATTACTCTTAGTCATGGAATGATAAGTGGAATAATTTTATACATTTCAAATTGTCAGACAATAGAATCTTCATAGATTCCTTGCTGAAATTATGAGCTCTCCCACTCTTCCTTAACTCATATATACTGCTGGATAATTTCGATGTTCTATGAAAAGTCAAGATGATATTGCTTTCTTCCTTTCAGGTTATTGTCTAGGCCTTTCTGGACAGTGATTATATTTGTTGCCACTTCTTTTAATAATAGTTACAAGTTACAGATGCTTCAGTCAGGTCCTTTGTCTCTGGTGTACTTGTGTGATAGCTTAGGGCATCAATGGTGTTTATTTTGCTTTTGTACTTACGTTTGGTTAAAGTCACAATCCCTTCCCCCTCACCCCTGAAAATATCTCTTATTTTATAATTTTTTAGTTCCTAAAGTAATCCTAAATGTTTTGCATTTTTCAACTTTTAATTCTCGAAATGGTGAATCAAACGGCTTATCATTTTCAGGTCCTTAGGGGAACCAATTGGTCCCTTATTTAACTTCTGCATCAAGAAATTGTATTTGCTGAGTACTTTATCTACTCTTGCTTCAATGATACAATAGGTTCCATTTTGTGGAGATTGTCTGTTTTTCTGTAATTTTGTTTCATTTGATGCTGATTTCCACTTTGTCGTTTGCAGTGCCATTATCTGTTGTATCTTCTTTCAAGAAGGTCAAAGCTGCAGTAGATAGTCATTCTCAACTAGCCAACATTTTGAGGAACTCTTTGAAGCTTGTAAGCCTTTTCTTTTAGTTTTAATTGGTGGATCAATTTTTACCTTTTAGATGGATCATTAGAATGTTCTCATATGAGCTTTGCAATATACCATTGAACTGTTTGTACTACATGCTGCAGATTGTCAGCGAGGATGGGAAAAGAGTTAAACGTCAACAACCATTCACTGAGCCTGATATGGAAGAACTGCAAGTAGGTTCATTAATATGTCTTGCTTTATTTTTTGGTGCAAATAAATTCCTAGTATAGTTTCAACAAGTGGTGGTTCTTTCTCTAGCCTAATTCTTGTGCTTTTCCAGTCACGCATTATTGTTGCTGAAAATTTACCTGAGGATCATTGCCACCAAAATCTGATGAAAATCTTCTCATCTGTTGGAAGGTACCAGAAACATTGCTGTTAGTTTGATGATGTATATGATGGCTGTCTGTGGACCTTTATAATTGCAGTATTGAGGATTCAATTCTGTCAATGGTTTATTTTACTAGTGTTAGAACAATTCGCACCTGTCCTCCTCAAAATTCTGGTGCTGGGCCTGCGGCAGGGTCTCGATCTACAAAAGCTGATGGCATGCACTTCACTAACAAGGTAGGGCCATATTCAAATCACTTGTCAAATTGCTGGCTCTTTTTCCTAATGCGTGATCTTGTTTGTGCCTCATTTTATGGTATTATGTTTGAGCAGCTTCTTTATAAATCTCGAAAGTTTGGAAATAAAATCATACTTGTGACTGTTAGTGGAAACTAATACTGATTGGTGATGCTCACGAAAAAAGGTGCCTGGGCAGCTGCTTCTCCTAATTATTTAAGTTGGACCTGGTGCTTCTGCTTGAGATACTACTTTTCTTGAGCGTCTCAACAATAGTACAACTGGGAATAGAACCCCCAACAGAATGATTGCTCTTTTTTTTTGAAGCTGGAGCAAGTTATTCATACTGTTATTTAATATCTAACACCGAAAAATCTTTATATTATATGCAGTTGCATGCATTTGTGGAGTATGACTCTGTGGAGATAGCTGAGAAAGCGGTAAGTGTAGCTCTTCACCGTAGTTTGTTATCATTCTAGTCTAGTTACTCAAGTCTCCTGAGCAGGTTATGTAATTGCTTTATTATTATGTCGCGCAGGTTATGGAGCTTAACGAGGAAGCAAATTGGAGGAATGGTCTTAGGGTTCGCCTAATGCTAAAACGTCCAGTATGCACCAGTACTTAAATCTTCTTGTGTCTCTTCTTTTATATGTGGAAAATATATAGTTTCCGGGTAAACTTCGTTTCTGGACTGTTTGAACTATTCATCCATACAACCTAGGAAAGATCTAAAATGGAAGTAAACTGGTGCTTATTCCTCTTGTGTTTCAAATTTCTAAGCAATAGTTTGTTAGTAGATATAGTGTAAGAGAAAGTTTGTCTAAGTTTATGCTGTGGCTTGGTTTAAATATCTTAACCCATGCTTTCCTTTCAAGCTGTAACAAAATCGTGAAGGGAAGAGCATCTTTACATTATACTGGCTCATCCATTTCTGTTTATGTATCACAGTCATGAAGTGGATTTGCTTAGAAATTGATGGCTCTCTTTTTGTACTCTAGTCAAAGCCTGGTGCTGGGGGGCGAGGGAAGAAGGATGTTGATGGGCCAGGGCAGTCGGAGGAAGAAGAGGCTTGTACCTCTGAGCAGCAGTCAGATGAAAAGCCGATTGAGGATCTTCCTAAACAGCAGCCTGATGTCCAGGTTAATGGCCATCCTGTAAGTGCTACGATTTCGTCCTTTTTCTATCTGTTGTATAATTCCACTATAGTGCCGGCAATCAACTGAAACAGATTTCATATACAAGCATGATGTTCGCTTTGATGAACATTCTTAAAGTCTTAGGGTCCCTCCTTTTAAGTAAATTAGTTGCATAATCTCACTTTCTATAATCGTAATCAAACAAAATGATTGTTTCGAACGAAATTAATCAAGGTGAAGATCACTGTTCATAGATACATTCCAGCTAAGCGTTCACGTGACAGCCATGTTTAGTGAAGTCTAACCATTCAACTTCTGTTGCAATTGCAAACATGCCATAGGGTTTGTTTCTTCTAGTAGTTTATTTTTTCTGTTTCTCTAGCGAATTGCTTTAACGAAACAGAGAAAGACCGTAGCTCTCACTCCCCATTGGCTTGAATGTGCAGGGGGATGACAATCTTAACAACGACAAGGATGCAGTACAGAGAAAAGGACGTGGCAGAGGGGGACGAGGAAAGGGACGCGGCCGAGGCCACTCCCATCACCACAACCCCGGCCGAGGAGGAAACCACATCGGCGGGCCTCCTCCTTCGAGCAATGCAGCAGCCACGTGCGAGCATACAGTGAAGCAACCACCGCCGCCTGGTCCCCGGATGCCCGATGGCACCCGAGGATTCGCCATGGGGCGTGGGAAGCCGGTCCCTGTTAACACCACATGACACTGGCACATCACATTGCAGGAGAGGGGGGGTTTGACTGTTAGCGTAGAGCGTCCAGGAGAACGGGCAACTCTGTACTCTAATGGGGATGGCTTTCCAAGTTTTCGTATGGATGGGCGAAGTGGCGAGTCAGGTAGCCGTGAAGTTCAAAGTTTGAATGTCTCTTTTCTTTGTTTGTCTGCGTTTCATGAGTCTTGGACGTTTATGTGCCATGAACAAACCAAACGACCTGTCTTCCTTCTCTTTTCTTCGTTTCTTTCTTCGGATTGTTTGTTTGGTTTACTATTTATAGGTGAAATGGGGTGGGAGAAAGGGGGGATCATTATAAAGCGTATTGTATAATGATTAAGTGCAAAGAAGCTATAGACCCTTTCAGGGGTGGAAGGAATGTGGAGATAAGAGTACCATTTGCACCTGTACTTTCGATAACAAATTGTCCCAAGGGAACAATTTGCATCTTGTTTGAGTTGTATATCAAAGTTCGCGAAAGACAATTCATTTGTAGGAATAACTAATTAGATTGAGAAGGTTGGTTGCTGCTAATCAGATTCAGTTTGATATTTGAATGAAACATCTGAGCTTCACCACATTCTAACTGCTTGTGCCGAGGTAAGTGACTGATTGCCTCTTTCCTCAAACAGAGGGGGAGGTAGCAGGGCTTGAAACTGTCTTTTAACATCCAGATTTCCACATTCATTGGATAAGAAAGATATACAAGGCCTAGATCTCAGGGTAGTAGAACATCGAAGAGCATGTCATAATGAACAGCAAAACCAAATGAGATGTGATATATTGTTTCCATTTCTTTCAAAGCAAGAGTGCAGGAGGCGTCTTCATATCCAACATATCCAAAAGGGTAAACTCTATGTGCCGGAGGGAAGGCATAAACAGAACCACTAGCAGCAGCAGCAATAAGCAGAAGCCTTCTCTCCTACATGAAGGCAGTTCGACCGCCCCTTCGACTGTGCCTGTCGTATGCAGTGTTGAATTTTTCCACCAGCTCATTCATTGTGCTGCCACCCCAACAAAACAAAGAACCCCAAACAAGTACTTGTCAATACGAGAAACAAGAAAAGATTGGAAATGTGTACGCAACAGCGGAATGGTTGATCGCTGTGTTACCTTGAGCAGTTGGTGAACATGGCCAGGTATGTGATCAATAGCGTGTCGCTGTATTCCTGGGAGAGCATCAAAGCAGAATATCAACTCATCATAAGCACCACCCAAACAATGATGAGATGTTCTCGAGCATGCTTATTTTTCTAACTAGCCAGGATGTATTGTGATGATGAAGTCTTGAGAAGTACAGTAATTTTCAGGAGGAGCTTGTACAATGAGTAAGAACTCACCATTAAGAAATCATCTTGGAACTTTTCAGATTCAATAGCTGGCAATCTTCTCAGAAGGCTTGATACCTGTCGAAGCAAGGAGTTCTCACACGGAATCTCACCTGCATTTAAAGCATACAACAACTATCAACTTAGACTCTACTCACTGCAGATATTTCGAAAGCAATAGTAACCCAGTGACATTACTGTCTAAATGCATGAGATTATCCAATATTGATATATCTTGCACCTTTCAGATACTGCTGTATCTTGCACCTTTCAGATACTGCTGGTTTTCTAACTTTTAAAATGAAGTATCTTCACTCACTGGGAACCCTATGAGATCAATCTATTCTGCAACTGCCATAGGAAAAGAGGAACACAAATACCTTTCTGCATAGCTACAAGATAGTGATGAAGCACCCTAATTCTGCTATTTAACATCTTGATGGCACTGTGTATGCTGGTAAGGTGAGCAGCCACTGCAATAAAAGACTGCATCAGCAAAACTGCCAAGCAGAAATCCATTCTAATAATGGTGAAAGAACAAAAGAGCAAGGGCAGAGCAACTTGCATTGGGTGGCTGCAGAACCTCCATCAGACGGCTTAAGGTGTGCAACATGGTCAACTGAAATCCTTTCAGCTTCTACAGTCTTTAAGACAGAGACAATGTGTTAATAACTCCAGTTGCAGATAGCATGAGTCGGAGACAAAATGAAGATCACAAACCTCAATAGTGTAGCTTGAGTTAACAAAAATCAGTTGCGGAATTCCATCAATCACATGCAGCTCTGAAGTCATACACAATCAGCAAAACATTAAAATCAGTAACCTTGAAAGTTCACTTCGTAAGGGGGACTAGAAACGAAGGACATACTGTTCGACACTAGAGGTCAATGTCTTACTCGTCCAAGACACTTAATTACCATTGAGTAATGCTGATAACAATAAGAAGACCTACTGCTTACCACTTTCATAGATAGTCACTGGAAGATCCTTCTGAGCGTGATTTATGGCAGGATTCAGTAGGACATAGACAGGACTTTCATTAATATCCATCAACTGTTACAAGAGATAGAGAGGACAGGATTCAGTAAGACCTACTAAAACACGCCAGAAGAGAATAGCTTCCCAAGAGATAAAACATGTAAGAATACTGAGCCCTGTGAGATAGTGAAAGATGTAATGCAGAGAATCCATTGAGTCTGAACACTAAAACTTCGAACATCACTACCCCATCACAGCAAGCCAGCTAAACACAGAAAGGTTGGCATCAAAAGACTTTGGGTGAAGACTGAAGAGTAATTCAATGGAGTTGAAATTTACAGCTTTGTGAATGTGCATATCTGCTTCTTCCGCATCACTGCCGGTAGAATACCATCCCAGTACGTAGAAGTTGGGGAAAACCTTCTTATCTGCTCGCAACACAAATGAAACAAGCATTAGGTTCGTTTCTACCAAAATCGATTCTTAATACACACAACAGAAACCCTGAAATCAACATAAAACGGCAGCACAAAGAAGAAAACACGGTGTCGAGAATGGTAGATTACAGAGCTCCTGCTTCTTCAAGAGGAAAGCACGGTCGAGGGAGTCAGTGGAGGGGTCGTAGAGAAGCTCGAAGCTGTTGAAGATCTCGACGGTTCGTCCCCTCTGAACTCCAATAACGCATCCGTACACTCTTGGCGGCGGCGCTGGCGCCACCACGGCCGCAGAATCACCGCCGTTTCCGCTGCCGTTCGTATTCGAGCAGCTTGTGCTCGCCACGGGAGGGTTCATCTGCGACTTGACGCGGGTGTAGTGATCCGAAATATTGACTATCACCAGCGGGTGAAGCTTAAAAGTCAGCCCGCTGCTTGACGACGACGCCATTGCCGATGAGCTCTAGTTCTCTTCTTTCCTTGTTCTCCCCCTTTTCTCTTCCAATTTCGCCGGCGATCGCTCACTGGAACTCTCGTGTAGTGTTTGCTGCACGTTCTCTCCGACTCCGAGAGGGAATTTTGAGGGGTTTTTGTCTTATGCCTTCTCGGGGATTGTACTGGTGTATATTTTTATTGGGCCGTAAGTATGGGCTACCATTAAACATGGCCCAATTAAATAGGCTGGGAATCAGATTCAGATCAGACCCAAATTGCATATATACCATTATACCCCTATGGCCCTATCCACGTAAATCCCGTGCTTTGTTTTCAGCAACGTAGAAGCCCAGAAAGCAAGGCAGAATACTCCGCCACTATCTGCACAGCACAGCAACACAAAAGTCTGATACCAACCAAATGCACGGGTGCCCAATTCGGCAGTTCCAGTAGCTTCCTTTTTCACTGTGCTCCCCTCGCGCTACACGTTCTCCGCAGCCGCAGCCGGGCCAGTCTTCAGAGCTCGCCGGAGTTCTAGCTAAGCCTCTCACACAGAAATGGGGACGCCGTGGAAGGAACGGGATAATCCCCCGGGCAAGCTCCCGATCATGACCGCCTTATTTCGGAAGGTACTTGACTCGATCTCCGGCCGGCCGAGTTTGAATTCGAATTCGAATTCGGATTCTGTCGCCGCTCGCCGTAGTCTTCGATGGTCGGCGTCGTCGTCTTCGTCCTTGTCCCTGGGAGTGTTCGATCGGCTGCCGCTCGATGTCTTGGTGCAGATTGTGAGGCTGGCTGGGCCGAAGGACGCTGCAAAGCTCTGCGTGGCTAGCAAGTCGTGGAGGTCGCTCGTGTCGGATAATCGCCTCTGGATTTTCTTCCTCCAGGACGAAGATGAGCCTTGGAATTGGGACTCTGTGTTCTTTTCCGAGATGAATCTCCGTTCCGGCTATCCTGTCCAGTGAGTATTCCTTCTCGCTGGCCAATTCCTTTGCCTAGCTGAAATGCTTCACGAATTTTGGGATGTTTGCCTGAAGCGTACTTCATGCTCACTCTTCTGCCAGCTTCGACCTCCACTGACTGCAGATGTTACTGTTCATGGATTCCATTTGGTATTTGTTCATTTGATTATGAAATAATTGGGGGTGGAATTGAGCTTAAACTTATCATTTCGTAGGATATACCCGAGTGATATGTCTACCGAGCTATCTCTGATGCGCATATACGGCGAGAGAATGAAAGTGCCTGGTGCTGTTATCATTGATGGTGAGTGTTGAATTGTTATTTGAACACTGGGTTCCACTTACAAGTGAGTGAGTAGGTGAAGGGAATAGTTATTTGCTACTTGCTATAGCTCAGGGGAGGAGAGGACTTCGATACTGTGGCTAGAACTCATTCATGGGTCCTGGAATCTATCCCCAAAAAGGATAGAGCATGCTTAACTCAGATTTGTTTCACACGAAGCTTGGCAGAGAGGAATGCATTGGTTGGTCTATGTGCTTGTTGGCGTATTTGTATGTTGACATGCATGTATATATGAATTGATTTTTGGCCGTGAGAAGGTAGGTGATAGATTGGAAGTAGACAATTTTTCTGCGGCTCTGATCAAGTTAATCAAAACCCTTTGGATTACTTAGGTCTTGATTTGTTAAGTAACAATGCTAATAATCCTCTGTAACTTCTGAACATCTTGTTCCTTGTTTCACTTAAACCTTGTTGGAAAAGGTGGGTCGGGCTATTGCAAATTTGGGTGGAGCAAATATGATAGTCCATCTGGGCGGTCAGCCACATTTTTGGTAAGCATCTGTCTTAGTTGATGCCATAAAGGTCTGTGGAAGTGGATTGCTTCCAGTAGGGAATGCCCTTATGATCCATTTCACTTCTTTAACCTTTGCTGTTCCTTTTTCACCTTAAGTTCTGCAACTCCTACTTGAAGTAACGGTTGGTTTTACAGCTTTTCCTTTTATACTTTATTGCTAAAAGGTGTCAAATATGCAGGAATTTGGCAACATAGAGTCCCCAATGTACTCGAGATTGCGGCATTTTTTTGCTACTATTTATAGCAGGTACATATTGTATTCTCTCTAATTTGTTCAACATATCCTGCTTGAAATGTTTATGTACATTACAATCTCCTGGGCCCATGCTAAATTTGATATGCCATGCCTACAGGATGCAAGTTAAGACATCTACCCAGCCAATTGTCTTGTCTCTTCCAATATGCCACTATGATGGTTAGCAGCTATTTTCTACATCTTCCTCTAGTGGCTGCCTGTTGAATTTTCTTGATGTCTTAGTCTTACTGCTCTGACATGTGCAAATTCAACTCTCTTGTCTAGCTTTACAGCCTTTGCCCTAATGCATGAGTTGCTTCAAATGGAAGAAGTTTCCAGAATGCACGAGCGAGTTCTATTTTTTGTTTATTTATGAAGATCGAGTTCTATTTGAGAATGAACTTGTTAAGATATATGTTAGATGTTCTTTAGCTATACATGGGAGAAGCTATTACCATAATGTTACTTATAATTAACGTCATGATACAAAGAACTCATTCTAATTACTTTGTCTTATTATTCTTCTAGATACTGACTCTGCCAGAGCATCAAGAAGGCAACTGAAAGAAGCTATCCACTCTGCTCTCTTTGACATGAATGTTCCAGCTGTTTGTACTGTTAATCAGGTAAATAAGTTTGGTTAATATATTCCTTTAAGTTCCTAGCATATCAAAAGCACTCACCATCGTTTCTACAGACCAAGAAAGGAATGAAGCTTTGCTGCAAACATTAGCCTAAACCTCACCCGCTATTGTTTTGTAGAATTAATTTCCAAGGTCCTTGAGGCTATTATAGCATTTGAATGTTGAAATGATCTTTGGAAATCAGGACAGACAAGCTTCAGATGACATGAAGCTCTTCTTCATTTGGGATTTCCTTTATAGATCTGTGTCTTCCTATCACGAATTCACGACCCCAAGCTACCTTAGCTGAATTAAATGGGAATTCTACCAATAACACTTAATTTGAGCTGATATTCTTACTCAGCCTGTAACTTATCATGTCTACATTACATGCCATTCCAGCTCCGTGGTTCCACAACTGAAGAATTTAAGATGTGCCCGATAGGAATTTCTTTAGTACTAAAAAATGTAAGCTAGCCTTCACTAATTTCCAACTTGCAGTCTTCTATGAATGTCTCAGCTTCTTATGTGGCTAAGATCACAACTATCCATTCCCAAGTTACTCCCTACACAAGGCAGCTAAGATCTTAGGTTTTTTTTTCTTCCTTCCAAAAGAGAGCTGCTGCTTGATCTGCAGCTGTTAATAGCTTCTTAGAGCCCCTTTGAATTCTACACTTGTTGGACATGGAAAATTTGCCATTCTGTATGGTAACTTGAGTAAAAGAGTCTACTCTACTTTTTCTTCTTCTGTCCTCCCCTCCTTTCAGCTTTGATATTTGCTGCTTAACCGATTGCCGCAACTGTTTTCTTTTTGTAGGTTATTCCTTCCTCTCTGGACTTTTCTTTTTTCTTTCTGCTCTTGTGGCGGGGTTATCTGTGAGAAAGTTTCCATATTTGTATGTTGATGCAATCTTGGCATTCATGCTGTTGACCACAGGCAATTCTAGCACTTTATGCTGCACACAAGACTTCTGGAATTGTTGTTAATATTGGTTTCCAGGCGACTTCTGTAGTTCCTAGTAAGTGTTCATCTACATTTCTCTTCTCGTTATTCTTTACTTGCTCTTGAAAATTCCCCCCTCCCCCTCTCGATCAGCAATGTCTTACTAGCTTAACTGGGACTTATTGCAGTTTTAAATGGAAAAATAATGCACTCTGTGGGTGTGGAAGCTATCGGCATCGGTGCCTTAAAAGTTACAGGTTTCCTGAAGGAGCAGATGCAACAGAACAACATAAATTGTGAATCTCTTTACACCATTCGGACACTGAAAGAGGTGAATATCTTCATGTCTCTCTTGCTGTTTTGATTCCGAATTTTAAGGTAATTGACATCTTCATATCTTCCATTAGTGTAGTACTAGATTGCTATTGGTTTTAGTACTCTACACGGTAGACTTAAAATAAGTTGTTGTCCTGTGTGCTTCTTGCTGCGGCCTCATAGTTTCGAAGACTTGCCAAACCAGAGTTAATTCCGTTTAATCCCTATTCCAAATCAGTAAACTGTATTGTTATTCTGGCTAACCCAGGCTCTTGGAGGCAAACATACTCATAGAAGAAATCTGTCAGCAAGTATGCAGATATATGTTCTCCTCGGTAGTTGTAACGGTCGTTTTGTGAACTTTGTTACAATGTTGATGGGATCATTGATTTGCTCTACTATGAGTTATTACTCATGTTTCATAATTCTTATTTGATTCGTGTTATGTGGCTTATAATGAATACCCAGAACCTCTGCTATGTTGCTTATGATTATCAAGCTGAGCTGTCCAAAGACACAAAAGCATCCATGGAAATCCCTGGAGAAGGGGTGTTTACACTTTCGAATGAACGCTACAAAACAGGGGAGATCTTGTTCCAACCGCGGCTTACAGGAATGTAAGTCGTATTTTTTTCTCTGCAGCTGTAAGTTCCCTGGTATTCTTTGCTGAAGCATGAACACGATATTCAGATTATAGGCACTTCCACCTTCTATGATGCAAGATCATGGGAATTGTTGTTATTAAATAGTAACTTCTAAAGAAAGCTATACGTATTTCCCTCTGTGGGAGTATATTCAGTTACATTTTCTAACTTAATTACTGCTTTCTGTAACTTAGATTCTCTGCATTATGCATCTTATATTGATGGGTGATTGGATTGGTCTTGCAATCACAGGCGCGGGATGGGGCTGCATCAGGCTGTTGCACTTTGCATCGACCATTGTCATGCTGCAGAGTTGACTGGCGACGATTCTTGGTTCAAAACCATAGTTCTGACAGGAGGAACAGCATGCTTACCCGGACTTGCAGGTCGGGCCATTCAGCCGTATTTCTGACATCTCCCTTCTGCTAATGCCGTATCTGTCACTGCATTGTCCCTTCTAACATTTTCTTCCAATGCTGCTTTGTCTCTCAGAACGCCTCGACAAGGAAGTTCGTCAGCTACTTCCCGCCTCCTCAGGCAACGGGATCAAAGTAATCCCACCTCCATACGGAGTAGATACTCCATGGTTCGGGGCTAAGCTCATAAGCAACGTAAGAGCTTCGGTTTTCTTTCCAGCCCGCGATTAGTGCTGACTTTATGTTCTGGGAAATTCTGTTCATCCATTCCAGAAGCATAACATAATGCCATTGCCTTATTTCCTTCTTGTTTCTGCAGTTGAGCACTTTCCCGGACTCCTGGTGTGTGGTGAAGAAGAACTTCCGTCGGAAGTCGCGTTTCAATCTGGCCTGGTGAAGGTTTCCCCCCGGTGAGAACCAAAATTAGAGTGGTGTATTAATTATCTTCTAGTGTGTATTACAGATCAAATAAATAAAAGTAAATTAAGTAAGAGGTTCAATTAGTGTTACTGTTCCTTTCTCTTTGTGTTCGGCACGGCGATTCATATTAGAGCGAGTTCGTAGCACCAGTAGTACCTCAGATCAACAACTTGGGGTCGAGCCCCCGTCAAAAGTGTCATATTATGTCCATACTAGGTAGACCCGCTCGCGTTGCTTCGCGATGAACGAACAATGTGAAACAATGATAGGAAGAAAAGAAAAAAAAGAACAGGCTGCAAAATGGATTGAAGATGATAAAAGAAACATTAGAGGCTCTTACCCAACCAAATCGTAACCCATTGTTTGGACTGAATTGCAGCACCTGAAGTAAACACCTTATTATTTGGCCGACTACAATTTCGGCTAGTGGACAGTATCTCGGGATTTATGAGTTAGAATGATGCGAAAAACATCCTAATTGACATAATATATTGATATTCAATTAAGATAGCTATCGTCAACAACTCCCTTGACAATCACCTTTTACACGGCTCGAACAACACTGGATACAGCAATATATAGAAACCAAGAATTCTAAAAAGAAAGTGAAAATGGATGAGCGGGGATCAGGCATAGATTGAACTTCAGCTGGTGATAATTAAACTACCTAGAAAGCAATTACAGAATTTAGTTAGAAATCCATCCCAAAAAATCAGGCAAATGAACCTATCAAAAATCATATGTATGCCATCCATAGACATAAATGGATAGTAGAGGGTAAGTTCCATGTATTAGGGATAAATCTTTATTCATATTGACGTAAGTTTCCTTCTGCTACATGAACCTGTACACTTGTGGGTATAAATGCCCCTTCTCAATGTCAATACAAACACACGATTCACATTCTTACAGCTTTAATCCCGAAACCCTAGCTCTTCGTTGCAATCTAGAATTTCGGCGCCCACGATCAGCGTCGAGTCGCCTGCTGTCCAACATGTCCGACAACAGTTCGGTCACGTCAATACAAACACACAATTCATATTCCTTACACCATGGAGCCAACAGTTGGGCGCAAAAACAACCTATTGAAACACTATAGCAATTCAACTTACAGAATCAGTAGGAGTAACTATCATGAACCTGTGTTTATATATAAGGCAACATCTTACTAATCAAAAAGAAATTGATTAAAGGTTAAAGAAGAATTTATGAACTACACGACACAGGAAATTCGGTTTCTTCATCCCATGGCAACATATGTTCATCGATTGAAAGAAACTGTGGATTGAGGAGAAATTGACATGAAAGACGGCTGCTTTAGTTTAATGAACTTTATTTTTATCCTCCTCTGTGATTCCATAATACCAATAAAACTTCTATTTCTATTCAATTACAGAATGCTAAGAAATTGAGTCCATTTCAGCCTAGAAATCTCACCAATTTAAATGTTGCAGAATAAGATGCTTACAGTTCAGCCTATAAGTCCTCAAATGCATACCTGCAAACCCAGGCATAAAAGCAAGCAATATGATTTGTAATAAAGCTCTGACCTGACATTGTAAGCAAGCAAAGAGTTTTAGATATAAAGAGCCACGAATAGATGTAAACCTGGAGTTCATCAGTGTTCACTGAGCAGCTTAAGAAAGCATAATCAACCTCACCGAACCTCAAACAAAATGAAAATGGCAGTGCACTGTATGGGTCGAGCAAATAAAACAAAAAGCAGAACATATAAAAGATTTTTAATGGGAAATAGCAATTATTATGAACGTGTAAACTTAGAGTTAATGAGAATAGTGCCAAGTCTAGCCATGGCATCCTGATAAGCTGATTTTTATCACCCTCTCTCTAAGGTTACAAATTCAACACACAACAAAATGGCAGCATGCTGATTGCTGATACACCATGTTCATTCCTTGTCATATCTTGAAATGCCTTTTGCCAATCACTTTTTTCATTATTGGTCTTAGTGGCAAAAATAAACCACACAAAGAAAAGGGCAACACAACCAAAACCGAATGCTAATTTAACATGTAGATACTGCATTACTGGCAACACTTGTATCAGTACTTACATTCAGTAGGTAGCTCCAATAGTCTCCACTTCATTGAGATATGAGGAATGTGATGTTAAATGAAGAAGAATAAGTGATACTGCTGTCAAGTAGAGTAGTCTAGTTAGTGTAGTCATATAAGGGGGGAACAACCCCTAAAGGGACATAATTACCAACAAAGGGGACAAATCTGCAATGTAAAGGCAACTGCACACAAAATGGAGATCACGACATTATGTGTGATGGTTCAATTTTGTTCAGTCCTACCTTCTCAAGAACACTTAGAAAGCAAGCAACATATTATTGCACATCAACATTCATAAACCGTAAAAATACTCAGATTCATGAAAATAGTAGGATCTAAGGTAGAGCAAAATAAAGATTACTTCTGTCATAGCAAAAACTGCAAAATTCACAGAGAACAGTGGCTAACCTGGACCTACTTCAAAAGCACATATATGCTTCATTGAGTTGCTGCTCCCAATCAACTGTCCTCTCCAGAAGTTATAGTACAGGTACTCCAGTTTTTGGTTAATCCAAAGGCAAGCATTACCTGCACATCTATGCACCACATAAATTTAATAGATAACCAAAACGACCATTTTGATCTCAATACTCAATAAGAAAAAGAACACAGACCTTGAAATCCCATGAAGAGGTCACACGTGAGGGAACTGACATACATTTTTTTTGGAGTTAGACTCAAAGGACAGTTAGAATAGGGGAAGTCCCCTAATTATGTTTCCACACTATTATTAATCAACTTGCCATCTGTGAAGGACCTCTACCGAGTTCTCCACACTCGGAAATCAAACGAAAGGGAAAAAGAAAGCTTAAATGGGTCGATCATGGACGTCAATGCAGATATAGAACCCAAAAAATTGCAGATCCTCAACAATAACGATTCAGCATCAGACATATAATAAACACAAAGCAATTTTCCTAACTATTGTTCCACAATTGCAGGTTCTCGTAACCACGTTGTTTAGGATGCATCTTACAGACACTTGAATCTGAAAATCAACAAAAGAACAAAAGTTTCAGATTTATTTTCCAGATTATTATCGATGCCTACAGGGGTTACCTCTAATCTGTTGTGCAACACTCCAATATGCAAGCACACAAATAAAATGCGAACAAATTTGTAATGATCAAGTGGATCATCATTCTAAATAAAAATTATGTCCACTGAAACTCTTCATTATGATTGGATTCGAGAGTGTCGATTGGGAACATATCTGTTATGGTAGGAGTATTTAGGAACAATAGTACCAAACTATTTTCACTCAAGAGCTACTCATAAAACTGAGCATAGACCTAATTGCCCACAAATTGGCAACTACAGAGGGTAGAAGAATGAATTACATGTACCTGTCGATCCCCTAGTCAACCTTCCTACACTCTGCTGATCACGACATATTCCCTCTTCGAGTCTGCTGTTGAGCTGCAGTATTGAATGGGTTCACTTCCCCCATCAGCAATGACGACTTCTTTCTCTTGCCCTGGGTCTGGGTGAAAGCAATAAAAAAAACATATAAGAATCATATCAAAGAAAGGTCAATTCCAGAATATAAACAGAACCGAACCCCAAAAAGAAGAAGATTACCTAATTGCCTCTGATGCCTTTGGAAATCTACATTGACGACATCTCCCCCCTTATCCTTCTCTTGTCCAAACTAAAAAACCCAAAGAGAAAAGTCTGATTAGTTTAGTAACCGATGAGTAAAAAAGCGAAACATACAAAAATCAGAAAAGAAACAAATCCACATTAAAAACTTACCTTGCACACTGTTGATAGTTGTCCCACCGATAGCAGAAGGCTATGTTTCCTCTAGCGGCAAGAGAAGGATCTCATTATGCAGCAAGCACAGCAGAGTAAACTACATGCAAATATCCATTATGCGATAAACATTTAGCAACTGAAAACTGTAGCTCTTAACCGATAGAAACAAGCTTGAAAAATGTCAGGTTACTGAAGATTTAACACTGCGCACAAGTCAATCATGGGCTTATATGGCAGATTAAAGGGAACGATTCGAACCTTTGGAGTTCCTCAAGGCCTTGAGAACGATCATGTTGGTGTTGTTGGCAATAAATTATATTATGACCAGTACAGCAACTGCCTCTTTCTTGCGTGCAAAAAAACTGAAGCAAGAGCAGCAAGATTGGAAGTTAAAGTACCTCCATCCCACTACAATTTACTGGAGGTTTGATGAAAGCATAGTTCCTGGAGAAATGCAATGAAAAAGTTAAGTATCTCCATCCCACTACAATCTAAAAGGAGAAACCCATGGTACCATCATATAAGACGCTGCAGAACTTTACATAACAGGCTTTAACAGAATCTGAAAGGCTAAAAACCAATGGTAACATACTGCAGAGTCCTGTACAGCTGGACCTTACTCGAAGTCGTAAGATGTAGCCTGAACAAAGTGGATGATATGATAGCTACGAAAGGGTAGTAACGAAAAAGGCCACGCAATGATAGGTAGGAAGTAGTGAAACAGTAGTAAGATATAAAGAACAATTATATCAGCGAAATTAGGACAATGAAACGGGAAAGAACAAAGAAAAGACCATTCGTGAAATATGAAAGATAAATCTGCAAACCACATGATGCAGCTAGCACAAAGGAACAAAATACAACCTTAAAACCAATATTTGGAACATATAGGCCAGTAAGATGTGGACTCCAATCCATTTTTTCTGCGGACCAAAAAACACCAAAGGTAATACCTTCCCTTTACCACTGCCATCTCAGTCCTACTCAAGGCTCAATGGCTCAACTAATGTTGGCCGTAAAACTTAATTTCCTTCATAATTCAAGAAGAACAGATATTAGAAAAGGCAAAAGAAGAGCAGCAGGAAGAATAAGGAAAAGAATAAAAAGAACAACCCTAAACGTATTAATAAACACTATCGTTGTTCCGGCAAGGTTTAGGCAAAGGACATGTCGTTGGAGTAGGGATAAAAGAGATGTCTTGACTAAAAATGACTCCACGGCAGGGACTTACGGCTGGAAAGAAAGAATCCATCTCCAAGCTCGAATATGCAAAATGGAAAGAGAGAAGGTGAGTAGCAACGGAAGAAAATGAGCGACTAAAACCTAAAGCATAAACACTGGCTAACTCTAAATAGGCCAATTGAGACATCCATATTGCTTACAGAAACTGGAAATAAATATAAAAACTAAAAATGGGCAGATTTAAAACCATGTACCTGGTTCGCAGATTCCTTATAGACTGATCTTCTCCCTTTTCTTGTAAGGTTCATCCCCGTCCAATCTCAAAAGCTTTCCTCCTTTGCGGTTCTCATGGCAGAAAGCTTTCTCGAGATCTCCCATTGATCCAAACCGGCAGAGAGATTTCAAAGATCAATAGAGATCAACCTTGCCCCTGGGATGAGTAAAATCGACCAAAGAGATCTCCTCCTCTCTTAAACCTTCCCTTCTAAGCTGGATCATCTTTCTCCCTTCTCCTCCTTCTTCGAGACAAAGAGACTGATGATAAGTTTTGTTTTTTTTTTTTTGTTTCATTTCTCTTGTTTTTCCGTACAGCAGTGAGAAAATTGAGTGGATAGGAAGAGGGCAAGAGCTAAGTGACATGGGCAAATCCCCTTATGCCTGCTCCGTCGGTCCCTCTTCCACGACCACCTTTGCCGCCGTCACATGGCAACTCCACCTCTTCCCTCCTCCAGGCAGCATCACGACCACCCCCGAGCGCCAACGACCACATATTTGATGGGGAAGAAGCACCGAGATCATTGGGTGCATTCGATTTTGGAAGATTCAGAAAGGAATGAGTCAGAAAGATGTGAAGCTATGCTCCGATGCGAAGAATGTACAAATAACAAATAGAGACAGAAGCACCTACTGTGATTGAAGAAGACACTGTCTTGCCACCCGCCTCCTCTTCCTGTTCTTTTATTTTGCTGTATTTTTTGTTCTTGTTGCGGTTGTTCCCGTTGAAGGCGCAGTCCCCAACTACAACTCTTCCTTCATCAGAAGTCAGTCGACAACTTAGCAAATCAGCTACGATGCCAATAGAATCCGGACCAGGCTACACATATATAACAATATAACGAAATCAAATCAGCACAAATTGATTAATTAATCAAATATTAGAGAGTTAGCAAAAGTATAAAGTTGCCACCTTCATCCCAATCATCTGAACCCAGTTGACAGAAGTTCCTGCAGCTTTGGAAAAGAACTCTGCGAGGGACTCCTTAGCTATTGCGAGAAGACTACACAAACATAGAAACCACATTGTACAACAACGTTAAACTCATTACGCGAGAATCAATTCAGTCAGATAAACTGTTGTAGCAGGTCAGAGGTGAAAATGTTTACCCAGCTGGGTTGTTAGCATCCACACTTAGCCAGCACATGATCTCTCACAAAAGTCCCAATCTTTCCTTCACTTTGCCGCACACGACCCACTAAGTAAGATGTGGCAATGAGCTCAAAGCTCCTCCATCTCCTTTCTTGCTGCTGCATTAAGCTTAGCTTTTGGGGGTTCCCTGCACATGCACATGATCCCAAGTTTCAGCACAAGTACAGATCAATAAGCAATACTACTGTCTTAAAAAATAAAAACGAAACTTTTGGAATACAGAACATTTCTCAATAACGTCCAAACTTCATACCTTAATTAGATCATTAGGTGCCGGGCGTTATAGATCAGTAATAAAGCGAACCTGCATGATAAGAGATCCTGTTAGTATGCAATTGAGAATGCACGAGAAGAAAGGGGCAGAAATGAAATCAAAAGGTATACCTTTCCACCAGTTGCCTCTAGAGGCAGAGTTAGCGTTGTTGTTGTTGCCATTTGGGTCGTCGGTAGTAGTGTTGTGACGGGCGGCGGCGGAGGGGTTCCCGTGGGCCGGCGGGGAGGAAGAGGAGTTGTAATTCTCTTGGCCGCCGTAGTAGATTGACGAGCTCAAGTAGCACGACGGCTCCACCGTCCCACCATGTCCACCGGCGCCGTTTTTCTCCTTTCCATGACGGGCGATGTAATTCTCTGTCAAATTCATATATAATCAACACATTAGTACTGTATGATTAGTAAGACTGAAACAAATTATCCTTCCTAGTTTAGGAAATATATCAATCTATATACCTGCAGAAGGAGAAGTAGTTCCGGCGTATTTGTTTCCACCGCCGTCCCTCCCCATAATCTACAATGATCACCCAAAATCAGCTGATGAACTGAACATCTTCAAAATTAATTAACGTGGCTAATTAGGAGGAAAACAGTTGGATGATTAGTACCGTGGAAGGTGGGGGGAAGATGGCGCCGAAGTAGCTGGAAGAAGAAGATGACGAAGAAGAATCCTTAGGACCAAAAAGATGATCCATTGAAGAAGAAGAGGAGCTACCACCAGCTTGCTTCTTGTTTTCCATGCTAGCTATCTCGCTCGCTCTATATGGTTTGGGCATCCCCTGCAACACAGACATTGCCTTTGCTTATGTTCCCCATCAGAACCTCCCATGGCCGCCTGTATCGTAATGGGGAGGACATGATTCTTTCTGTCTCAATGTTCTCCACGACTTTCTTCATGTCAGGTGTGTTCTGGAGTTTGCTTAGTACAAATTCCTTCAACTTAGCGGGGTTATCTTGGAGATCCTTCTCTGCAGATTACAAGATGAGTATACATAAACAATGACATAAGATGAGGAATTCGTTCTCGATACAATATCAGCGACTTTGGAAGTTGAAATTTCTAAGGTTGGAATTCTAATTTTAAGCATACCTTGGGTAGAGGGTGTCCAAGTGAAGAACCAGTACAAGGTTTTGTCATCACAAGCAATACAACCAGCTCGAAAGCCCTTCCCAACAAACAGAAGGAACTTAGAGACGAATTCATGGCCTTGTGGGAATATTGCAACGCTTCTAACTGCTGATCTTCCAGTGAATGCTGCCTTGCTGAATCCTAGCCACTTAGCCACCATGGAATTCACTCCATCACAGCCGATCAACACCTTCCATATATGAATCAATTTAGCTTCAGAGGCATAATTAACTATTGATTCCACTATACAAAAGTTCCCCATCTCTTGCTTACCTTAGTTTTGATAACGGTGCCATCAGAAAGATGCAGTGACTTCACTAAGCACCCAGAATCCGATCCCGAATCTTCCATGGAAACAACATTTGATGAGTACCTGATAGTGCCCTCCGGAAGCTCATTCTCCATGGCTTCAAGCAACAGCTTCCTCTGCACACACCGAGCTTCATGTCCGTTACCAGAGAAAGGCACCTCTGCGCTGGTCCGTTCTGTAATCGTGGAAGCAAGCACCACTCTGGCATTTCATCAAACACCATCCATGCATCAGTTCAAAAGAAAAAGCCTGAAAAGCTTCTGCAGAAACCCAATATTCCATCAAAATCTCGAAATGCTCTAACTACCCTACCCATCAATCAGCTTATGTTGCTGGCGAAGGGCGTCCCCTAACCCAAGAGCATCCAGAGCTCTCCAAGCATTCGTCCATGTCGCCAGAGCAAACCCAGTAACCCTCAAGCTCGGTGCTGACTCCAGCACCAGGTTTCTGATTCCGAGCCTGCACAGCAGAGTTGAATTGAAGTTACCCAGTACTTAAGAAGTTATATATCGATCGAGAAAGCTTTGGGATTGGAGTGGTTACCTGTGACTTGATTGGTTTTGCTGCTGCTGTTGCTGCTGACCGCTTATGACCACAGACTCGCAGCTGTTGTCTGTGTCCGCACCAGGCAGCATCATCGATCCCGTCGACGCCATTTTCTTCTTCGTCCATCTCCGCAAACAACACTAAAAACAAGAATCAGAAGCAAAAACAGAAAGGAGGATGAACTCCAAGAACGATAGTGAACAAAAACCCAGAAAAACCTAGAAGAAAGGAAACGACTTTATCACTAAAAACAAGAATCAGAAGCAAAAACAGAAAGCAGGAAGAAAACCAAGAACGATATTGAACAAAACCCCAGAAAAATCTAGAAGAAAGGAACCGACTTTATCTTGATGGATAATCTGTGAGTTCCGGTTTGTGCTCTATTTCGCCGGATTCTTCTGTCATCTCCTCCATGTTCTGCTTCTAAAAACAAGAATCAGAAGCAAAAACAAAAAGGAGGATGAACTCCAAGAACGATATTGAACAAAAACCCAGAAAAACCTAGAAGAAAGGAAACGACTTTATCACTAAAAGCAAGAATCAGAAGCAAAAACAGAAAGCAGGAAGAACTCCAAGAACGATATTGAACAAAAACCCAGAAAAATCTAGAAGAAAGGAACCGACTTTATCTTGATGGATAATCTGTGAGTTCCGGTTTGTGCTCTATTTCGCCGGATTCTTCTGTCATCTCCTCCATGTTCTGCTTCACCCATGTCTCGATCTTCCTTTTCTTCTTCTTCACCTTGCTTCTTCTTCGTCGTTCAACACAAAAGAGAGAAGGAGAGAGAAAGCAGATCTAGAAAGATGGAGAGAGGAATGGGGGATTAGACATGAGGAAGAAAGAAGGGATAAGTAATAAAAAGTCTCCCTTTGGTCAGAAAAAGCAAAACAAGTATAGTCAATTGAGAAATGATGAGAACAAGTAAAAAGCAAAAAAGTAACAGTAACGGGATGTGACTCTACGAAACAGTAAAGTTGTAACTTGTTCTTTTAAAGAGATAATTTCGTAATTCGTATGACAATACTGTATATTTGAATCAAGTAAAGAAATTCTATAGTTCGGGTACCAAAAGTATGATTAACTACCTAGAGTGACATTGAAGTACGTCAATCTGTCCACGTGGTGTCGCGTGATTGGGAGCTTCTGCAAGCTAGCACTCCACATAAGCATTTTCTCTGCCTCCAAACTAAAAAATAAAGGAAAAAAGACCCATATTTTCAGTTTCGTCTCAGTTCCTGGCCTGCTGGTAAGATCGTTTGGACGTTTGAGATTTGAGAAATCCCCGGTAAGTTGAATCTCCGCGCTCTTCCCTTCCTTGGTCTGGTTCCCTTCCAATCACGGTGGCTCCTTCAGCTCCACCGGCCGTCTCGCGAAGAAAGCCGCAGCCGCCGCCGACATCGTCTTCTTCTTCTTCTTCATTCGATCCTCCCTCTTCGAAACCTCAGTCCTCCAGAATCGTGAGCAGAGAGCCGAAACCTTTCTGGCAGGAGGGTTGGTTCATCTGGCTGCTGTTCGCCATGGCTCTCGCGTGCTTCGGTCTCGCAGTGTTTCTCTTCCTCAACCTCGATCTAGATCAGGCCTCCTTCTCCCCTGCCTCCGCCGCTTCATCTTCTTCCTCCTCCTCTGCTCAAGGTGTTGAGGTATGTTTATCCATGGATGAGAATTAGCGACGTTAGGGAAGTTTTTTGTTTATTTCTTCGAGTTTTTGAGCTCAGCATCAATCTGTGGTGTTTATGGTGCCAGATTACGTATGGCTCAGTTTTGAAGTTGATGCACGAGAAGACCAAGTACCGTCTGCATTCCCACGAGGTGCCTTATGGCTCCGGCAGTGGGCAGCAATCTGTTACAGGATATCCCAATGTCGACGATTCCAATAGCTATTGGGTAACTCAGCCTGTTCCTTTTCCTCTATTCTTATGTTTTTATATCCTAGTTTTGGGGATTGCGATAGCCATTTTAGCTAATTCATTTTCTCCTGGGGGGGAGTTTCATGCCTTCATTCAATGAGGTAAGGGGAAGGTAGGGAAATGGCTTTACCAATTTCAAAATTAGGAATTCAATTTGGACCAGTGGTGGATCAAGTTCTTTGCTTGATATATAGCCAAATAAGATCGATAGGTGGCAATTCAGTCCGTTTTCTTCAATTTTCTATCCAGTGGTTTGAGCTCGCAGAGTCAGATACCATCCTTACTGTCCTGGTGAAATGAGTTTTATGGTGTGGGATATCTTTACCCATAAACATTGGCTTTGGTGTTCAGTCACAATTCCGGATTCTAACAGTGGTTAAAACTGGGACCATGTTCTTGTAGATTGTGAGGCCTGTCCCAGACACTAATGCTAAACAAGGCGACACCGTAACAGCTGGGACGGTATTCCGTTTGCAGCACATGAAAACTAGAAAATGGCTGCATAGCCATTTGCATGCCTCCCCAATATCTGGCAACCTTGAGGTTAGTGACTTGATTATGTCAATTGAACTGAAGCAGCTTGCAATTTGCATATTGTATATACATAGGGAAGTAGTGGTAGGTTTAAGTGATTTGATCATCTAATGAAGCCTCATTACTAGGTTGCTGCACATTAGAATCACAGCAGCTATCACATGTTTGAAGTCATAAAGTAGCACCAAAAGGGGTTTACTTAGTTTGTTCTGTCATTTTCCTTGTGGCGGCTAATATCTTCTGATGAAGTATCCATTTTTACACATGTTTATAATCTTTTGTTCATGATCTGTAATTCGCATCCTTTGTGTAGTGTAGTAACATTGTAACTGGATGATTACATCGCTATCCTCATTCGCAAGACTTGCTGTTTGTAGGTTAGCTGTTTTGGCGGGGAAAACGAATCTGATACAGGAGATCATTGGAGGTACGTGCAAACAAACAAACATAACTTCTCGTTTGTGTGGCAGTATGCCTTTGTTTAGTTGCACTAATCTGGTTCTTTTTCCTTAGACTTGTTACTGAAGGTGGTGAAAAGACATGGAAACAAAATCAAAGAGTTCGATTGCATCATGTTGACACTGGTGCCTACCTACACAGCCATGACAAGAAGTACCAGAGAATAGCTGGGGGACAGCAAGAGGTGGGCCATTATTTACTTACTTCCATGAAGTACTGCTACATTTTATAGTTAATTGGGTGTTTCTTCTATAACTTTAGTGGAGATTGGAATTATGCCACTTATTCCAGTAGCAAATCGAGCATTGGAGCATGAACTGCTTTTCCTAGCCTGAACAGTAGTTTGCAGTCCGACAAGAAATGTAACCATGATTGGCTTGTTCATACACAAATTAGAGATACATATCATAACCGTAGTCACTGCTACAGCTTTCATCCTGCATGAATTATCGCCATAAGCCTTTATTGACAAGACATCTCGAAGGCTGTGATGGATTCTCTGTTTTGCTTGCTTTCTGCCTGCTGACATACGTGTGTTTCTATAGGTTTGTGCTGTTCGGGAAAAGCGTGCTGACAACGTCTGGTTAGCTGCAGAAGGTGTGTACCTTCCCGTGGCTGGAAGCAAGTAGAAGGACAAATGCTTCTGACATTGGTATAAAACAGGTGCATGGTGGTGCTGTTTTTTCAATTCTCCAGGTCCTTGGTTGCCCCTGCCTGCTTCATATAGGGCATTAGACGTGTCATTTGTTCGCAGAGTGTGCTAAAATAGATGACAATACACTGCAAAGTTCTTCACTTTAGTAGTAAGGGTACGAGAATGTGCTGAGGCCGTCCGTATGTTTTAATGTTTGAAGGTGGATTTTGTTTCATGATCGGCTTGCAACTTGAGGCTGGATTCTATTTCATGAGTCATTGAGTAGTCCTGCTTGAACAAATCCCATATGCTCTGATTTCGTCGGTATACGAACTCGTTCTTCTATTATCTCGGTCGGGGATATATATGCTGCAGGTTTTGTGTCCTAAACTTCCACAAAAGGGCCTTGAACTGCAGAAGCACAATCTCGGACTTAGGTTCTTCCAAGTCTACCATTCGCGACACCATGAACTCCTCGACAACATTCTCCTTGAATGTAGCTAGTCATTGAATCTCTCAATTTAATTTTAGAGTGGTATATTGAATCACAGAATTCTGAATTCCATGGAGTTTTGAGGATATCAAGCTACAATTGGCAATACCCGATCGTAGTGTCATGCATGTGTCTAATGGGTCTGTTAAAGTTGATACTTACTGATCTAGGCCAACTTTCTTCACTAATGATATCCATAATAATTAATATGTTTAATTACACAATACACATACAAGATTGTTGGAGTGCTTTGCCATTTGTTGTCTAAGCTCTCGTCAAGCCTTAAGCATATTTCAAGCTACAACAATGCTGCCTAAATCGATAGTAGAAAAAGGCAGTACAAACTCTAACAAGTTTGTTTGGACATTTCGTCTTATCATTAACGTCTTTCCTGTCAAACCCTTTTACTCAAAACCACCATAATCCCTTCCTCCCCTCTATGATAGCTAAGTTGATGTTATTTTAGGACTTAAAATTCACCAATAAATTGGGTGAGTTAACACTTTGGCATGAACAAGAACAATTATAATGAAAAAGCCTTGTGATAATAAATGGAGTGACTATTGCATTTACTATGGAAAATATGATGATCAATTTGATCGTGACCCCAAAGTTGAATGCCAATTCACGTAATTGACCCCTTCTTTACTCCTTTTGTTAGGGACCCGACCCGACTCGACCCGACCAACCAAACAAACACGAGTTAAAAAAAAAAAAAGACTTTCTCTCCCCTCCGTCACGCTGTCATTCGATCGATCATCCATCAACCTAAAACGAGAAAGAAGAAGAAGAAGAAGAAGAAGAAGAAAATAAACGAGACTAGAGAAATTCCTTGTTCGCTGATTGCTTCGTCCTTTCACAGACAGCCGTGGGGCGGAACTCGCTTCCTTTCAATTTCTTCTTTCTCCCCCCTGTCCTTTGCTGGCTCGCTGCGTGTCGCCGTTGCTTTTTCGCTCCCTCTCTCTTTCGGTGCTTGCTGGTACGTTGATCTTCTTTTCCCTCTGCTGTGTTTTGATCGGTTTTCTTTTCTGTTTGGCTGCAACTTCGTTTCAGAGAAGGAGTGGGGTTTTCATTTGATCCGATTTGGGAATTGTGGTGTTGATTTTGTAACTACGAGTTTCTTTCTTCGTCGTTGTATTCTGTTGGTGGTGTTGGATTGAGCTGAATTTTTAGCTGAATTGCGACTGGCCAGGGCTTTCCATTTGGGTTAAGTATTGGGCTGCTCGATACTTCTTGATTCACTTCCCGTTCTTGGCGTAGTTCATTTAGGAAATAGGAATTCTCTCTGCAAATGCAGTTCTAAGTTTACTGGATGAGTTTGTGATAGAATAGGGTTCGGTTTTAGTTCTTAGCGGATTTTGGCGGAGGTTAGGAGAACCTTGGTGCTGGAACTGGTCAGTAGAGCTCTTGGAGAAGTGGCTATGGTTAGCAACATCTAGCTGAATCGATGTAGGTGATTATCAGTGGTTAGAGGCTACATCGAGCCCGATTCAGGAGGTGGAGAGATAAGTGTGTTATTTTGTTATATGTTGGCTGAAATTTATTTCTCTTGTATACCAGTAGTCGATTTTGTAGGATGAAGTTGAATGTTTGTGAATCTTAACGATTTGCATGCAGGCTTTTATGCGAGGTCCTGGTAGACTTAGTGAAATGAAAACTTTTGAAGCTTGATCTTCCAACCTTTCCTAAGTAATGGATAGGGCTTAGCTCACCATTTTGCTTGAAACGGGAAAGTCTTTACTGAGAGAATATATACATATAGAGCTCTTTGATTCTCTCACTTGTTCCATCATTCAGCTTGAGTACACCCACTAGCTCTATCTATCCCTTTCTTGTTTTTTATGCTTTTGTTCAGAGGCCAACAGTTTTCTTTTCTTTTTTGACAGTGGAAAGTCAAACTTGGTTCCATCAATGAGCCAGTTTGACATTTCTAAGCAGTGCTATGACTAGGTAATGAAGGGTTTTCCTGACAAGGCTGTTACTTCAAACTTCTATCTAGAAACACCTACCGAGTCATCAACAACTGCTTTAACGTCTGATTGTTCAGAGCAAAGACCCAGTGACAGCAAGTTATCGAGGGCATCCTTGTGGTCGAGCTTCTTCTCATCTGCTTTCACGGTCTTTGAATCATATCGTGAATCACCGACCTGTGAAAAGAAGGGAGTTCATAGCAGAAGTAATGGTTGGACATCAGCTGTAAAGAAAGTTGTGGCTGGTGGTTCAATGAGGAGACTCCACGAGCGGGTACTAGGACCCACTAAAATCGGGATACCTACCCAAACCAGTGATATATGGCTGCTGGGTACTTGCTATAAGATCTCAGCTGATGGTTGTTCTGCAGAAGCAGAAGCTACAGGCAATATTTTAGCTGAATTTACACATGATATCTCTTCAAGAATCCTAGTTACATATAGGAAAGGTTTGTAGTAGATTGCTTGCCTATTTCAGCGTATACGTGGATATACTTCTAAGGGGATTTTGTTAAATTGATCAGGAGTACTATTCTTCACTATGTTCACAGGTTTTGATGCCATTGGAGATTCAAAATTAACAAGTGATGTAGGCTGGGGTTGCATGGTTAGGAGCAGCCAGATGTTGATTGCTCAAGTATAATCGTCTCCTTCTGGATTCTTATTGGGTTTTCATGATAATTTGTTTATCATCTTCCTGTATCTTTTAGCCATTGCAATCTAAATCGGTCTTTAAATCTTAGGCATTGCTTTGTCATCAATTTGGGAGATCTTGGAGAAGAACTTCAGTTGAGGTTAACTTCTTTCCAGTCCCATTTCTTCCCTTGTCATTCTACTGTATCTTTAACTGTCAATTTTCTTAGGAATCCACATATAATGTGCCTCTTTATATTTTCTAATATTCACTTATTTTCAACATTGCAGCCACAGGATCAAGACTATATCACGATCTTGCATCTTTTCGGCGATTCAGAGGCGTCACCATTCTCTATCCACAATCTTCTTCTAGCTGGAAAGGCTTATGGCCTTGCAGCTGGATCATGGGTAGGGCCATATGCTATGTGCCGGTCCTGGGAAACTCTGGTCCGCTCAAAGAGAGAGGAAACAGTCCCTGAGCTCTGCCCATTTCCTATGGCTCTTTATGTTGTTTCTGGAGATGAAAATGGGGAGCGAGGTGGAGCTCCAGTTGTCTGCATTGAAGATGTCCATAGAAGTGTAGAATTTTCTAAAGGACAGGTAGACTGGACGCCTATTATTCTATTAGTTCCCCTGGTCCTTGGACTTGACAAAGTAAACCCCAGGTTTGTATTCTGAGTGAGAAGCCTCTATGCCATCTTTGTGTTCTGAAAATTTGATTTGCTAATTCATGATTACGTTAATTATCCTGGACTAAAGTACGATATGTTCTATTACCTCATTGGTGAATCATTCTTCTGCTTTTGCTTATACTATGCTTGTATCATTGTATTGTGTCTTCTCTTCGTTGTCTCTGCCATTAAGTATTTCTCTTTCTGTGGTGATGCATGATGTTTCTGGAAACGGCATATGGAAAGTTTATTTTTTAGTGTCTTGTGATGCTGAATGAAGCATAGATTTTGACTTTACTAAGTCATCTATCTTTGAACTATTGTATAGGTTAGAATTTCTAGGTAGCTTACATTCTTTTGACTGAAACTTCTCTTATTGATTCTTTTGCTTGAATATTTTGGACACTTGTGTACTAGTCACAAAATCTGCAAAAATCCCACTTTCAGTGCATGAAATGTAATAAAAGCTGGGAATTCTGCTAGCAACCTTCATTCATGTAACATTCTTGGTAGTAAACCAAATTGCCTGATTACATCCTATGTTATGGTTGCCCTTTTATTTTAGAGATTCCACAGGTGATTAGGTGCTAACCAATTGGAACGTTTGAATTATGTCAGGTATATTCCATCGCTCCAGGCAACATTCACCTTTCCTCAAAGCCTTGGCATTTTAGGTGGAAAGCCCGGTGCTTCAACGTACATAGTTGGTGTGCAAGATGACAATGCATTTTATCTCGATCCACATGAAGTTCAACAGGTAAATGACAACTGAGAATGGTGTTTCCTTCATATTAGTTTCCAGCACTGATGGAGACTATGAGAAATGGCTGATATATGCATCTGTTGCTTGGAAAAGTCTAATGAAGTTCCAGCTCTCATTTAGTTTTAGATTGTTATAATTTCACTAATTCACTTTGTACAGTATTACAGCTCTCTTTGCAGTGCCGTCACTGTAAAGCAGCATTACAGTGCTCTTTGAAGTGCCCTCCAAGCACTTCTTTTTTAGTGATTGCCCTTTCAGTTGATTTCCATGCCCAACTAAGGACCCTTCATTCATAATCGATCTTGGGAAAGATCATTGGCACTATATATTATTGGTCCCATTTCCACCCCGACCCTGACCCCGCCCTCCACCCCACCTTTTCTTTCTCGTCCTTAATGCCTGTTATTACTCTTGTAAAGAGTCAATTCAGATGATGTTGGTGGGTGAAGGAGGTTGTCTGTCGTTTTTCCTTTGTCCTTCCCTGTTTCGGTCCATCAAAGTAGGGGGTTCTTTTTTATTAATGGATTTCAGTTGCACTTCTATTACAATTATCGTTAGTTACAATGGACGAGTGCATGATTGTACTGAAAAAGCTCTTGGTTCTTCAGGTAGTCAACATCAGCAAAGATGATTTGGAGGCTGATTCATCATCATACCATTCCAAGTAAGTTCCATTCTCGTGTAAGGTCCCTCATCCTACGCTTATGATGGCATATCAACTCGACAAATAATGACGTCTTTGCTTCTATTTTTCCAGTGTCATACGGCATATTCCCCTGGAATCAATCGATCCCTCGCTTGCAATCGGGTTCTACTGCCGAGACAAAGGTTTGTTCCAATGGATAGTGTTGTCTTCTTGCTTATTTATCAGGAAAAAAACAAACACAGTAGGTTTCCTTTGCTATGAATATTGCTTCCCAAACCTCAGCGATTCAATTGCCTGTTCTTGTCTCTGCTGGACAGACGACTTCGATGAGTTCTGTTCCTTGGCATCAAAGCTAGCCGAAGAATCGAATGGCGCACCGTTATTCACCGTGGCACATTCCCATCAGAATACGTTTGTCAGCAGCTGCGATGCCTATCAAGAAGATGATGATGCAGATGATGGACATGGTGGGGACGAATGGCAACTGCTCTAATACCTCCAGTCTGTTAGCTCTGTACATTTGCGTAGACATTTGTATGTATACAAGTGAGTGGCAGTCATTTGCTTAGTCTGATGCTTGCAATTGAATTGTCCTTTGTTATTGGAGTTCGATTGATGATGGAAGAAGTTTGTAGATATGTTGGTGGTGGGAGCCTCCATTAGCCTCCTCCTTTTCTCAAGCATTGTATACGATTCTTTGTTTGTTCTAGTGGTAGTTTGGCTGATATGAATTGAATTCATCTCGTTGTGGGGAATTGTTTCCTGATGTTCTATAACCGTACCTACAGGTAATGTTGGTCGAGCTGTGTATTGGAGACCAACTCGCTACGGTTTATATTACAACTTACCGTATTCATTGTTAGCTTCATCGATCTGATCTGATTGATTTGATCAACAGAACACATCTCATGATCTCAACAGATCTGATGAGTGCAGTTGCCGACAATTTTTTTGGTCATAACCTCACTGTGTCCATCACCATGATTGGTGAGGAGTGTTCGTTTCCCATGTGATTTCTTTTTTTAATAATGTCGTTTCCATTACTCATTTGAAGTAGTTGTCCACACACTAAGTTGGACAGCTCATTTGTCTTCTTTTTAGACAAAGGGGATTTTCCTTTTGATGTGAGTTTACTTGGAGGTGGGAACGTGTTACTGCGCAATTAGCAATAGTTGAATAATCAATGGTTGGACCGAAAATAGCTGCATTATAGTGGGGAAAAAAGCAGACAAAAAGAAATATTAATTTCTCCCTTCCCGCGTGGGGTTGTTGCGTCGGTGGTTCAACTAACTGAGTTGTGAGTCCCGAGTCGGACTCGGAAGGGGGGGAGGTTAGATGCGTATAGCCGTGCTCCTGCGTATGTATGAAGATTGAAGGCTGATACTCTTTCTTCCTTCCTTTTAAAACCCTAACAATTTCTCCATTTCTTCTGGTCTCTTCCTCGCACTTTCCTCCTCTCTTCTTTTTCGTTTGTTTGTTTCCCGGGAATCTTACCGTCGGGAGGCAGAACGAACAACGGCAGCGCCGCCATGAAGGTGTTAGACAAGATCCGGTCGACTGTCGGTGAGGCCAATGGCGGAGCGGCGAACGGCGGGAACAACAACGTCGCATTTTCCTTCGAATTCTTCCCGCCGAGGGCGGAAGGCATGGCGAAGGTCCTCGAACTGATAGAACGCATGGTGGCGTACAGCCCGACCTTCTGCGACATCACCTGGCGAGCCTCCTCCGGCGACGTCACGCTCGACATCGCCAACAGGATGCAGAACTCCATCGGCATCGAGACCATGATGCATCTCACCTGCGCTGAAATGCCGGTGGAGGAAATCGACCGCGCGCTCGACACCATCAAATCCGGCGGCGTACAGAACGTTCTGGCCCTCCGCGGCGACCCCCCGCTCGGCCAGGACAAGTTCGTCAAGATCCAAGACGGATTCTCCTGCGCTCTCGACCTGGTATTGGCTCCTCTCTCTATCTCTTCGTCGCTTTCCTCTGGATGTTGGCATCTGACGAAATCTGAGATCCATTTCTGCCTGGAATTTGCATTTGAGCCGCGGACGGAAGAATTACAGAGATCGATCCGTTTTTCTGTTGTTGCTTGCAGGTGAAGTACATGAGGTCCAAGTATGGGGACTACTTCGGCATTACTGTTGCTGGTTATCCAGGTATTGCTTTTCCCTCCTTGTTCTGTTCATTCCTGATTTGCTTTCTTGGTTCCCATGATTGATCGACTGCAATCATTGATTCTGATGGTGAACAGAGGCTCATCCGGATGTGATCGGAGATGATGGTGTAGCCACGCCGGAAGATTACCAGAAAGATCTTGCCTATTTGAAGCAGAAGGTCAGCTTGTTCTGCTATGATTATTCTAAGTTCTTATAATAATGAATTACAGCGTATAGAAGAAGTTGTAACTTCCCAGATTTTGGAGTTCGAAAATGGAAAACCTGGCTAACTACAAATTACTTACTACCAGTCCTTCGTATATGTTCTCCGAGTAGTGCTCATAGGACCTTCATGGAGGATAATGGAGTTCAAATCGAAAACTGCTCGACTATGCCTAGGGTTTTGCATTCTACCTGTGATCTCTCTGGGGGCTTAGTTAATATGCTTATCTGATCACAGGTTGATGCTGGAGCAGATCTGATAATCACTCAGCTGTTCTACGATACCGATATCTTTCTCAAATTCGTTGATGACTGCCGCCAAATTGGCATCACCTGCCCAATTGTGCCTGGCATTTTGACTATTACCAACTACAGATCATTCCGTAAAATGACTGGATTGTGCAAAACTAAGGTACTTACTTCTTATCAAGTTGTTCGAATAGCTTTCAAGTGAAGCAAAGGTAATCTTCATAATGTCATGGATCTAATCGATGACTTGTTAAATTTTCACATTGTAAATGTAGATCCCAGCTGAGATTCTTGCTGCACTGGAGCCCATCAAAGACAATAATGAAGCCGTGAGAGCATATGGAATTCATCTCGGGACAGAGATGTGCAAGAAGATTATAGCTCATGGGATTAGGACGCTGCATCTTTACACAATGAATAGGGATGAATCAGCTTTGGCCATACTGAAGGTATGAATCATCATAACTCCCTCACCAACTCCATGTGTCTGAGTGATTCATCCTTATCTACCGAGATTGAATACTCCCCCCTTTAATCTCTTTGATCTCGAACTTGTGCTGGCAGAATCTCGGCGTGATTGGAGTGTCCAAGATCCCACCTCCATTGAAGCAGCAGCAGAAAGCAATACAAGAAGAAGTAACAAAGGAAGAAGTTGCTAAGGTTGTTGGCTGATCACACTATGGACCAAATTGTTCCAGGTATTGAAGTTTTAAGAGATGTTTTGTAATTTATCAATTCATTTGGTGCTGCGCATCGGTTTTTTCACTTATTATAGCATTCTTTAGTGGACTAAGTCTAGCTAAGCATATGTTCATAACCAATTGAATCAAATAAAAACCATAGTTAGCCACATGTTAGGCTATTAAGGTTGTCATCCTATTTTCAGTTACAGTTTGCTGTTGGTTTAGAAGTCCCAAGGTTAAGCCCAAGAGGCATTGGGCATTCTTCCCTGTTTTCTTCTTCTTTAATTGCAATTGGCTTCTTTCCTGTGCCACCAATATATGGTATGAGTTCAAGTGTTGAGTGAGTGGTACGCTAGTGAACCGAGGAATTTCGCTCGGTTGCTGAGGGAGTGGAACTTTTTTTGGGTTGGTGGTGTGGGCCTACTTAACAACTCCCAGCACCCACTATTTGCAGTCGCCAGTCCTCCACCTCACCTCTTGGGCGTTGGTGGCGGTTGGTTAGTGGACACTATTCAAATGTAGCCCAACAAAATTATATTGACTCATAATTATATGATTAGTTTCAGTTCTTGCCATGTGATCAATTGATCACACTGTTTTTAGTTTTTTACACTAATTGACCAGAGGTTTGTCTTTGACAGTGCTGGTAAAATGGGTTCGACTCTTAGATTAAACTAGAAATCAAATCGTTAATAAGCCTTAATAATATTCTACAATGGTTAAATATCGACAAACTTTTAATTGATTTTGGTTAAGAGCTAGAACAAAAAATTCACTAGAAATCCAAACTCTGCTGTCCTTAAATGGTTTTATGCCCTTCAAACCGAAATTGAACTATTCATAAATTTTAATAATTTCGGCTAACCCGTTGTCCTTAATAATTTTGGTTTGGTTATGAGGGAAAGTAAGCTCATCAGTATTTTATCTATTTTGTGATTAGTTGTTCGGTTAATCAAACCAAACTATTTTACCATCCCTAGTCTTTGCTCGTCTGAATATGAAGTTTACTTGGTGATGAGTTGCTTAGTATTTTCATGTGATGAATTGAGGCGTGAATGATTTTGACTAAGACGTGTTGAGTTCAGATTTGGATTAAATTGAGTGCTAACACTGAGAGAGTTAGCAAATTTGTTCGGAAAGAATCTTTAACCTATCACATAATCTCGTCCTAACAACAATGAAACGGCGAAGATTAAGAATTTGATGAAAATGTATTATTTTTGTCAAGGTATTTGATAAAAACGTTTGAAAGTAGAAAAATACTAGTACTGAAGTGAAGAGAAGGAAATTGCGGCCTGAAAAGCTATATGGTGAAATTGCCCGACGAGAAAAATAGGCACTCGTCGGTGGTTGTTTCACCGGGGGTAATTTGCCTAGCTCTGGGGCTATTGAAGGGGGAAGCCGATGAAGATTTACGGTCACCTCTACCAACTCCAGTTTTTACTCCTCTGTATAAAAAAAGCCACTCCATTTCGCCATATTTGCACTCCATACCATTCTCCAATTTCCTAATCTGTGATCTCAGTCCTTCTCTTTCTCCCCCACAATTTCCCGGTCCCCCATCCCTCCTCTCACTTCTCGTTTGTTTCCCGGGAAAACGCGCCATGAAGGTGATTGACAAGATAAGGTCAGCTGTGGGGGACGGAACGGCGGCCGCCAATGGCAGCAACAACACCAATGTTGTGTTCTCCTTCGAGTTCTTCCCGCCGAAGACGGAAGACGGCGTCGAGAATCTCTTTGAGAGGATGGACCGCATGGTGGCTTACAATCCTACTTTCTGCGACATCACATGGGGTGCCGGAGGCTCCACCGCCGACGTCACCCTCAACATCGCCAACAGGATGCAGAATTCCATCTGCGTCGAAACCATGATGCATCTCACATGCACCAACATGCCGGTGGAGAAGATCGACCACGCGCTCGGCACAATCAAATCCAACGGCATTCAGAATGTTCTCGCTCTCCGCGGTGATCCCCCGCACGGCCAGGACAAGTTCGTCCAGGTCCAAGGCGGATTCGCCTGCGCTCTCGACCTGGTACGAATTCTCTGATCTCTTGCTTTCTTACTGCAATTGGAGCTATCGGATTTAAGATTTGGCGGAATGCAACGTTAGATATTGAGATCGATCCATGTTCTGCTTGATCTCTGCAGGTGAAGCATATCAGATCCAAGTATGGAGATTACTTCGGCATAACCGTTGCTGGCTATCCAGGTTGCTTTTGCTTTTGCTACTGTTCTGTTCTGTTCTGTTCATTTTGCTCTCAGATTCCAGTAGCAGAAGAGTGTTATTTGCTTAATTCAATTTGTTGTTGTTGTAATGTGAACAGAGACTCATCCGGATGTGATCGGAAGTGATGGTTTGGCCACGCCAGAAGCTTACCGGAAAGATCTTGCTTACTTGAAGCAGAAGGTCTGCTGTTTTGCTAATTCACTTGCGAGCACAAATGCTCCTTTTTTTTTTTTTTTTTTTGGTAATAATGTTCGTTTCGTTGGGGCTGACTTCTGTGATTGCTCACAGGTTGATGCTGGGGCTGATCTGATTGTTACTCAACTGTTCTACGATACTGATATCTTCCTCAAATTCGTCAATGACTGCCGCCAAATTGGAATCACCTGCCCAATTGTTCCTGGCATCATGCCTATCAACAACTACAAGGGATTCCTTCGCATGACCGGCTTCTGCAAAACTAAGGTGTTATATCTCGATCATCTGACTTTATTTGCTTTAGTGTGTCTTGGATTACATAAAAGGCGAGGTCTTGTGTTGTGGTCACATTGAAGGATTAGGTACTTGGTCTTGTAGATTAATCTGAATTTGTGATGGACTTTGGCATGGAAACTATTCTAAGGCGAATTAGGAATTGATGCCTCTATATACTATGAATAGTGGAAAACGTTTATAGACTTAAGTGAGCATCTTGTTTGTGATTTTTCATGGCAAAGGGTGAATGAAATAGAAAAGGGTATGTAATTTGCATACTTTAATTGGTAGTTGAATGGTTTCTATAATGGTCTTTCAGGTCTGTTAGCCCCACATGAATTTCACATTGTATTCTGGAACTGATATGATACTTATTTCACATTGTAGATACCAGCTGAGATCATGGCTGCATTGGAGCCTATCAAGGATAACGAGGAAGCTGTCAGGGCATATGGAATTCATCTTGGAACAGAAATGTGCAAGAAGATTATTGCTCATGGGATTAAGACGGTGCATCTTTACACTCTAAACATGGAGAAATCGGCTCTAGGAATACTGATGGTATGATTCCCCCCAGCTTAATTGATGTTTGTGGTGATTCTTAATTTAACAAAATCTTGTGTCTGCACAACTGTGTGCATGATATGTCTCTAATCATGAACTTCTGTTGGCAGAGTCTTGGCTTAATTGAAGAGTCCAAGATCTCAAGGTCTCTGCCTTGGAGGCGTCCTGCAAATGTTTTCCGTGTGAAAGAAGAAGTCCGTCCAATATTTTGGTATGCAATGGTGCATCTCCAATAACTTAGGATTTTAGAAATGGAGTTCTTGATTATTTGATTTTGCATGAACAATCTAATAATTTCAGGGCTAACCGTCCAAAGAGCTACATATCAAGGACAGTTGGCTGGGACCAGTACCCACATGGAAGATGGGGTGACTCTGGTAATCCATCCTATGGTGGTTTGAGTGATCATCAGGTACAAACTATCATATGGTGCTTTGAGTGTTACAGGTTGAGTGAAATCTTGCATCTGCAACTCAATCAAAGTTATAGAGTACTTTTATCATCCTTTGTAAATGGTTCATACTTTACTGTGGTGTGTGGAGACAGAATTGTGATATACATTACTGTTAGGACTGGATCAAAAGTGAACTTCAATCTTCATGGCGTCTTCAATTTTTATTATACTCGACCGCTTAACATCTTCGTGGCCAAGAGTGAACAAGACAGAAATGCTTCCAGAACTTCCAAGTTTCTTAGCCTCTGTCCAGTTACTAGGAAACTTAGTTGCCATAGTTTGAGGATGCGTAGATAGAATTCCTTCCATAACTTGCGCTATTGAGTATTGTCAGTCTTGGTGTTCTGTCAATGTCCCTTATTTGAGGTTTTGATTGTTAGCTATCTCTAGTAAGTTAAGGTTTGGCATTGTAACCCAATGAAAGGGTTGGGTTACAGAATGTATTGGGTTGAGCTGTGAGCTCTTTCCCTTCTGCCCAACTCTGTTGCTTGAATTTGTTATTTTGGAAAACTATGCCCATACAAGGCATAGATGGAATTGGGATTATCACTGCATACTTGATACTAATGTCAATAAGGTGCAATGTGTGTCAGGTTTCTCTGATTTCTTTCCTTTATTGACTACTTGTAGTTACACCTTTTCATCTTCATTATAGTTCATGCGGCCACGAGCTCGTGACAAGAAGCTTCACCAAGAGTGGGCTGTCCAGCTAAACAGTGTTGATGATATCTATGAGGTAAGGCCTTCCACCAAAAACCCAAATTTGTTTCACAAAATATAACTGGGAATGTTAATTTGGCTCATCTGGAATGCAAACATCAGAGGTTCAAGAGTTTCTGCCTTGGAACCTTGAAGACCAGCCCATGGTCAGAACTGGATGGGCTTCAGCCAGAGACAAAGGTCATTAATGAAAAACTTGGCAAGATTAACTCCAAGGGGATCTTAACAATCAACAGCCAGCCAGCAGTCAATGGGGAGAAGTCTGATTCCCCAACTGTCGGTAAGTAATGGTGCCTGCATTCATTATTGTTTTTTTCTCCGTCTCTGGGTGATTTAGTTTGGTCCTTGGAGCCTCAAATCCATTCTCAAATTGTTCACTTCTATCTTTGCAAAAATCAACCATTTGAGCTGATCACTTTGGGATTTGGTAAGAGTGTGGTTGATATTTGTTTCATAGCATTGATCGATACTGCTAGTGGGGATTACTAAGTAGGCCACGTTGCATGAAATGGTGATGCAATTTATTCACATTGAGCGCCTCATATTTACTTTGATTGTGTTGTCTCAATTTAGCTTAAGATAACTTCCGGTAGTTTGATTGTTTACTGTGTTTAACAAAAACTTGATGATGCCAGGTTGGGGAGGCCCAGGAGGGTATGTATACCAAAAGGCATACCTCGAGTTCTTTTGCTCGAAGGAGAAGTTGGATGCCCTGGTTGGCAAGTGGAAGGCCACCCCTCAACTCACTTACATTGCTGTGAACAAAAGTGGGAACTCGATCTCAAACGTCAAGAATGGCAGTGTGAATGCCGTGACATGGGGAGTGTTCCCAGCCAAGGAGATTCTCCAGCCGACCGTCGTAGATCCCACCAGCTTTGGTGTGTGGAAGGATGAGGCTTTCGAGATCTGGTCAAGAGGCTGGGCTTCCTTGTACCCTGAAGACGACCCCTCCAGAAAACTGCTGAAAGAGGTATGCATCAATTAGCCTCTTTCCTCTTTCCCTTCCTGGAAACTGCATTTAGACTCAGTAGCGACTTCGGAACTGCAAACATGGAATGTTGTATGACGAGTTTTGAGGGTGTGTTTATGCAGGTGGAGAGCAGCTACTACTTGGTCAGTCTAGTAGACAACAACTACGTCAACGGTGACATTTTTGCTGCGTTCGCAGACTTATAATGGCGAGATCGATAGAGAGAGCTTCATCGACTCTCAAAACACTTGCCAAAGAAGCAGAGGTAGTAAAAGCAACCTCCAATGGCAGAAATCTTGTACCGGAATGTTTTGAGTTCTTCATTCGAGAGCGCGCTCTTGTTTGCTTGCTGCGTCAAGATTATCATTCGTGTTGTTTGTTTGTACGAATAAAACTTCTTCCCCCCTCCAGTCATCCAACTGTCTTCTGTTGCTGGCTTGTTGTACGAGTGATTAATTATGGCGATTTGATTGAATACCAGATCTGTTGGCATCGAAGCCTTTTATCTCTCATTTACTGAACGGTAAAAGTACATGTGATTTGCTATATGCTTCCACTCGTAATGTCATTTTAATCTCGGTCTCAAATTTCAGTTGTATTATGAATAAATAAGATAAGCAATTTTCTTTCTATTGGGATAAGTACCCTTATTACATAAATGATTACTACAAAAACTCTCTAACTACATAAATAGCCTTGAAGTTTATGAACGTTTCTCTTTGTTACTCAAAGGGGTTGGTTAAATAAAAAATTGTATTATGCTCAGGCAGACTTGGGAAAAAATATCCTAGTCGCCTCTCAGACTCTAAGAACAAATGCATCCTTGTATGCTAACAAAGAGGAACCAAAGAAACCCCTTCTTAATAACAAAAACTAGTCAAGAACATCTACCGAAAACCTCGTATACCAGTATAAATTGAGGCGGAGAAGACAATCTTGGAGATCCTGTATACCACTAGCACGATAGCAGACATCCTTGCACAGCAGCTTGCAAATAACTTCAGGGGATTTAGCAGCAACATCACTATAGAACCGAGAGCAGCGCTCACACCACACCATGCTTACCATCCAGCTCCAATTCAAACGACCCACTCTAGCAGACAAACAAAGGACACTCTTTTTGCTACACTAGACTCTAGGATCACCATCTCATTTCAGGCTGCTAAAGTGAGATTTGTACCTCTGAGCCAACCCAAACGACCCAAGAGTTCCTCCCGTGTGAACCATTACCACCAGCTCTTCTCCTTCCATGCTAAGCTGAGCTGCCATTTCCCAAGCTGCCAAAGTGTACACAGGATCAACCAGAATCCCAGTTTGCCTTGCGATCTGCTGGCATTTCTCCATCTCCCCTTCCAAGATGTTGCCAAATCTACATAGACACGAAAAGGAGTTCAATTCTTTGATTCAAGAGTCCGACCACTACACATCTCTCCTAATGGAGAAAGGGTTCTGCATCATGTTATATATATGTACTTCCTCGGGCAATGTCGTTGAACCCAATGAACAAGCCCTCCATCGTCACTAATGTCAAGTTTATATCCATATTGGGAGCTGAATTCAGACATCAACTGCTTCTCTTTCTCTCGGTATCGGTCAATGGTATCAGCCAGCATGATTGCAGTTACCTTCCATGGAAGCCTGGGAAGTCAATTAAGTGGCTAACTGTCGTGAGTGTGTATATTCAGTGGAAATGGGAACTGAAGGAGGTGGAACAACAAAGAAGCACCTCAAGCATAAGGCTCCGAGTGCCAAACCAATAGCTGTAGTGCCAGTTCCACAATCAACTACCAACCTAATCGGTTTTTCCATTCCGAATACATGATCCTGCGATAGGTACTCAACCAGTCGAATTAGACCTGCAGAAGTCCAATTGAACCCAAAAAGCTTAATGGAAGCCTTTACAGTGGACATAGAAGTAATCGAACTACAAACATCACACTGTGCATGGCAATAAGCATAGCATAGGAATATTGGTAACAGCCTCAAGAACCTTGTCCACTCACCGATCAATGCTACACCGTCGCCAGCTCCTTCATTAATGATCAGTACCTTTCTTGCACAATCCTCCTCACTACCAACACCAACATTATTCCACCTAGCTTTGCTTTCGTCAGCAAAAGAAGCTTTAGCAATGTCACTACACCACAGAACATGACCATGGCTCCCGGCCAACAAATCAGCATGGCCCTTCAGCATGGCTTCCCTATCTGCATAAACCGATCTTGGAACATAGCTGACATGTCCATACATTGTGGAGATAAGATTATAGCCAGTAAGAATCTGAGGTTGCTCCCCTCTCAACAGCAAATGTGATCTCATCCCTCTTTCAGCACACAAAACAGCTGCAGAATGCAGATAGAAAGAAAAATAGAAGACCATGCACAACATCATTTCACTAAACCCAGCCCAGAAATGAAGTTCATCACTGCTTCAATCGCGGAAGAAGGATTACATAAGTAACATTACCAACAGCTGCAGTATGTGAGCTCTGGCATCCTCCACAGGTAATCTGGAGAACAAACCCTTAATTTTCAGAACTCAATTTTCAAAGGGGAAAAGGGGGGAAATTGCAAGCAATGCTTACTACATCGGTGACAAAATTGTCGAGGAGGAGAGGAATCAAAGCGTCGAGCTTTCTGGCTTTATTTCCGTTCGCGGTAGGATGCAACAAATCGTCGCGAACAACATAAAAGGAGGGATGTATAGTGTGATTTCCAGCTCCCAGCTTGCCGCCCAGCAGTGGATTGCGACGGAACAATCGCGGCGACGGAGAGAGGTGAACCCGATGGACTTCCGATTCGGGCTTCTGTAACGTCCACTTTCTGTCGAGCAGCTTAGGAACGAGGTCGCCGCCGCCGTCGGATGCTATTTGCCGGGAAACCATCAAATTTCGGGATTGAGAATGTATATTGGGACTGCTGAGAAGTAGCGGCATGGCGGCGGAAGAGAAACCCACCGGTGATTTGATGGAGAATAGGTCCGTTAACTTCCGCCGGTGGTTGCATATCGTGGACGCCGCCGGTCCGCTGCTCAAGCTTTGGAGATTCATTTCATTTGGCGGGATTGCGGCCGATTTCGTAGGCTAGAATAACAATAACAATATACGTGTTGTTACTTTACTTGTAAGTTGTACAGCTAAATGCCAAGGAAAATAGGACTATAGGAGGATAGAAAACTAATAAAAATAATAGTTATGGTGGGCATCTGGATATTTTAGTTGACAGAGGAGGAAAGGAAAAGGAAAAGGAAAAAGAGGTCAAATTTTCTAGCCCAAAAAAGCTAAGGGCGGCTCTGGCTCTGGATTTGATCCTACACTACAAAACAACAACAACAACGCCAAATTTGGTGGCTGCCATTTCATCTGCCGAGTCTCAGCTGTTTTCTCAATCAATCAGCCAGCAGCCAGAAAGGAGCTCCGGGAATTTTTCTCGTCTGCTTCATTTCATTCCGGATTTTTCCTCTGGGTTCGGAAATCAGACCTCTCAAAGCTATCGACTTTACAGTCCCAAATCCAGTTTGCTGCATTCGAATCCAATTTCTCAGATTGGGTAGATCATAGTTAACTCCTACCTCTGAAGGCAAGAGCGAATTCGATCGCTTTTCAAGGTAGTCGTTTGCTTAATCTGTCTGCCTCGTTTCCCCTTTTTTTTTGTGTTCTTGAAGTTTCTGTTTGTTGGGATCATGGTGAAATGTTAGGCGAATCGCCTGATGATATATTCCAGTGGATGATGAAAAGTTTGTTTTGCAGAAATTGTGGGGGAAATGATTGGGGAGATGGGAAGTAAACTACTGTTTCTGGGATCTACACCGCAGGATTAGAAGATCGTTTCTTTGGGAGCGAAAGCGTGGTCGTAGTTTTTTTTTGTTTTTTCAACTGCTAAGGGTTTGAATTCACCATGGAGAGAAGGAGCAGTTTTAAGGGAGCTGCAATGGGGAAACAGGGGAGTGTTGGTGGGGAGAAACCCAAAGTAATGGTCAAACACTTGAGCTTCCATGGCGTGACAGTAGCGAATGATTCGTCGATGACACCTCGCAGAGTGATGGAGAAACGCCCCAGCTTCAAGGGAGTTATGGAGAGACAACCGGACGAGCCATCGATGACATCAAATCGCAGCAGAGTGATGGAGAAACCACCCAGGGGAGCAATGGAGAAGCAACAGAATGAAGAGGCGATGACATCATCATCATCATCTCGCAGCAGAGTGATGGAGAAACACCCCAGCTTTAAGGGAGCACTGGAGAAGCAGAAGAGCTTTCGTGGGTTTATTGAGAAGCAGAAAAGCTTTCGTGCGGTCATGGAGAGGCAGCTCAGCTTTATCGGCGTTAGCGAGAAGAAGAAGAGCAAAGAATCGCCGGGGAAGCGAGGTGATTCGTTGCTTCATTTGGCTGCTCGTGCCGGGAATTTGAGCAACGTGAGAGAGATTCTTCAGAGGTGTGAGGGAAGTGAAGCAAAGGGTTTGCTTTTGGTTCAGAATCAAGATGGAGAGACACCTCTTTATGCAGCGTCTGAACACGGGCATGCTGATGTGGTTTCTGAAATGCTGGGATATATGGACCTGCACACGGCTTCTATTGCAGCTAGGAATGGTTTTGATCCTTTCCATGTTGCTGCAAAGCAGGGTCATTTGGGTAAGATATGAATGTTAATTTGCTTTTGGCTATGTTCCAAAGTTCCAATTTTCCATCTTCAGTGACCCTTTCCTCATGCTCTTCCTTCGTATACAAGCCAAGCCTTGTGAAAACTATGTGACAGTCTGATTTTTGGGATTGAAATTTTTTGCTCCATGTTCTGGTATTACTTGTTGCCTTTGTTAGCTGTTCATTCTGAATTGTAGGTTTATTGATTTGGAGCACTAAATATCTTAAGATTTTGATCCACAACGAGTTCAGGGCACTGTGACCCTGGTTACTAATTCCATGATTAAATTTCTTAATGCCCCTGTAAAGTTGGAAAGGAGAGCAATTTGGGTTTGTTCCTATTTGTTAATTGTTTTTAGTGTCTAGCAACTTAAACATGCAATTTATGAATGGACCTCTTAAAGACTTATCTACCTGTAGTCAACTTTTCAACCTTAAGTGGCTAGGTCACAAGTATTTTCAAACTCAGTCAGCTTCTCTTTTTTTATTTTGGGTGGAAAAGTCAGCTTATTTACAGTACTTTTCTTTGCTTTTATAATCAGATGTACTTGACCTCAGTCAACAGTCAACTACCTTTTGACTGCATAGTGAATTAATCAAGTCAACCGTCTTCTTCTTGTCATTACTTATTTCAGCTTCAATACTAATGTTTCCTTGCCTGTGTATGGTGTTGTAGAACAGATTGATAATGTACTAATATGGAAGAGTAGTTTAGAAGGGGGACTCATGTTACTTGGAGTTCTTGCTTCTGGTTTGCGCTCTGATTTCTTTTGGTTCTTGAAATCTTGTAGAGGTGCTGAGGGAACTTCTTGATGTGTTCCCCAACCTGGCCATGACCACCGATTTGTCATGTACAACTGCCTTACACACAGCCGCGACTCAAGGACACGTAGATGTGGTCAACCTTCTTCTGGAAACGGATTCAGATCTTGCTAAGATTGCACGGAATAACGGGAAAACGGTTCTTCATTCCGCTGCAAGGATGGGGCACTTGGAGATTGTGCATTCGCTTATAACCAAAGATCCAAGTTCTGGTTTTAGGACAGATAAGAAGGGACAGACCGCACTCCATATGGCTGTGAAAGGGCAGAATGTGGACATTGTACTGGAATTGCTGAAGCCTGATCCTTCTGTTTCGAGTTTAGAAGATAACAAAGGAAACACAGCATTGCATATCGCCACAGCAAAGTGTCGTACCCAGGTAATTTGTGATTTATTTAAATGGAATACTGTTTGTTGTTATGCCATCAATAAATGACATTCCTCGGAATATAACTAGTCAATGATTCTTAGATGTGCGCTATGTTTGTTTTATTCAATTGGATCATGAATAATGATACTCGTGTGAATATATACCAAGTGTATGTGGAATATATTTGATAACTTGACAAAGTTCTGGTTGTGTTATAGTGGTTAGTGACACAACATTCAACTGATTGCAGAATAATGTACTTGAAAACTTGACCAAGTTCTGGTTGTTTTATAGTGGTTAGTGACTCAGCATTTAACTGATTGCAGAATGTAAGGTGTCTGTTATCTGTTGAGGGCATTAACATCAACGCCATGAACAAGAGTGGGGAGACGCCATTGGACATAGCAGAAAAAGTTGGAACCCCTGAACTTGTTTCTGTCTTAAAGGAGGCAGGGGCAAGCCACTCTAAAGACCTTGCTAAACCCGCTAATCCAGCTAAGCAACTTAAGCAGACAGTCAGTGACATTAAACATGATGTCCGATCTCAGCTCCATCAGACACGTCAAACCGGTTTCAGGGTCCGAAAAATCGCCAAGCGCCTGAAAAAGCTCCACATCAGTGGCCTCAACAATGCCATAAACTCCGCTACAATTGTTGCCGTACTGATTGCTACAGTTGCATTTGCCGCCATCTTCACGGTGCCTGGGCAGTATATCGAGGAGAAAGTGGTTGGGGTATCACTTGGCCAGGCCCACATTGCAGAAAACCCTGCTTTTCTGATATTTTTCGTGTTTGACAGCCTGGCATTGTTTATCTCTCTGGCTGTCGTTGTTGTGCAAACATCTGTTGTCGTGATTGAACAGAAGGCCAAGCAGCAGCTCGTGTTTGTGATTAATAAACTCATGTGGCTAGCTTGCCTCTTCATCTCAGTTTCCTTCATTTCCCTCACGTACATTGTAGTGGGAAAGAAATCTAGGTGGCTTGCCTTCTATACAACGGCTCTTGGTACTCTGATCATGGTCACTACTATTGGATCCATGTTTTATTGTGTGGTGGTTCATCGGATGGAGGAGTCGAGGTTGAGGAGCCTAAGGAAAACTGAGAGCAGGTCTCACTCTTATGCTATGTCTGTGGCATCAGAAGATCAGGAGATTTTGGAAAGTGAATATAAGCGGATGTATGCTCTGTAGGGAGATTCTTTAAGTTATGAAAGGAAGATGTTATTTGTAGAGCTATTCCTATTGGCTTGTAAGAATATGTATGTGGAAATGCTTGGAGCTGTCATTGGGGCTTTTTAACTGGCACTCCATGCGTAAGGAACAACACTCTTCAGAGGTTCAGAGAAGGTGATTCACCGTCTCATCCTTAGTCTTCTGCAATGCTGCTAAAGCTACAAGCTCTGTTAATAGGGTATGTTGGTTCCCTCTACTACTTTTATCTGTAAGGTTCTCTTCAGCGATGGCTTTATTGGGGTTTACATTTGAGTCCCATTTGTACTTACTGAATTAAGCCATCAAAACGCAGGCAATAAGTTGCTATTGTATCCTGGAGTTGTATGCAAAGTGTGTAGTAATGCAGTAATGAATGAAATTTATAATTAGTTTCAACACTTGTTACCCATTTGTGGGAACTTAACTGTTCCATCACCATATTTCTTTGAATTCTGAAAGAAGCTGGCCTGGTCACTTCAGAAGTTACCGTTAATTTTCATTACTAATGCTTGCTTTTCATTGCTGCAAATTTTGTCTCTTGTTCTTTTTCAATGTTTAACATGATGAGGAACACTTGGTTCTTGAAATTCTGTTCAGTTGTTCTGAAGCTAATTATACAGAAGAGAGTTACACGTCTACATGCATCTCTTTTGCTGACAGCCTATAGGATAGAAGAGAAAGTGAGTACTAGCCATTGCATATAGTTGCATGTCAGCAATATTATAGCACTAGCTGCATATACATTGCTGTTACCAGCATTTTGTAACTGTGAATTTCCGATAACGAAAGAGGGTTGCTGTATGAATATTTCTGACTTAATTAGATCGAAGTTGGTGAAATTGTGACAATAATCCTATAAAGCTCCTAGCTTTGCAAAAGATGAACCAAGCAGGGGCGAAAAAGGAGTGTATAGTCTTCAAAACTTGGACCTGATTTCCAGTATATGCAGACTAAGGAAGTAAAAATGTTTGTACCTAACCGAATTGTAAGAGAGTAAATGCTCAATGAGTATTTACACCAAGACTGAGAACTGTTTGCTGCCTGTAGAAATTGCCCATGCATTCTAAATGCTTCTGTACTATGCTATGCTTGTTAAGTACTCAGAGATCTGCAAAAAAAAGTATCAGATCCTTCCCTCAAGGCTTTTGTGAACTTCGAGAATCATCAGTTGCATCTGATGACCCGCTTTGTTGCTTGGGATCACTTTTTTGACCTCTGCGCGAGCCTGATTTAGAGTCAGCACGCAGAGTTTTGGCCGAGAGGCAGTGCCGAACATGGACCCGATGAGTCGCGACTTCTGTTGAGCCGCTGCCTTGTACAACAACTACAAGGATCACTTCTTTGTCTCTGGTGTCTTCACACCACCAGTTCTGTGGGATGCCGTCTACTAAATCTTCTAGCGTGTGGAACTCTTCATGGTGCACTGAGACTTCGATGCTATTGTCAGGTTTGATTATTCCAGCTGCTGGTGTGACCTGTGTTAATGAACAAGAGTGGTGTCATTCTATAATGCAAAAACAAAGTTCTTTTCAGCTGCAGTAGTTGATTATATTAGATGCTTTATCTGGTTTTCACTGAATGTGTACAGATTATATAAAACGAAATGAATTTCTTAGGAAGACACATGAAGGGCATAGATTTACTCACCTCGAGCCACCGGGGGAAGCCATGGTTACCTCTGGCGCGATACTCAGCTTCATCCCCTTCATCCTTGAAATTGGCTTGGCCTTCACAGTAGATCCTGAACACTACTTTGTCTGCTGCAGATTTGTTGGTAATCCTGAGAATGGCAGTGTCCTGATTTTGCAGGGCAATGCTGTTGGTGCTGACGGCTGTCTCTGGGACCACTCGGCATTCCTCCAACAGCGATTGGATCTTCTCATTCGTCCTCAGGATCTCGCCAAACTCTTGCCTCCTCACTGATCTATCTGTGTGAGCTACTTGGATGTGGAACTTGCACCGCACGGGTTTGTGGTCGCTCTCAGTCACGTCCATGACAGCTTCATATCTGTGGGGAAGTAGGGACATGATCAATGTGAGTTCAAAATGGGGTGACTTGGTTGAAGATGAAGAAGAATATATGAAATGTTGTTGTTTACTGGATGACTGCAGAGACGACAGGGCACTCCAAGCTACATTCGCATTGCGACGGAGTAGATGAACCTGGCCGAGTATCACGGAATATAACCCTGTCACACCATGCAGGTATACGTTTCTTCTCCCCAGAATCATAGCCTGCATTATTATTATTTTTTCCAACAGAGTGTAGGCATTTAACGCAACGTATTATTGGATGATTAGCCACAGAATACATTGATATTAGATTTACCTCCTAATCCAGGGACATTTCTCTCAAACTTGTAAGTAGGAGGGAAAGTGATGATGGCTTCATGCATCCCTTGGAAAACTCTCCCAGCTTTCATCTCAGCTCGGAGCTGATCACGCTCTCGAAGCCAGTCGAAGCTTCTCTGAGACACAAAGTCCCTGGCCTCGTCATATGATATCCCAAACAGGCGGTAGTTAAAATCCCCGAAGAACACAACCATGTCTGCATCAGACAGCTCTGGCTTTGTGTCCTCGGACGAGCCATTGTTGTTGCTGTTGCTGCCGCCGCCACCCCCACCAGAGTTCTATACAGAACACACCAGATCGAGGTCACGATAAAGAGATGGAAAACAAGGGTTACGTACAGACCAATGATCAGGTCGCCCAACTGGCCTATACATGCATGCATCATTATAGTAAAGGGCAGAGCTCGCTCGCATCGAGACAGCTAGATATCATCGTATACAGAAGGTCGTGGTAATGGCGTGGTGTGGGCGTACCTTATCGGACTTAAGGGTGTGGGAGGAGGAGGAGACACCAGCTGCAACAGAGAGGATGAATGGGAAGCCATATGTATAATAAAGGATCCAAATTAAATACGTGGAGAAGGCAAGAGAGCAACAACAAAACAAGAACCGCAGGATCATCAGCAGCATACCGGCAGCGTTGGGGATCGTGGGCTTCCCGAACACCATGTTTCGATAGATGTGATCGAAATCTGCGTTCCTTCGGTTCACCGCTTCCAAGTGTGCTGCCAAGTGACAGTTCACGAAGCACATTATCCGGTCTCGCACCCTTATCCTCAACCCTACCCCTCCCTGCACAACACCATGCGTTCACCATCACCAACGGGAAGCACAGCACACTATCCTTCTCGATTGTTACAAAGTCTCGATCGAGATTCGGGTACGTAGTTACTAATTACCTTATTACCGATGGCTCGTCCGAACCCGCAAGGAACAGCGCCAGCATCAACATCCCCAACATGCTGTCTCATGTTCTTCCTCACCCTTCATGATCAAGTCAACCACACGTAGCATAAGAAAGAGTTACGTACCATGACTGTATACGTTTGGATCCAGTGAAATAAGGCAGTAAAGAAAAGTTACTGTTTCTAATTAGCAGTTATATAGTTAGTTACCAGAGAGAGACGAGCAAGCCAGCAAGCTGCCTAGATCCCATCCGTTCGAAAACAGAGCCTTCCCCTAATGCCCTCCCAATATTATCCAGCCACCACTGCCCAATTGCACTCCCTTCCAGTCCTACCTACATTCATCACACACACACAACAATTTATAATATGCCGCCACAAATCCACGTTGAATCACTGAAATTAGCTAGTAGTTCAAGATTCAATGACAAACTGTTGATCGAATCGCGATAACACAACCGATTTTACCTTCAAGCTCATGACATGACTCGTACATAATGGATTCACAAGATTTCACAAACATTAGGAACTACTCTACTTTAGAGCAAATTTTTGGGTAAGGTAATAAAACGACGCCATTTCAAACCAGAAACACCAAAAGGGCCACGCATGCATGCGTGCAACAACGTAACGATACGTACAGTTTCTTTGGCGGCGGACATGGCGAGGAAGCCGGCACCCATGTCGACCTCCTGGAGGCCGACGACGACGATCCCGACGTCCCCCGCGGTGGAGCCGAGCCACGACATCATGGCCTCCTGCGAGGGCCTCCCCTGCCCCACGTTCCACGTCCCGATCAACACCCGGAACTGGTCCTTCCTCGTGTACGTCGCCTCCTTCCCGGCCAGCTCCGACCGCAGAATCTGGTCGATCGGGCTCGGCGACAGCGTGCTCCACCCCCGGATCCCGCCGTGGCTCGCCAGGCTGTAGATGTAGCCTTTCCCCACCGCCAGCTTCAGCACCGGGTTGCTGTGGGCCACCCACATCTGCAGCAGGTGCCCCTCCAGGTCCAACATCTTTTCGACAGATCGAGATAAACATTACAAATTGAATTCGTACCATAATAAGATTAAACCGTACCGTACGTACAACAAACGAGAAACCTCTCTCCCTCTCTCCGGCACGGGACGGGACGGGAGTATATATAGAAGCTCACCTGGATGATCCCGCTGGCGTAGCCGACGTAGATTCGGGCCCCGAACGTGCAGAAGCACTGGACGGCGGTGTTCTTGTTGAGCAGGTTGAAGTCCTGCACCCGGTTCCCGTTGCCGTCCCACTGGATGATGAGGCCGTTGGTGCACCCGCTCCACACCATCCCGTCCGCCGTCATCACGATCGCCTCCGTCTTCTTCGGATCCTCCACGAACGCGTTCGTGCCACGTGTCGCCACCCGCCGCACCGCGTCCGCCGCCCCCATGATCGCGTTGCGGGACCTCTGCAGGAACCCCTGCCCCTTCTCCTTCTTGTTGACCGACTTCCCTTTCCCCTCCTTCGCCGGCTTCTCCGCCGGGGCCGCCGCTGCATCCTGTTCGCAACGGTGCGTTTTAGTGAGTAGTAGTAAGTTACCTATGTGACAAAGTATTATTATACTTTAATGTATTATGCATCTTCTCTAAATTAATGATATGCCTAATACTATTTCAATATGTATTATTAAATACAAATTTTATAAAATGGACAAGAAAAAGTGGAATCACTCGACAATAATTATGAAAACAGAGATTTTAATAATTACAAAATAAGTACATTTAATCTACACAACACGCGCGGATTAAACGCGCGTATTAAACGGAGTATTTACTACTTTAATTTGTAGTGTTTCTTAATTACTCACCTGTGGAGTAGCGCCACCTTCTTCCCCAGCTTGGCCGCTCTCTTGGTGGTGCTGTTGATGTTGTTGCTGCTGCTGTTGCTGTTGCTGGCCCTTCTCGCCGCCGTCGACGCGGTTCTCGGTCTGGCCGTCGATGTTGAAGACGCGGAGGAGCTCCTTGGTGCGGGCGTCCCAGAGGGAGAAGGTCATGGATTGTGCGCACCAGAGCTTGGCGCGGATGTTGTCGGAGAGCAAGCACTTGATGTCGGAGGAGGAGATGCTGCAGTTGCCGTTCACCGTCACCTGGCTTCTCAGGTCGATGGCTGATCGCTCCACGAGCAAGGCGGCCATCCGCTTTTCCTCGGATTTGAGGGAGAGGGATTTCTCGATGCTCTCCCATGGCCAGATCTTTATCACTCCTCCTTCCGATCCCGACCATAAATCCCCTGCAACCCAATTATAACTTGGTCAACGGAGCTAATCAAGTCTAGACTATCTTAAAATACAAAATAATCATTCTACAAATCGTTAATTACAATTAACTAGAATTATGTCATTGTGTAAAAAGAAGATTGGAGCGTACCATAGGAACTCATGACCATGGAAAGAACAGGCCCTTTATGCGCCTGCCAAGACAGCCCTTCCTTAAACGGAGCATTCGCCGCAGCACCAGCATCCACCTGCTGCGGCGGCTGACCACCACCACCACCATCCACCGCTTCTTGCTCCCCTGCCGCCGCGGCAGCAGGTGGATGCTGATCCGTCTTCCACGACCGAATCTTCCCGTCCTTGTGCCCGCTCCAAACCAACCCATTCGCCGCATCCACCATCAAACAAAACGTGGGCGACGTGGACGCCGACTCCTGAAACGGCGCCGCATCCTCGTCCCCTCTCCTGACCTTCCCGCCCAGCCCACACCCTGGGTCGTAAATCCGGTCGAACCTCCAGAACCGGACCCCGCTCTCCTGACCGGCCCACAGCTGCGTCTCCGTACACGCAATGTTCCTCAGGAACTTCCCCACCTGCGTCTCCCTCAGCGGATGCGGCCGGAGCTCGAGACACGGCGGCCGCCCCGGGTGCACGGCGGCCCTCGTCGGCACCTTGAAAATCGCCTCTCCTTTCCCTCCGGACACGGATCCGGATCCGGATCCGCCGCCGGGGCCGGGGCTGGAGCTCCCGGCCGCGGCGGGAGACACGGCGGCGACGAATTCGCCGAGCGGAGTGAACGGCTTCAGATCGAGTGCGCCTTCCTCTTCGTCGAGCGAGTAATTGGAGAAATCATCGTCGGAGGATGAGAGGGGCCGGCTCCCGCCGGCGGGAATGCCGTCGAGGCTGTGCTTCCGACCCTGGCGGTACGGCTTCTTCTCGCCGCGAAGCTGCTGGCTGTAGGAATGGACCTTGGCACGGTGAGGGCTGGGGACGGAGCTCAATGCGGCCAGCGCCTGTTTGTCTTCGTCCTCGATTTTGTTCTCATTTCCTCCTCCGTCCATCGTGAATTACAACCGGCGAGAGCAAAACAGAGAAATTGGGGGAATTCTGAACAGAGTGCGAGAGAAAAATTGCCGAAAGGAACAGAGACGAGAGAGAAAATTTGGAATTAAACGGGGGGTAATTGGGATCATGATCCGAGTTAGAAGGGAACGGAAGGTGCGGCGGAGACTCCCGCGGGTTCGTCGGCGATTGTACGGTTGAAACTGCTGAGGGGGAAAAAAAGAAGAGCGACATAGACAACTTTATGTTATTGGGCCTGTCCCATTCGTATATATCCAGCTAATCAATGTTTTCTCCCATAATGGGCCCAACTAAGTATTGGTCTATGTTCTGTGCAGGAACCCGTTCATTGGAAACGGCCCAGTTATTTCCACTTTTAAACTGAGCCCAAGCCCAACTAATTAGATGTCAGAACTCGACCAAAATCATCTCCCCCTTAGACAAAGGCAAAGAGCAAACTTTTCGCCGTATGAAGCTTGTAGCCTTGTAGGCTTGTAGGCTTGTAGTGGAGAAGAGATCCTCTTTCTAGTCTCTTCGCTGCAGAAAGTTAACACAGGAGCACCATGCAAAAACAACAGAAAGAAGATGCCTTCATCCACAGGCCACACAGCCTAACTCGAACACATAACTGAAACTCAACAGTCCATATATTATTCTATCTATGGTCATCCTCCATCCTGACGCCTTCTAAGCTGTAGTGACAACAGCAGATACCATTCTGTTCACTCCACACATCCCATACCCGCGGCAGACCCGGTAGTAGCCGGCTTCTCCCCAGTGCTCGCCCCATGAGTTCTTGATGATCCAGTACGGCCTGTAACCAAACCTCAGGATCGAGAACCCTCTCGACCCGTACCCGACGAGGAGGACGCCGTGGTTGATCCACTTCTTGCCGCAGATCAAGGGGCACGAGACGCCCCCCAAGTAGGTTTGCATGAACACAGCATTCAAACCAACTGCAAATTCGTCCAATCATCTAAAATCAATTAGTTTCCATTAGTAAATTTCACTCGGTCGGTGTAGCTTGGAAGGAAACCTGACCTGCCAGGGGTCCATGTTGGACCAAATGGGCGGCTATCTGGTTCTCGTCGAGCGAAATGGTGCTGAAATTGGCGACCCTGACTGCGACCTTCTCGGGATCGAACTTGCATTCGCCTTTCTTTCCTGTGTAAGGGTATGAAGCCTCGTCTTGCAGCCCGCCCGCCTTGATCAGGTACCTGTACGCATTCGTCATCAGGCCTCCGCCGCATCCTTTGTCGCAAGCCTCCTTCTCCTTCTCGTCACACTACGGGGGAGTAAAACACCACATGGTCACAGTATACTACAGTTAGCATAGGGAGGTTTCGGCGGAAATTAGGATAAGCATGAAGCAGAGGAGACAGACAATGTCGTCACAATCGACGAGCTGCTGTTCACTGAGATTGAGAAGCTTCCCTGTGGCGATGAAATGCGCCCCCTCCACCGCCCCCGTCGTGCTGAACGCCCAGCATGACCCACAAGCCCCCTGCACAAAAGGAAGATCCCAATCTTCCGTTAATTATGTTCTTGAAAGCTCAACTGTATAGCCGTTAAAATTCAGCAGTGGGTATCCACTGGTAGAAGGAAGAAAAAAAAAAAGGGGGTCAAACCTGCATCTTGACGTCGGTTACAGCTCCTTTCTCTCTCCAGTCAAAGTACTCCGGCAACCCACTAGTATCCATAACCTCCTCCTCTGCCAAAACGTTATCCTCCTCGTGGTCCGGTCTTCCATCCAGCCCGCCGGGCATGGAAACGCCGGTATACATCCTCTGGAACTCCTCCTCCGTCAAGTCCATGAACGGCGTGATCCCATGGATGGCGGTCGGGTCCAGGGCCTGGTGCTCTGCCGCCCTGACCAAATTCGCCGCGAAGACCCCGAGGCGGTGTGCATACTCCTCGCTGTCGGCGTACTCCTTGTTGTACTTCTGGACGAACAGCTTGAAGTTGTCCTCCGTGCCCAGGAGGTGGTCCAGTCCAATCTTCAAGAACTTCCTGTTGGGCGAATCTGTGACTCTGAATATGTTACTTTCCTCTCCGGGCAAGTCGGTGGATCCGCAGCAGACGGAGAGGATGGAAATATGGATCAGGATTGTGAAGATGACCGGAATCGGCTTCCACCGGCGGCTGGTTTGAGGGGTCATTGTGGTGTATCAGAGGAGAGAGTGCTCTGTTTCTTTGGAGGCAGAGGAAGGTGAACAAAACAAGGAAAAGAATTGGGCTTTATGTAGTTGCGGTGGAGCGAGGACACGTGTGAAGGCATAAGAGCTCTGCCATGTGCTAATGCTGCATGCACGGCAAACGGCTGCCAGCGACGAAAGAAAACAAACAATGCAACTATAACCGAAGTAGAGATTCAACCGAATTCGAGGAGACGAATCCAATAGGTTGTAATGGTAGACCTAGCTAAACATGATTTCTTGAAAAAAACTTAACTTACATCACCAAAATTACTACTGTTCTCAGATATGGAAAGAATGAGCGAAAACAGAGGAAAAAATGAAGCGAAGGCACTGCAAAATCTGGCTTCCATCAGAGTACCTTTTTTTCCCCCGGTCAATTTTGCTTCGGTTGAACCGGAAGGGGAAGCGCCCGCCACCCAATGTCTCGTCTGTAGAACCCGCCAGGCCAGTTGACTTTCTCGATGGCTTGGTAAGCTCTCTCCTTTGCTTCCGCCAGATCACTTCCCTTGGCAGTGACACCAAGAACACGGCCACCAGCAGATACCAGGTTGCCACTCGAGTCGAGGGCGGTCCCAGCATGGAATATCTTGACCGTTGGAGCGACATTTTCGGCTTCTTCGAGGTTCTGAATCATGGTTCCTTTCTCGTATGAACCGGGATAGCCATTGCTCGCCATTACTACAACCATGGCTGAGCCAGGTGACCAGTCGAGGGATACTTGGCTCAGTTTGCCTCTACAGGCTGCAAGCAGGACTTTTACCAGGTCGGATTCCAGACGAACCATCAATGCCTGCAACGTAAAGAGTATCATATCAGTAGATAAGAAGGAAAGCTAGCGTTAGCGTACAAGCACTTGAGCACCATGTAGATTACAACCCATCTTTCCATGGAGATACTATCACTAACCTGGCATTCAGGGTCTCCGAACCGCACGTTATACTCGATCAATTTGGGCAAGCCAGACTTCTTTTCAATCATCAAGCCAGCATACAGAACTCCAACGAACTTGCAACCTTCTGCAGCCATTCCTTTCACAGTAGGAAGTATTATACTCTCCATAACTACCGACACCAGCTCTTTCGTCAATACAGGAGCAGGGGAGTAAGCTCCCATTCCGCCGGTGTTAGGTCCAGTATCGCCATCGCCCACACGCTTATGGTCCTGAGCAGACTCCAGCGGTATGGCATTTTCTCCATCCACGAGTGCAAAGAAAGATGCTTCCTCTCCCTCGAGGAACTCCTCGATGATGACCTGGGAGCCAGCTGGACCGAACATTTCATCGACAAGCATTGAATCGACGGCATTGTAAGCCTCTTCTAGGTCCGTTGCAACTATTACTCCTTTTCCAGCAGCCAATCCATCTGCTTTGATTACAATTGGAAGCTCTTGTTCTTGAATGTAGTGTTTTGCGGGCACTGGATGTCTGAATGCCTGGTACTGAAATAATACCGCTTATCAGAGTCGGAAAGAAAAGAAAATCTATCTTATGTTTAAGTAGAGGATTTATAGTGAAAGTTTGATAAACAGAAGCAACAACAAGAACTGCAACCATCAATGTCAAGCAAGAGAAGGGATCGAAGGGTGTCAAGGAAGAAAGGGAAAACCTTGGCAGTAGGAATTCCATATTTGTCACATATACTCTTCATGAAGTTCTTGGAACCTTCCAAAGCAGCAGCCTCTGCGGACGGGCCAAACACTGGAATACCAAACTTCACCAGATCATTAGCTAGCCCTGCAACTAGAGGTGCCTCTGGCCCCACAACCACGAGTCCTACACCCCATTTGTGGCAGAAAGCAATTACTGCTGAACTATCAGCAATCCTGAGCTCAGGAACACAAGTGGCATCGCCAGAGCTGGAAATTCCCACGTTGCCAGGGGCGCAGAAGACAGTTTCACAAGTTGGAGATCTCTTAAGTGCATAGCAAAGTGCATGTTCTCTTCCTCCTCCACCAATCACCAATACGACCACTCTCTCATCTGTCACAAGAGAATTGGAACGTCCATCAACGATATACAAAATTGCTAAACAGGACAAAGGTAAAAAAAGAATGTCAACTCTTTCTTGAAAGAGAGAGGAAACCATTCTCAATTCTCCAAGGCTCCACAAGGAGTTTCCTTTATCATTGTCATCAAAACTAAGCAACCTTCAGCCAGAAAAAAGATGAGGGACAAAGCCCTTGGATTCTGAGCATCTCAAACTTCAGTCATGAAACTACCCGCCTATATCATGGACCCTATGAACCTCTATACACAGCAAGATAAAAGGGGCAAATGAGATATGTCAGAAGAGACCTTTAAATCGTAACACCTAACCCTTCAAGGCTCAATCATCTTTTGTCTACAGAATAGCAATAAAACTACAGCATTGAGTCCCAATTGCAGGATGAACATGCACTCATCCCGCTAGACATCTGAACACTATCACCAATCCGTACAAGCCATGATTCAGAAATCCAAATGACTCTTATTAGAGTATCACCACTACTGATCTTAGGACCAAAGAACAAGAACACCCTGAGGAAAAGCAACATCACTTGCTTTGCACAGGGGAATTAGCCATAAGCAGTACCACGGATTCAGTTTCCTCACCCACACATACCTCAACATAGCTACTGAGATCAGCAGAATCCATACAGGGACCAACCCTGATTCGCACAGACTACAATCACCATTATCAAGAAGAAATTCTTTACACAATAACATTCCAGGAAGCAAAATGTTCAGTAGTCAGAGGTCTATCCACCCAATTCACCAATTTTCATCCCACGGCAATTTCAAAACCCACAATCCAATCGAGCATTAGACAAAAAGAAATGACTTCTAGTTCAATCACAAATGCAGAAACTATGAAAAGGGTTCTCACTTCCTCCCTCACCAGAGTCATCACTACCCAGGGAGGCAGCTGAAGCCGAGTTTCCCGATTGCTGGGCAGCACAACAACGCCAGCCGGTACTAACCAGCCTTCTGCTATTCAAAATATTCCCACAGCTAAAGAGCCTTGGAAATGACGCAGACGAAGGAGTAAGGTTGCTGAAGAAGGACGAGGGAGCGTTTGACACTGAGAAATTGACATTGTTCTTGTTGAAGCCGGAGAAAAACTTAGCGGAAGGCGCGAAAACACTGTAAGATGTCACACACGACATTATTGGTGGTGGGATGGATGTCGACAAGAGAAAAAGCTCTTCAGCTGCTGCTGCTTGCTGTTATTGCCCTGAGGACTAATTCTCCGGATGTATATGGTAAGACCGCCATGAATAAAATATACGGGGGACGAAGACGAAGGCGGAGGCGGGCGGAGGAAATTGCGGAAGTAGGCGGCTCTGTTTGAACGGCGGGACGGGCAGCAAGGGGAGTTGTGTACTGTGTAGGGTTTTTCCGAACCAAAACAAAGTAAGGTGGCGCGAAAGCCTGGAAACTGGTTTCGGACCTCTAACCTTGTTCTGAAATGAAACCTGCGCCATATTGGTTTGTACCTTACCGAAACCGAACCCAATAACAATTCGGATAGTCCTCATTGTTATTCATGTAGGATTACAAATAATACACATCATCAATCTCGCTTGAAAATTCTAATCTCACTTGAATTACAAACACGATATTAAGATTCATTCTGATTAAGAACTTCCCACCCCACTTTCAACATGAATGAAATATTGCACAATGACTGATCTATGATTTGAATCCGCTCTTGTACCAATTCGAATCCGATTTTGGACCACTCACCCAAACCATATAGCCCACACCTTTAATAGCCTTACCCTCTGTGGCAAAATGGCAAAAGGCAAGTTCCTGTAAGAGCAGACTTGCTTCACTAAGATTACAATCCAACTCTGTCAGCGCAAGTGTAGACAACTGGAGAACAAGCAATTACAAAATGCCCCCAAAAGTATGCCTCCTAATAAACTGGTTGATAACTCGACGAATCAGATAAACAGTACTCTGGAAAGAACTGAGGCTATTGCTAATGATTCATTTCGATTTCGTATTAACAGATATAATTCGGGTAGTTGGCTAAGCTTTCCATATATCCGGGGTCACCAACATATTTCATAATCATCTTGGTCGTATATAGTTCTGAGGATGTTTGATAGTCAAAAAGGTGAAGACACTACTCCCTGCGCAAAAAAAATTCCCTCCTTCACTTGGCCCGTTCATCATCCTCTTCAACCTCGCCAGTCTCCTCTTCCAAACGACTCCCCAACTTCACAATGTCTTCCACGCGAATCTTCCCATCTGTTGATTGTATAATAATCGAGAAATGCAGAATGAATAAGTGGTCTACAAGCAAGACTATTGAGTTTAAGAACAACAAATGATTGAAACACGCACCAGAGTCCTTTGCCAGATTGCTGATGAATTCCTGGATGCCTTCCTTCCCGAGGGTGTTCTTGAGATAGTTAGCTGCTGCTGCCACTTCTTCAGGAGTGACTTTTCCGTCATAATCCCTGGTCATTTTATGAAAACCAAACATCACAAATATGAGTTATCTTCTGAAAAGGTTGTGGCCTATGCATTATCACAGTAAGCATGAGTAAGAAGATAAGAGACTGAGTTGTAGTCTACAACTCGGGTTCATGTCTAATTTGTTCAAATGTTTATGTTTTCTATTTCAGCACTACATACTTTGATAGGTGAGGTTAGCCCCAAGGTTCGGACTGACAGTATGATTGAATGTTATCATCCACAAATTACTATTAGGTCAATCTCTTGGCAATTCTGTTTCGGTATTATGATCTAAAGACTTATTAGGAGGTTCGACTATTTACAGGAACTATAAACATTAATAATAAATCATAAAGACAGGCACTAGAAGAATTGCAGTATCAAAGGGAAAACCCTTAGGCCTGTGGTGTGATCCTATCCCTAAGACACCTAACATAAGCCACAAAGAGAGAAATGCATTCTAAGACACCTGACACATTCACCAAGAGAGAAGTGCACCTGTCAAGTAGTCGGAAACCATCCCCAATTTCAGCATCCACATCGTCAATTTCCTTCTCGAGCTTTTGGAGCATGGCGTCGACCTTGAGCACAGTACATGTAATCCTCGTTAGTTTCAAATAGAGAGAGATTCGTGGCTACAGCAGTTCATCGGCATGAATTATATGAATGTAATGGGAGTAGAGTACCCGATCAATAAGTGCTGAAGAAACTTCATTAGCTTCTTCTTCTTCCACTTCAGCTGCACGTTGCTCGCTTTCATCTTTAGCAGCTCTATAAGCCTTCATTGCTGCCTTCTCGTCATCTATGCCTTCACTATCTCTCATGCTATTATAAAGCTCAATCTGAACACCCCAAAAGAAGTTCCAGCACAAACGTTAGAGACTTAATTTTCCTATGTTAAAGATGACATAGAACAATAATATCAATTCTGACCTCCTTATTGACCATTCGCAGGAATTCTTCACGCTCCCTACTAACTGACTGCAAAATGATGATGACCAAATTAGAAGGGAAAGAATACACAAAGTTATATTAGAAAACAAGAATGATTGAGAAGTCCAATAAAGAAAGAAGTTGCAAGTTCTTACTGATGCCGCAGCTAGAACGGACAATGCACGACTGAGCTCACACAGCTCCTCCTGTTTCTCCAAAGTTCTTTCTCTCGCTAGTTGTTGAGCTTCCCTAGCAGTTGGTGTAGTCATCTCTTTCAATGCCACATCTTCATCTTCACGGACTTTATGTTCTTTCATCCTAGCAAGCTCTTCCTCCTCCTTCTCTTCCTCCTCCTGTTGTATATGAGTTCCAAATGAGTAATGCAGTTAAACTAACACGACAAGACCAATAAAATTTTCCAAAGCTTCCCAGATTCGCAAGCAATTTCCGACAGAAGAGAACTGTAGCTAGGGCTTTTCCCTCTATGATTAAGCACAAGTTTAACCAATTGTGAGAATATTTAGAACTGAGTTCATTTGAAATTTCAATGGTAATTTTTCTTAATTTGTTGAACGCTGGAAAGATATTAAATCATTGACTGATGAAACTGGGTGTCACTCAATGCATACCTTGATACGTTTATCCTCCTCCTCCAGGAACTCCAGCTTCCTTCTCCTTTCTGAAACAGAATCTTCAGATGGCATACCAGTACTGGCAAGAGTATTCACAACCTCATCAGGAAGAGATGAAAGTGTTTGCTGAATTGCGTCTTCAGGTCTAACTCTTGCAGACACAAGGAAAGCCCTGCATAAAGTGGTGAAAATAGATCAGTCAGAAAGTGGGTAACAAAACGTGAACATTGAACTTAAAAGGAATCAAAAGAATATAAATACAAGTAGATCAATAGATCTTCGTGGCACCTGGAGAGAATTAGGAGAGAAGATGGCACAGCATGATTGAGAGACAGATCCAACCAATCACGGAGCTGCACGAAATTACAGCAGACATATTACAGTGTTAAGTATTAGAAAAGAGGCTATTTAGAGAAGACTGTCCCAATCCACCAAAGGTAAAAGTTCAGGGAATATAAAGACACATGGAACCTGTTGCCTCATTTCCTCGACCGAACGTAGCCCAAGCATCCCACGTTCTCTACATTCCGCACGAAGTTCATCCTCGGTAAGTGTCTCGATACCTTCTTCCTGGATCATCCTGTCATCCTTTTTAATGCTGGAGAAGGAAAAACCAACATGTTGATTGTATGAGCATTTCCTCTTTCTCATAAACATAGAGAAGGAGATCAAATAAACATACAAGAGTTGTTCTCTAATCTACTCGAGGGGAAAATTAGTGGCTAGTAAAGACATAAATATTTAACAGTTCATCATATTGATATATAGAAGTCTTGAATTAACATAAGATAACCAAAGTTAACAGACCAGTCACTCATTTACAAATTTCATAAAAAAGTTGCTTGGACAACTATTTATAATTCAAATCTGTTGAATTCCAATTTGACGGTAAATCTTCTCCAGAGACCATTATAAGTTTATAGAGTAGTAAAAAAAGTAAAAACCATATAAAAGATTACCTGAATTTCAATATAAATGAAATGAAAAGGCAAATGCAAATGCAATGAGATAGACGATGATAATTATGTTCTAAAACTTGTGGACACAGCCAAGTTGAACCAAAAGAACACAGCATCTAACTTGGAAATGATAGAATGGGAAGGTGAGTATCACCTTTGAAGTCTTTTCCGAAGCATAAACCGCAGATACGAATCAGTTCCAAAAGGACTGATTCCCATATACTTGCACATACTGACTAGTCGTGGCCTGTTGGGAAAAGTGATGTGTCAAGAAAGCAAGAAGGAAATGTACAATGTACAAGGAAGCAATGAACAGAAGCAATCATAACAACAGCATACCTGCTAATATTATCCAAAGTCAGCTCATCATTGAATAGCATGGCAAAGCTTAGAATTTCATCATTAGAGACGGAAGAACCTTTTCTAACCTGGTTAATGTGTGAAACTCATGTGAAAAAGAAAACAAATAAATAGGCCACCTTAAAAGAGAGAACACATTATCTATGCAGTACTTACTTTGGTCAAAAACTCATCAAGGTCCTCAGCAGTCTTCTTAGTCTCGCCACTTCGTGAATTTTGAACTTCCTTTGCCATTTCCTTCACTGTTTCTTGAAGAAACTTCGCATATTCTATCCTTGCATTTAGCCTCCTCTTTAATGCTTCCTGTAATAAATGGAAACCAGAGAGCAAGTTTCAGTAGAAAGGAAAGCAAAAGAACTATAATTGGGTTTGGACATATATTAACCCCACCTGCTCTTTCATTTTGTCTTGGAATGTTGAGGGCAGCATGTTGGGGAAAAGTTTCAGAAATACTGGTAGCAGAAACTCCATGAAGGGTACAATGATGAATACGGCGAAAGGAACCAAACGAAATATGTCCGCAGTTGTTCGTGTTAGCTGCTGCCTCTCCCTTCGGGACAGACTCTTCCCTCCAGCAAGTTTCAACAGCAATCTTATGCTGATCCTAACATCAGTTCCCAATAGCTTCAAGCCTAACCAGTAATGCTGCAATGTTGAGACAATTTCATGTTTCCAGTGGGTAAGCTTTTTGGCCCAGTCTTCCCTGCAATGAGAACAGCAAGTCAAGCATTTAATCACAAATCAGAAAACACGTACTAGATCTTTAAACTGGGGTATCACAAACTAAATGTATATAAAAGTGAAGGTTTGGACCTGCTCATTGAAGCTATAGCTCTTAAGGTAGGACCAATTCCCAGAAGAATGGCCCATGTCTTCTGCAAAACGGATTTCGCAAATTTTTTAGACTCCTGTAACTTTTTGGCTTTTGCCTTGGCTTTGGCAGTGCTTAGGCCTTCAACTGCTTCGTCACAATCTTCTGGAGACACTTCCTTTCTCTTTTTGGAAACAGAATCTCCATTACCCTCCTCATCACTGCCAAGCTCGGGCTGCTTAGCTGCGGCTGTAGATGCATTACCAGAAGAGATGGACATGTATCTCAGCGGGCCAAAGAACTCTGATCTCACGTATCTGGGGCCCAAAACTGCACTGCTGTGGAATCTATGCCTGAAGTTCCCTGCACCGAGAACACCAACCAATTCTGCTCTTCTCACTGCAGCACCATTGAGTTCCTTTCTGTCAGCTACCTCCGAATGCTGATGACACTTGGCATCAAAGCCATCTAACTGTTGATTTCCATGCTGCAGACCATGGAGACTGTAAACCGAACGAGCAGACGAGCTGAAGTAATCAAAAACAGCCTTGTTTCTCCTCACAATTGCTCTGGAAGCCATCTTACATATGCTTCACACTACACGAAGAGCAGCATTCAGATGCCTTAGTAATGAGCTGCTTCGTTGAGCTGAGCAAACCAAAAACCAAAACAGAAGATGTCATAGAATAGCAGACAAAAGAGGCAAGAGCTACGTTCTTCAATATTAATCTTTAGACTACTCCAAACGAACAGCAGAATTCTTCATAAACCGCTCTCAGACAAACAATCGAGCATTTGGCAACAGTTCGTACACAGCAATTCTTAACAAACAAAAAAAGAAACTAAAGGAGGGAAGGGATCTCGTCAAAACACTAGGAACTTCTCCTCTATCCAGCGGACTTTTCTCCTACACCTTTTCCAGAGCAAACAAAGGCAGAAACAACGGAGAAGAAATTTCGATACTGCCGCTACGGAGAGCGCAGAACAAACCGTAGAAGAAAAGAGCTCCGATCAAAAGACAAGACGGTCAAAGCCGCGAGGAAAACGACGACGACGCCAATGTCGAACAGAATGAAAACACGAAAGCGAAATTGCGACGGAAGATTAATGGCTTACCGGAGAAACCAGGCGGTATCGAGTAATTAGTAATTACACGTTCCTCCGTCTCTTAAGACTGACTTGCGCGGAAGTATAGGGTCCAAATGAAGAGATCAATGTGAGTCACCGGCGGGCGGGCGGGCGGGTGAGTGGGGAAGGGGTTAAGCAGGGTATTGCGCCATTGGCTACTAGTAAATTGTTCAGATGCCCGCGTGTTCATCTTTAGTGATGTGTGTGATGGAAATCTGACCGTCCGTTAATTATTGCTATTATCATCGGGTGAATTGCATATTTGTCGCTAGATCTATTAATTTGTTCCACTTTTGCCACTCCAAAAAAATTAATTTCTCATTGGTCACTAAATTTAGACTAATGTTTCACGGTTGGACATTAGGCAATGACTTTTACCATTTGGAGTAAATAAATCAATAAAATTAAAGTAAATTTAGGAATCAATTTAGTTTAGTTGTATCACAACCTCTGAACAACTAAGAGGAACTCGATAATGGAGTTGAATGTAGAGTGTTTGCACTCTTATCATACGAAATGTATCATTTAGATATCAATTTCACTTGAGAAATGATGATTATAAAGCTCAATTTCAAATTATATGATCCGAAATTTGAGTTTGACAGTACACATTGTTGAATAATATATAGTATATAAATCTGAATGATCTCAATTATCCATAACACGAACACATAATGATATTCATGTTAGACTAACACCCATGTAACCTCCTAATGAAATTCGATTCAGAAATGAGGTGTTGTGTTCAAATCATAAAGTAAATCGAGCTAGTGAATTAAGACATAGCTTAACTGGGTAAATAACTCATAGCTTCATAACAAGTTTTGGCATAATTGTGACTGCTGTAGTTAGTCTTCAAAATTAACTCTTTGTGCAGAGTTGTGCCTACTGTCTTTCAGGCATATAACCTTTGAAGATCTCATATCCATAAGCATCAAGTGAAGCTCTCTTGAAAATTGAAATATCCTCCGATTATGGTGTCTCAATTTCAGAGTGGATTAAGCAAGCTTCGTATCGTATGTACAACTTTCCAACCCCTTTAAACAAGACCCAAGTTCTCCGTAGTTTTACAGTGGAAAAACATATTCAGCTATGAAGTTTCAAGTAGATCGCATAGAAAAACTGTACTTATATATAAAATATAGAAACAAAAGCAAACTATTGACTCCAATCGAATGAAGCAGAACTATAACAATCATGGTCGACTCTGGCCTTACCCAATACACAAAAAACTGGTTTTTTCTCCTAGAATTCCTTCCTCTTCTGCCGCAACTCGTTGAGCTCCATCTCGATATCCGGATCTCTTGTGCGGGTGAAAATGTTTTGTCCCGGCGGCAGCTCCTTCTGATAAAAGAGACTTACAGGTTACAGATGAACACAAGAGATTGAAAACCATAGTAACATTTACGCAAGTGGAATTCGCTGCTCCATGTCTGACTGATGTAAGGAAACACGACAATAATTATGTGAACCGTTTTACCTTCATTGTGCTACCGGCTAGCTCCTTCTTCAAGCTATCCAGATCATCATCCACTGACGTGGTCTCAAGTGCCAAGAACTGCACCATTGATTAAGATGCAGTCATGGGACAATACAATAGGGTGGGTGACACAAACATGAAGACAGAGAAGTGGAATCGCAAACAGGAAATAAGAGGGCATGATATACAAGGAGGAACAAGAGGGACAAGCTATCAATAATGCTTAGCAATACGATGCATAGTACTATAATCAAGTGTGATAGGCTACAATTAGCTTGACACTTGACAGTGCTCTGAGTTTCGATAAACTTTAATTTTTCGACATATGAATGTGAATGACTGTCGCAGCATTGCTGCTAATGATGGTCTTCATTGACTGGAGACACCAAAAGTCCAACCATGTTATGTATCTATGCTATACTATCAAGTATTGTTCAACCACTAAACAAAATGGTGCTGAAGACCAGCTGGATTCTACTGCCCATGTGGATGATAAAGGAAAAGAACGGATGGATCCTAAATTCCAAAAATTATGTCAATATGATTTGAGGTTTGCTGAGGGATACATACAGCGTCATCAGAACTCAGAAGTACCAACTTAATGGCAAATGGATAAGATATAGTTTCAATACCTTCCCGTCCAACTCATCAGTAGTTAATTGGCCAAGAGCTTCTGCTTCTGATTCCATTGTCATAACTACCAAGATTGAAAACATCAAAAGGTAAAACTGAGTTCTAAGTCCAAATCTTCTGGCAAAATGAGAATCCACAAAAACTTCAAAGCAAGGACTATCAACGTAGTGACATTTGACAGAGATGTGACATAACATTCAACTAGCAGACATGGAAGCGTAACCCCTACATTAAGGATTATGCTTTTCAGAAGCAAACTAAAACAAATATGCATAGAATTTCAGCCCTTGATTCTATAAATACAATAGAAAAAGATTGGTTATCAATTCTCTATACTAAACAGAATACGTGAATTATAGTCATGGGATTTTGAGGCCAATTTGTCAATGTCATTCTATCGCGACCCTCAACGAATAGCCACAATCAGTTTTTAAGCGGACAGGCTGATTATGATCAATCAAGTCCTACAAGGCAATCGGTCAATGGATTTCCGTGAATGACATGAAAGTTATGCTGAATGCTATACCTTTCTCCTCCATCTTTTCAAAAGCTGAAAGAGCACTACTGGTACTGACATTTGCTACCATCTCATTCACTTTGGTCGCCGTCCTAAAAGCAACAAATGCAACTCAGAAATACTATCCTTTGACATATATGTCTAGAAAATATAAACGGAAAGTGCGGAAATGATGTCAGAGAAAAACCTTGCACTCTGAGCACGTGCTTTTAGAGTATCCTTCTTGGACTTGGCCTCTTGTATCTTGCTCTCTAAGAGCTGCACAAAGTTGGAAGTTTCTAAGATAACAATTTATCAATCACTACAAATTATTTACATTTTGAAAACCATGAAAAAGGTGCTACAAGCAGTGAAAAATGTGAGCACAAATAAGCTGGCAAGTTAAAATTACCTTTCAACTGAAAACACAAAAACACAAATTTCCAGCACTGCCTGATCTCTTTTGACTTGACCCAAATGAAATAAAATCTGACGACCATAATGCAGAACTTGTAAACATGACATACCCGAGTGTTAGCTACAAGATTGTCCACCACAGCTTTCTGTTGATCAAGCTGAGCTTTCAAAGAACTAGCATTATCCTGCAAGAATTGAAATGCACAACTTGGTTGATAATGCAAATCTTCTCATCTAAGAAGGGAATTACATTCAGTGAACAATACAGCATTTCTAGTATCTACTTGTCATGTAATTGTAATTGTAATTGTAAATGCAGGAACATTTAATTCTGAAGATAAGCACTGAACCACAAGTAATCAGCTCAGCTAAGTAACCGTAGATATTCATACTCTAGTCTCTTCCACCTCCATAAACACTATCAATAATGTAGGATAAAAGATCACTGCCAAGAGAAACAAACATGTCATTTCATACTAGAAAGGCCACATCAATTGATTTAGTGAAGATTCTAGTAAATACGGCATCAATTGCAGAAAACAGGACTGTTATCCTAACATCACCAAGATACAAGCTGCCAGAACAAAGGGTTGGCACAGTTAGACTACTTCCACAGTTACTACTGATTGTGCGGGATTATTTATCATGACTGAAATTAAGTCCAGCTGAGACATGGTAAAACATGAACAGTTCATAGAAAGATGTGAACATACACCATAAGATTTTCGCCTCTTGAGAGCTTCGCGTGCAAGATCTTCCTCTCCCTTTTGAAGAGCAAGTTGTGCCTTCCGGTACCTACAATGAAGGTGAAAATTCATCTCAATACACTGTTGCCAATCAAATTAAGTCAAACCCTTTTCAGTCTTAAGACAACACTCTAACTATGTGTTACCAATCTTCAGAAGCTTGTTGTGCAGCTTTGTACTTATTTTCCATTCGTTTTTGACTTGCCAAAACCTGAAAGCCAGGAGAAAGAAATTATGGGAAGCCACAAGAAAGACATAAATCAGTTGAGAAAATGTTAGAACTTTTATTCACCAACAAAAGAAGACCCTCAAATTCTTAAAGTGAAGGCATAATACATAGCAAGGCATACTTCACAAATTACAACAAACAGAATTTGTGAGACAAATATCATCTGAACTTATGGAACTCTATCACGAGAAGCTAAGCAAACACTCAACTAGGAATTTAATTATTCAAGCACAAAGGATATTTTTTCAAACAAACCAGATGAGGAAGCTTCAAGGAGAACACCAGAACAGAAACAAAAAGAGAAAAGGAGATGCTAGGGGAAGAACTGAAAAATAAAGAATATGATGATGCAAAACAGCATGGCACAAGATTATGTTGCTTACTTGTGCTGTGGCTTGGCGCATCTTGGTCAAATCATCATTCATTTCAAGCACCGCTTGATCCAAAATTTTCTCCGGGTCTTCAAATGAACTTAGGACTGAATTGGCATATGACTGCAACCAGGAGAGGACGATTTAATGTTAGAATTATATGACAAAATACAAAAAGGTATTAGCATAAACAAATGCAAGGAGTAGTTCCACAAGACTCACCTTCACAACCCTAGCAAACCGATCAAAAAGATTCGAACGAATGGTAAGCCCACCGCCACCTTGCCTCAAACAGTTCGAACGACCAACTGGACTCCGTGTCCTAGCGATCTTTAGAGCTTCAATTATGAGCCAAATAGAATTTTAGCCAACCGATCCCAACTCTCGATCGCTAAGCGATGCATATAAATACCCCAGGAACAGGAAACGAAACAATTTTCCGTCATCCCAAGGTGAAAGGTTCATGCTCATTGCAGAGAAGTCCAAATCAATACCATTCATAACATAAATAAGCCAAACCACATTATCCTTTCAGGCTCGAATATCACAGAAGTTAACCATCAAACTATTCAGCCGTCTCTCACACACCATTACCCACAGGCCACAACGGACACCTATCAAAGTGAACTAAATAACTGACCTCTGTCCCACATAGATGACAGTTAAACCCTTTCTTAGCAATGAATCAGCTTCAGACCAAGCACTCTATCCTACTGAGCACATCAATTCTTATTAGTGACTCCAAAATCCCAGCCACCATTCACTCGTAGCTTTCTCCGAGCAGTCCCCAAATCAGCAAAAACATTAGACAAACAACAACTAAAGTTCATACTACACTGCATAATTCAGTTGAATACTTGAATCACAATTGAAATCAGACTATCATACATTCATACTCTCAAATTACACAGGGCTCCAATTCGTAACCAATTCAGCACATGCCCATCCCCTAATCAACTCAGCTCTAACTTAAACTGAGTGAGAGTCACTGGCGATTGCGAAACATGAAAATCATCAAGAAAATGTGCGATAGTAAGTGATAGGAAAATACAAGGACAGGCAGGATATGTTAGGGCAAAGGAAGGCTCGTGATGCAGTACCTCCACCATTTAAGAAGGACGAGCTCAGAGGCGGGCGCTTCACCATACAGAGAGTGTTGCTCGATGAAGTCGATGAAGTTGAAGCTGGAGACGGTAAAGGCATAGCCAATCCAGCAATCGTTTGCGATTTTAGCGCCATAATTGACAACCGGAGCTTATGGCGCGCACAGGGACACACTCAATCAGATTCGGAGTTGTTTCTTTCGGTTGTTCTCCGGACATAAACGACGAAGAACAGTAGGGAGGAGGAGGATCACTCAAATTTATCACAAAATCAAGAGGAGGGAGCCGCATTGAAACGCATCGTTTTTAAATCCTTGGTTCAGGAAGGCTTAAACACCATGGTCCATGAAACCGTACCGGAAACTGTATCGGGAAAGTCAGCGATAGGGTATTTTATGGTAAATCGTGGTTTAACCGTAGTTCAACCATTAAATACCACTTACCAATTTAGTCTTCGATACTGGTATTTCGTGGTTGAACCGCCAGTACGGTACGGTTTCATGGACCATGCTTAAAACCATGTGTCCATGAAACTGAATTGTACCAACGATTCAATCACAAAATACAAGTATCAGAGACTAAATTAAATCAGTAGGCGGTATTTTATGGTATTAATTGTTTAATTAAAGTTAAACCATGATTTTGCTGTAAAATACCTTACCGTTGACTTTTTCGATACGATTTCATGGATCATGCTTAAAACAGCAAAAATAGTACCACTAAAAAATTAAACTAAATAACAGAAAAATAGTTTTTAATGGATGCAATTATCTAAGCCTCCATTCAAAATCAAAAGAAGATCCCTTACAAACATACAAGAGCCAATAATGAAGTACATAATATAACACTGAAAGTGAATGCATACTCGTAAGGCAAAGAATGTCCTCTACCAGCTAAATAGTGTGCACACTTGTTCTCTTTACTATAGATGCGATGTGTTTGAGCCCAATCGACTGGGGGTCGCTCGGGTCCAAGTGGTTTGGGGTGTCAGCCATGACCTTGAGGGGGTAGGCGCCCCGCCTCGTCCGAAGTAGAAAAAGAGAAGAAGTATATAGAGAGAGAAAGTAGAGAGAAGTTAGAGTAAGAGTAGATAGATTGCCATTTATGAGGAGAGAACTCCTATTTATACACATTTGGGGGTTAGGTCGTGGTCTGGGCGCCTGCCAAGCCATAAATGCAGTGGTCGGGCGCCTCAAACTCTCTGACGCTGTACATTGTACTTTTGGCAGGGGGTGTCCCCCTGCCCCTAGTCCTTGCTGATGTAAGGTGCCTGGACTTGTCTCCTTGTCTCTTGGCCTTGTCTTTTTCCCTTTGTCTTCTTTTCTTCATTATGTCATTAACTAGGCTCTTGCCTTGGGGATTGCTAATGTACCCTATCAATTGCCCCTTTTGGCGATGGCGCAAGTATTGCGGTATCGTCAAACCAGTCTGTCCTCTTCTGACACTGTACATTGTACTTCTTGGCAGAGGGTGTCCCCTCATACTCTGTCTTTGCTGATGTCAGGTGCCTGGCTTTGTCCCTTGTTCTTGTCTCTTAACCTTGTCTTCTTCTTCTTCTGATGATGTAAGTCTTCTAGGGTTTTGCCCCTATGTCTTGGCTTCTCTTTGACTCTTCTTGTAGACCTTCTCCAAGTATTATACTTTACCTTCATACCCTATCAAAACCGTTTCAAAACCGTTAGAAAACCGATATCTTATAAACAATCAGTATAAATAGTGGACACTTCTTAATCATGATAAACCATGACTAAATTAGTAAATTACACTCTTAGCAATTCCAAAACATGAGTAACAAAAGTTCTAGAATCATGGCTATCAGAGGAGCAGCTAAGGGAAGAGGGGACGGGGACTGGCGATGGGGAGCGGAGAGCCGGGAGCGACTATAGGGACTGGGGATGGCGATGGGAAGCGTCGAGATGGGAAGTGACGACGGAGCGGAGGAGTTGCAACGGGAAGAGGGGACATGGACGGAGACTGGCGATGGCGAGCTCGGAGCAGCTACGCTGACTGGGGATGGCGACGATGCCGACGGGAAACTGGGACGAGAAGTGCTCGTCGGCCGCTCTATAAAACTGTAGCGGTTAAATGACTGGCCCGAGTCGATTTTGAGGTCGGGTGGTGGCTTTAGCGGTGCGGCCGGCCGGCTCGATCCGGTCTTAATAACACTGCAAAATACCGACGTACATACTTGAACAACGGCGTCGTTAGACGTTAGTATTATCATGTAGAAAATACTGTACATGTCAAAATCGACAAGAAAACAGCGAATCACGTGTCCTACCTCAAGAGTGGATTTTGTTGAAGTCGATACAAATCGACAAGAATATCGACAAGAAAACAGTGGATACAAAAACAAAAGCAAATACGGTCAGTAGCATACTTTCTCGATTTTGATTTCTCCGTCCGAGCCGCGTGACCCCGCGCTAAGTCTATCTAGAAAGTAGAAATGGACGACCTCTTCCTGTTCGTCGTGCTTGGCCTTCGCGGCGTCGCCTGTCTTTACTCTTCTTCGACCCTTCCTCTCGTCCTCGTCTCTCCAACCCTAGAACCTCTCAATTTTGTTGGGATTGCGTGATTCGCCACCGGAGGAAGAAACCGCCGTCGACTTGGAATGATATAGGAAAATAGGTTTAGAGCAATTGGAGTGGAAAAAAGAAAGTTTGATTGGGGAGAGCGAATGACGATGGTGATGGCTATGGAGGCGGCGTTGGTGTTTCTGGTGCCGTCGTGGTGGGAGATCAAAGTCACCTTGGCTGCCGCCACGTTCCTGATCTCCGCGTACTGGTTCTTTGCCCTCGGCGGCGGGTTCGATGGCGATGGTCCTCGTGGTGGCATGCAGAGTGTGGAGAATTTGGGGAATGGTGGAGATGGATTCGAGAGTAGCGACAAGGTTTTCTGTTCACTGAACTTGGCATCGTTGATGATTCAATTTGTTGTTTTGCTGCTTGAAATCCTGTGTGATCGTCTGTATAGGAGGGAAGTCAACATGTTGAAGGAAGTTTGAATGGCTGTCGTTTCCGTGTGATGATCGTATTTGTTTCTCTGCAGTATTGTTCCCCAATGGATGGGAGACTTCATTCGGGATGTATTTATTTCTTCTGTTGATCAGACATAGGGGAAATGGTGGTACCTGAATTTTGTTGCTGGTTTATTAGTGCCACAGATACAGCGTGAATGAGACTTTATTCTCTGTGAAGCATTGTTTCTCATTATTCTGCACTTGGCCGTATATTGTTTATATCGTGTTCATGATCTGTGCTCCGGAGTTTTGAATGATTGTGGAATTTAGTTATCTGCTAGTTTATAATTTTCCATTTCTTTGACGGGCAGTTGTTGCAATTATTTTGTAGATTCTGAAAGCAGACGCACAAGCCAGTTCTGGATATATAATCAAGGTATCTTTCAATCTTTATCTTCGTTGATTTTGATAGCAGACTTGATTTTGGAGGTGACCTGTCTTGAATGTATGGAGAATGCTTCCTTGGTCATTTGGGTTGTCCACAATTTCCATGTTCCCAGTGAGTTGCCGGGATGAAGTTGCTGTTGTTTTTCTATTTCAGGTGGAATTATTGGCGGCTAAGAATCTGATTGGTGCAAATTTGAATGGCACATCAGATCCTTATGCTCTTATTGCTTGTGGTTCTGAGAAGCGATTCAGGTCTTTTTTTATCTGTCTTTGGCTCTGTTCTATTGAGTTTCTATGACTTAAAAATCTTTTTGTGTAAAAATTTCGCATTTTATGTTTGAATCTTATGCCCAACTTCATTTTGGGCTGCATCACTAGAAGTTTGTAAACACAGTTTGTTCCGAACATGAAGCATCATTCTTGCTGTTGAGTTGTCTCATATGATGATTTGGTCATTGAATTCGTTAATATTCACTGTGGTTATTGATCTAAGTTATTATTGGGTGGTAAGCTTGGAGGTGTAGGTTAACTTATCCAATATGTACCTCTTGAGTGGTTATGATCTAGCTGATATACACTCAAAATGTCAATGACACATTTCCTATGTGCATGTACGATAATATAGTAAATTTGAAAGCTGAGATCTTAGGATTGACTATTGTGGTTTTCTGAACGAACATGTTAATTTGAACACAAGTTAAAGATGCATACACTAGTTTAGCTTGATGCACTACTCAGAACATCCTAAGGCCCAGTACACATAGGGTTCCAGTTAGCGAGTATTTGCTTGAATAAAATGATTCAAGAGTCTTGCCTTTCTTATGTCAGAAGTTGGAGCGAAGTGAAAGTTTTGATGGTTTAGGAGAATCTTAGATGACAAATGTAAGATGATAGTGTATGTTATCCACTAAATTAGGTATAAGCATACAAAGTAGTTAAGGTGGAGATTTTAATGTTTAAGCTTGTGCAAACAATCAATAGGATTCTAGTTGCTATTGTGTGATTAGTTGTGTTTAATTATTTTCCAGTGTATAATTTCATATTCTAGGAGAATATAAGTCATTTGTCCTTAAGGTTAGCTTGTGTTATGCTGTTGTGAATTCATCTGATATGGGAAGAGAAAATATTCTGCATTGATCTCATGGTATGAACTACACCAAGGTAGCTCATAGTTTAGATCACCTGGCTTAGCTTTTACCATTTTGGTCCAGAATTGCAAAAATAGTTCTGTAAAATTGGAATAGAAAGACTACAACCCTAAGCCTTTAGCACTTGAAAATAGTACTTTATCTCGAAGACATGTCTTCTAGATGCTTCGACAAAGCGAGAAATGGATGCAAGCTCTCATCTACATGATGCATACAAAAAATTCCCTTGTTTTCATTCACTCCTCTAAAATTCCCACTATTACTATCACAGCTCTATGGTTCCTGGTTCAAGAAATCCTATGTGGGGTGAAGAATTCAATTTTTCCGTGGATGAGCTACCTGTTAAGGTAATGATAATGCTTTTTAGTCCTTTTCTGTCTGTTACCAAAGGCAATGTTCCTTTTGTTCACCAGGCTTATGCATCGCCGCTCGTGCATCTCATTTTATAACTTGATAGATTTTTTCTTCACAATTACAGCTTGTTGGTGGATTCATTTATCATAATAGAGTTTTGTGCTTTTTTAGTTCCAGATGCTTCAGCCATCCTTGGGTCCTATCAATTAAGAAACTCAGTGGAGTTTCTGTCACGAAATCACCATTGGGATGAATTTTCAATTTCTTTTTAGCTTTTACTGATGTCTTTTCCCCATCTGCCATACAGATCAATTTGACAATATATGACTGGGATATCATTTGGAAAAGTACTGTTCTTGGATCTGTCACGGTTCCAGTT